CCTGTTAGGAATTCAGTCGTAAACTAGCATAGATTCTTTAGGAAAGGGCAGGCTAGCAGAGATTTTTTAGAAAAAGGCAGGCTAGCAGATATTGTTTAGGAACGGGGCAGGCCAGCAGATATCATTTGGGAATTCTAAGATTTTCTGAGAATTATTATTGACATTAAAACATATCTTTACCGAAACCAAAATACTCTAAAATTCCTCCTATTCTCGGTAAGTCTTAATTAATTCGAATCAGGGTGAAAAAATGGGTCATGCGCTGATTCGATCTGATTTTTTTCGCAGCTAGTATATTCCCTAGGGTTTGAAAATTGGCGAGAGAGAGCGAGAGAGCGAGAGAGAGAGAGAGAGATAGGGAGAAAGTGAGAGAGAAAGGGAACGAGAGTGAGAGAGAGAGAGGAGAGAGGAGAGTAAGCTACCTAACAAATATTTTATGGAATTTAGCCGACATTTAGCCCTAGGTTAGCTCTGCAAAAATGCCCAAAAAGTAGTACACACAATAATAATCTGGAGGCCCGGGGGCAGGAAATGGGGACCACAATGGGCCAGAGGTACCCTCCAGAAGGGGCACAAATCGCATAGATACACACAAACACACACAAAGACCCAAAAACTCGAGTAAAGGCAAAGGGATTTCGAAATGTGGGGTTATTTGATTTGCAAGACAGGCTAGCCGAGATCATTTGGGAGCGGAAACGACAAGCTTGCAGAGGTTCTTTAGCAAAGGGCAGCCTAGAAGAGATTCGGAAAGGGCAGGCTAGCAGAGATCCCTTAAGAAAGACATGCAGGCTAGCGGAGGCAATTTGCGGAATTTAGCAACTAGTGGAGAACCCTTAGGCAGCTGATACGCCACTCACGGCCTTAACCAGCTAGCATAGGAATTTTGAGAAAAAGGCAAGCTAGCAGAGGCTCCTAGGGAAAAATTATTGCCTAACAAAGGCTAAGTAGGCTATGTAGTAGTGATGTCTTCGAAATTCAGCAAGATCCGTATATTCCTGATTTTGAGACGCAAAAACAGACGTGTACACACAGCCGAAATGTGGCTGAATGAAGATGGGTGGATGGCATGAAAATAAGAAAAGAAGAAGATGTGAAGGCGGGTGGGTCCGCCTTCTTCTTCGGTCCTAATTGGGACACCCCATATATCTATACACAAATAGACAGGCAGACAAATGGGAAGGGAAGATGGGTGGGGGATGGTTAGGCATCTAGCAGGGGTCATTTGCGGAAATTAGGGAATGGAAGTGGTGACGCGGGGTGAGCTAGCAGAGGTTATTTGGAAGAGTGAGGCAGAGAAAGGGAGAGAGAGGGAGAGAGAGAGAGAGCGAGAGAGAGAGAAAGAGAGAGAGAGAGAGAGAGAGAGAGAGAGAGAGAGAGAAGGCGAGGGGGAGAGAAGTCTATAGAAAGTTAAAAAAGCTATAGAAAACGAGGACGAGCGAGAGGAGAGCGAGAAAGAGAGACAGCGAGGGAGAGAGTGCGAGAGTGAGATAGAGAAAGCGAGAGAGCGAGAGTGTGTCGATAGAGAGCTGGAAACATAAGGAGAGCGCTAGAGAGAAAGAGAATGAACGAGAGACAGCGAGAGCGAGAGCAAGCGAGAAAGTGGCACAGGTAGCTGCTAGCAGAGACCATTTAGGAAACCCCAACAAAACCCACCAAACCCCCAATTTCTGCCCAAACACATGATCCCTATGTTGGTGTCTGTGCCCTGGGGGCACAGCCGAAATCGGAGAAGCATCGAGCACCCCTTAAAAAGACCCTTTTCCCTCGGGGGATCTCATTTACAAATTGAGGGTTTAGCTGGATCAGAGCGGGCTTCTAGGGTATGGCAGGCTAGCAGAGATTCTTTGGGAAGGCTAACAGAGACCATCTAAGAATTCTCGAACTCTAAAATTATGTTATTTTTGTGAAAAACTAGACGGAATAGTTAGCGCGGTCCCTCATCCATCCCCCTCCCCCTGGGCCCACCCCAAATAATTGCTGTTTTTTGGTTGGCGAATCTGGCTATTTGGGCTTCTGCTGCGTTCTGCAAAAATCAAAAGGCCTGTTTTGAGTGCTCAAAAAAAAGGCGCAAGAACTTAGGTTTCTTTAAGCTGGTTGGGCAAGCTAGCATGGATCTTTGAATAAGGGCAGGCTAGCAGAGATTCTTTAGGAAAGGGACAGCTAGCAGAGGTCTTTGAGGAATCAAATCCCAGCCGGGCAAAGCAAAGCAGCCCCTGAGTGAACTAGCAGAGATTCTTGGGGAACCTAACTGGAAAGCAGGGCAAGCTAGCAGAAATCATTGGGGAATCGCTCCAGAGCAAGTGAAAAGCTAGCAGAGATTCTTTGGTGAGCGGCGGAGTCCTAAATTGCAAGTTTCGACATTCAAAGACACCTTGAAAACAAGACCAAACATGGAATGGTGGTGCGTAGGAGGCGAAACCGAGATAACGAGAGAGAGAGAGAGAGAGAGAGAGAGAGAGAGAGAGAGAGAGAGAGAGAGAGAGAGAGAGAGAGAAAGAAACCTGGCTGAAATCCGATCCAACCACCCCCGGCTTCACCATCTGACCAAGCCCCCCTCCTTTTTTGTCCTTTTCTGCCAAGCCTTCCCAGTCCCTTTAGCGGGGATGGAGATGGGTCCTAAGTGGCTGTGTGGGCCCCTTCTATGTATTGGCCAGGGGTCCAAACGAGGGGGAGAAACCCGGGGAAACCCGACTTAAAAGCCCCCCGGTGGGCACCTCGAAATGTGCGCTTTTGAGGAATGACCGGGGATTTCAATGGGGGTACGTGGATGATGCAATTTATTAAATATATTTTTGCATAAAAAATCATGCTTTTCGACTTTCGATGGAAAATTTATTAGGAAAAGGAAATTTGGAAGAATTGTGTATACACTATACTCGGCGTTTACTACGATACGCTACGCCCAAGAGGGTACGGTCGCGCAACCCGGCGTATCGCGGAAAATAACGTAACAATAGTACGCTATCGTACGGAGGCTACGGTAACGTAACTTGGAAAGTTCGGAAAACTGGATTAAAATTCTGCAAACCTACATTGAGACACAGAGCTAGTGAGAGAGAGGAAGAGAGAGAGAGACAGAGAGAGAGACAGAGAGAGAGAGAGAGAGAGCGGGAGAAAAAGAGCTTGCTAGTGCGAGATCTAGAAAAAGCGGGAGAAAAAGAGAGAAGGCGTGAGTGAGAGAGCGAAGGCGAGTGCGGAGAGAGAGAGAGAGCGCGCGAGAAAGCGAGAGAGAAAGAGCGAGAGAGAGAGAGAGAGAGAGAGAGAGAGAGAGAGAGAGAAATGGAGAGAGAGAGAGAGAGAGAGAGAGAGAGAGAGAGAGAGCGTTTCATAACTTTTGACAAATAGCGTCAATTCTGAAGCTCAGTGAGAGAGCGGAAAGATGAGATAATTAGAGAGCCACCGTAATCAGTCAAATTTTAACCCCGAATTGAGTACGGGCCAATATTAAGGAAAAAGTGGCGCGGGCCAGGCGCGCGTCGAAACGGATGCCCTCCTCTCGCTCTCCGGATTGCCCTCCTCCTCCTCCATCCGTTTCGTGTGTGTGTGGGTTGGCCCTCTTTTTTAGAGGTCTCCTTTTTAAGGGATGGGGCCCACCAGCAGCAAAGGGATGGGGGGGGGCCACACACTGCTCTGGGCCCTTAATTGGTGGCCCTGGGGGTGATTAAATCGAGGAGGAGGAGGAGGAGGACCGGGAGGATGGGGCTGGTGCTCGAGAGTAGAACCTGGAGCCCCGGGTCACAGTTTCACTTGGAGCTGAAAGGTTGCGAAGGGTCTCTGCTAGCTTGCCGCGAGCTCGAACTGGCTTTAAAGGGGCTTGGAAGCCAAAATTCGCGCCTACGCTGATGGAACGTACTAATCAAAAAACGGAAGGGTTATCGCCGAGAAGACCCAAAAAATTGATTTCGTTGTAAAAAAACGTGAATATTTGAGTAAAAACGAAAAGTTCTTGGGGCGAAAAAGACTTTTTGAGTCCCCGGCGATTACATGTCGTAATGCCTTGTAAGGCGCCCAATTTCTCGATCTTGGTGACCGTCTGATCAATTTTCATAATTAAAAAGTTTGTAAAGGACAAAATTCGATGAGGGCTGCCGAAATAACTTCAGCATTTGTAAATTCCAGCGTTTTCACGTCCAAACAGCAGCAAAACTACATGCGGTGCGGTCGCATCTGGCGGTTTTCCAGGATTCAAGTTTTGGGGCTCCTTTAAGCGAACCAAAATTAAAAAGGTAGCAAGGATATATTCTCTGCTAGCGTCCCTCATCGTGAACCAAGCTGTAAAAGGCTTGTGAAGGAATACTATCGTACGAAAAAGTGGCTTCAAGGATCTCTGCTAGCTAGCCTTGAGTTTTTTCTAAGTTGGGAAAGGCCATTTCCCGGAAGTAGTGAGGTTCTGTCGAGAGGCCCATTTAGGAAATGCCGACTAGAGCGTTGGAATCGCCGTAGTCGAAAACCGAGGGGTAGCCGCGAGCGTTTCTCCTAAATCCACCGTGTCAACTTCAGGTTAGCTTGTATGCCCATGCCTGGGCCCAAGCGTTAGCTATCATAATGTCGAAATTTCATAATGTCGAAATTCAGAATGTCGAAATTTACATAGGCTAATATTACCGGTGAAACCGTCAAATCCTAGCCGAAAATTTTTTTTCCACATTCTATTTTTTTATCTTATTTCACGACAACATTTTTTTGCGTAGAATTCGGGGACTTTACCGGGAATTTTAGCTTATGTAAATTTCGACATTACGAAATTTCGACATTATGAATTTCGACATTATGAATTTCGAGATTTTGAAAATAAGCCTTCCTCAAGAGTGTCTTGAGTCAAGACTGTTGGTTGGAACAGATGCGGCGGAAGTTGAAGTGGGTCGCTCGCCGAATAAGTTTTATCAGAGCCTTTAGTGCTCTTATGTAGTGTTTGCAACATCTGTCCGGTCCGATCCTAGGTTTCATCACTATTCACTAGAATCACACTTCAAATTCTATTGCTAATTTTCTTCGAAATGTCGGTTAGCCTGGCGTCACAAATGTTCTTCGACCAGTTCGACTACGACATGGCCGAGGTGTCGATCTGGTCATCTACAGGTTTGTAAAATTTGCATATTTTCAACAAGCTTTAGCCTAATAACCTAAGCCTAAGAGTAAGCTTAAGCCTAAGCACCTAAGCCTACGCCCAAGCCCCTAAGCCTACGCTTAAGCTCAAGCACCTAAGCCTAATCCCAAGCATGCGTTTTTGACATTTTTTAAGAATCTTTTACTATCGTAATTGGTTACAGTATGGCATTACATATTTTCCTCGAAAAATTCAACCATTTTTCGCTAGTTTTCTAACTTTCTAGCCCATTCCCATCTTGTTATGCTAATTCCGGCGCATCCGCTACACGCCGCTCCTCCCTACACCCGATTACTGGACGCTTAGGGGTACCCATCAGCGCCCCCGCCGGGCTTGTTTTCATCTCCCAAGCTGTAACAGTCCGCACCTCAAGAATGGGGCTTGGTTTTGATAATTTTGTATACCTTAATTTAACCTGTAATAAGCAAGTTAAAAATCGTATTATTTTGCGTTTTGTTTCCTTAACTTCAGGGCAAAAATTAAAAATTAAAATTTCCAGGGATGGCCACCACCTCGGCTTTAACGACACGCTGCCTCAACTGCCAGCAGTATTTGACGAGTGGCGGGTAAGTTAACGCGTAAAAATTGGGGTTTACGGGCTTTTTTGAAGGTATCACGAAGCTTATATTTCAGTAAAACTTAGTTTTAAAGGTATTTGGAAGACTAAAAGTCGTTAAAAGCTTGTTCTAAAGGTATCTGGAACGCTAAACTACCTCCATTTCCAGACCGCAATGCGAAAAGTGCCGGAAAAACGAGGAGAAGTACGGCCCACCGGAGAGCTGCATGTACTGTAGTCTGCCGGCAGCGTTTAACGAGAAGAAATGCGTGCATTGCCATCACTCGGAACGGTGGGTATTTCCAAGCTAATCTTAAGCTAAGCCTAAGCTAAGCCTAAGCTAAGCCTAAGCCAAGCATAAGCCAAGCCTAAGCCAAGCCTAAGCTAAGCCTAAGTTAAGCCTAAGCCGAAGCCTAAGCAAATGAAGTTTATTACTTCCTTTCAGTCGAAGCGGCCCGCCCGTCCCGTGCGCCAACTGCAAGATCAAGTCGGCGTTCACCCCCAGCTCCAGCGTGAGTTTTTATTTTTATTATTTTAGTAAAAAAATACACATTTTGAATAAAGAAAAATTTCGAAAGATCAATAAAATTTTATAGCTAAAATAAAATTATGGAAATTTACAGAAAAAGACGCTCTGCCGGCTGTGCGAGATGTCGGCACGTCATCAGGGGTTGGCCGAGATGGCCGGAGTGTCGTTGTTGGGAGGAAAAGTTGGTTTTTCGAGCTTTCTATCTCGCTCTCTCGCTCTCTCTCGCTCTCTCACACTCCTCTATCTCGCTCTCTCTCTCTCTCTCTCTCTCTCTCTCTCTCTCTCTCTATCTCTTTCGCTCTCTCGCTCATCCGCCCTCTCTCTCGCTCTCTCATTCCATCTCTCTATCGCTTTCTCTATCTCTCTCTCTCTCTCTATCGCATTTTCCAGGACCGCCGAGACCCCCGGCACACCTCATCTAGCCGCAAACTTAAGCCGGTCAAGCGGAAGCCCAGTGAGCAGAAGGTACGGATTTTTTTTCTCTGTGATTTTGTAGCGTATTTTTGATTTTGTTCCGCCATAATCGATCATCTGATTTTCTGTTTTCCAGAGCGTCATCCCCACCAAGCAAGCCAACCTCGAGCCGCCACGCGCCGTCAACTCGCAGAGCCTTGTCGAGGTGTGTAGCGTAGCGTAGCTTTGCGTAGCTCTGCGTAGTTCTACGTAGCTATGCGTAGCCTGGTGTAGCTCTGCGGGGCTCTGCGTCATTGCGTAGCTCTACGTAGCTATGCGTAGCCCTGTGTAGCCCGGTGTAGCTCTGTGTAGATCTGCGTAGCTATGCGTACTGTCAAGCCATCATTTTATAGTAAACCAAACTACCGTATACCAGGGCTTCGTAAAACCCTCGATTTTCAGATGCAACAGCTCCAGGAAAAGGTGGAGAGTCTGCAGCGTACGGTTAAAGAACGAGATGCTGACATCCAGTCAAAAAATTCTACCGTAAGCTTGGAGGGCAGGCTTTAGAACTCAGATTCGCTTCAGATCGCCAACCTAAAAGCCGAGATCGCGGCCGGGGAGCGGAAATTCCGGGAGACGTTCGCCCAGTTGGCCAAGGAGAAGGAGCAGGCCATCGAGCTGATCCATCAGAAATACAGGGATCAGGCGCGACAGGTTGGTTTTAAAGGATTGGCTAAGGATGGGCTTGAGCTTAGGCTTAGTTTGAACTTCCAGAAATCTATCAAGACTAGGCAAATTTTATTCGTTTAGGAGCGCCAAGAAAAGGCCGAAAAGGAGAAGCAGGCGCAGATTGAGAAGGAGCGGAGGGCCAAGGAGAAAAAGGTAAGGAAAATGGGTGGTAGGCTAGCAGAGATAATTTGAGAATAACGGCAGTCTAGCAGAGGTCTTTAGGAAATTCGGGGGAAGCTAGCAGAAATTCTTTAGGAAAGGTCAGGCTGGCAGAGAATCGCTCGGAAGCAGGCAAGCTCGCAAAGTTCATCAGGGAATCAGGGGCAGGCTAGCAGAAACCATTTGGGAACCTTTTGATTTTCACAAAAAACTATAAAATCTTCTTTCCAGGCGCGAAAGGAGAAAGAGCAAAAGGAAGCCGAGGAAAAGGCCAAGAAGGAGAAGGAAGCTGCCGAAAAAGCCGCAAAGGAGAAGGAGAACAGTGCGCCAGCTGTTGTCAAGAAGGAAAAGACACCGGAAGAAGAGAGCTCGAAGATTAAGGAAGAGCCAAAAAAGGAGGAGGAGGACGAGGAGCACGATGAGGAGAAGGAGACCAAGAAGGAGGTGGAAAAAGATGAGGACGACGAAGAGGAGGAGGATGAGAAGAAACCGGAAAAGGTGGGGGAAGCTGGCGGAGATTGTTTAGGAAAGTCAGGCTAGATTCTTTAGGAGAGGGCAGGCTAGCAGCGGTCATCTAGGGATTTTAGAAATTCCTGGCGGGCTAGCAGAGATTTTTTAAGATTTTAACGGGCAAGGCAGGCTAGCAGGGATCATTTAAGAACCTTGGGAAATTCCACGGTAACTAGCAGAGATTTTTTGGGAGCCATATCATCGAAAAATAATTTTTTTTTCAGCAATCCGACTCGCCAAAGCCAGGATCAAAGAAAGCGGAGAGCCACGATGAAGCCGACGATTCCGATTAATTTTTGCACCTAATATGCATATGCCGGAATATCCAAAAATCGAATAATTAAAACAAAACCTAAAAAGCGCATTTTTCTTCTTGTTAAAAATGAAATTTTTGACGCCAAATTCCTTTCCAGTAATCAACAAAATCTTTGTAGATTTATGGCTGGTCCCGCTGTTTTAATATGTAATTTAATTCGAGTTAAAGTATTGTTAATTTGCTTACTATTTTTGTTGTTTTGATGTAGATTTAAAACTGAATTTAATTTTACTTCTTGCGTTTTTGTTTTTGTATTTTTACACGTGTCCATTGTGATTGGTAGCTAATTATGCAAATTTACATTTTTCTCTTTTCCCCCCACTTCTTAGTTCATTCAAATCGTGTTCTTGCTCCAAAAACGAAAAAAAACTTTGATTCCCCCGCGAACTATTCTTTCTGAAATTTGTGATACCGTTTTTGTGCTGAAAAATTAGATTATCAAAGCAAGTTGCTCCTTCTTTTCGATTCTCCAAATATGAAACATGCTGTGTATAATTTATTTTAATTCGATAAATTTTGTAGTTTGTAGCTTCGCGGGAAATACAGAAATGTCGCAAATTGTCTCTGCTAGCTCTCCTGGCATCGTTTTCACCGATTTCCTAAAGAATCACTGCGAGCTGATTTGGGTTCAGAAATCCCAAAGTGACTCTGCTCGCTGGCCCTGATGCGCTCTTCTCAGGAATCCCTGCTAGGACGTCCCAAATCCAAAACGATCTCTGGTAGAACGCTCTGTAACGTTTTGCCTCTCTCTCTCTCTCTCTCTCTCCCTCTCTCTCTCTCACTCCATCCCACTCTCTTTCTCTCTCCTCCTCTATCGTTCTTTCTCTCGATATCTGTTTCTCGCTCTCTCTCTCTCTCTCTCTCTCTCTCTCTCTCTCTCTCTCTCTATCTCTCTCTGTCTCGTTCTCTCACACGCTTTCCAATTCTATAAAACACGTAGAAGCCGTCGATTTCCACTCAGGCGCACACCGGCCGTCTTTTGTTTTACGCCGACGCGTCGGATGGCGCACTTTATGGCTGTTTTTACGACTCTATTTCTAATAGGTCGATGGGCAGGCTAGCAGAGATACTTTGGGAATCCACCACAAGCTCATAGGACTAACCAGCAGAGATTCTTTAGGAATTTCCACAAGTCACAAAGCAGGCTAGCAGCGATTCGTTGGGATTTTTCTGAAACTCGTCGGGCAAGCTAGCAGAGGTTTTTGGGGAATAAGCGAAGGCTTGAAAACGCAAACTAGCAGGGATCCTGTAGGAATATTCGTTTTATGCAAATTGCTAGGACGCTAGGATAAGGACTCCTTCTTGAGCTTTTGCCGCCCCACTGGCTGTGTTTAAGAGCTTCTTCTCACTAGCTACTCTCTCTCTCTCGCCCTTTCTCTCTACCCTCTCTCCCACTTCCCTCCCTCTCGCCCCTCTGCTCTCTCTCCCCTCTCCCCACTCTCTCGCCCTCTCCCATTGGGCCCTCTGGGCCCTCTTCCCCCAATCGATACCTTCGGCTGTATGTATGGGAGCGCGCCCTTGGCCAGCCTCCCTCCTCCTTTTCTTCTAGCTTCAGCCATCCCCCCACCCTAAAAATCCACGACCTCTCCTTTCTGCCGCTCTTTTCCGGCTTCTCCGCTTCCTACCCGCCCACACAGCGAATATTTCTTCCCTTCTACCCCCCTTTTCCACATTGAAATTAGCTTTTTAAGGGTCGCAAAATAGCCGCAGCACCCACCGCATCGTGCTAAACGAGCCGGAATCCGCGGCGCGCCAAATGATCCCTGCTAGCCTGCCCTGTTTTTGGAAAATTGTCTCCGATAGCTTGCATTTTTATTAGTGATCTTTGCTGGCTTGCCTCGGAGAATGATTTCTGCTAGACTGTACTCGATTCCTCAAGAACATTTGCTAGCCTGCCCTTTCCTAAAGAATCTCTGCTAGCCTGCCCTTTCCTAAAGAATCTCTGCTGGCCTGCCCTTTCCTAAAGAATCTCTGCTAGCCTGCCCTTTCCTAAAGAATCTCTGCTAGCCTGCCCTTTCCTAAAGAATCTCTGCTAGCCTGCCCTTTCCTAAAGAATCTCTGCTAGCCTGCCCTTTCCTAAAGAATCTCTGCTAGCCTGCCCTTTCCTAAAGAATCTCTGCTGGACTGTTTCTATTGCGAAAAAAACCAATATTTTTCGCCTATAATCAATCTTTTTGCGGTTTTTTACAACCAGCGGTCGTTCATTATGTTTTTCTGAACTCAGCGGGTTTTTTTCTTTTCAGCCCCTCACCCCTTCAAAAAATCATTAATATTTCACATAACACAGCCATAGGAGGGCTTCTTACGGAATTGTGCTCGGCTTTTTCCTCCTCCCGGTGCTGTCTGGAATTACAAATCAGAATTTCCGTTTTTTTTTGGTACTATTAGATGAAATTACCCCCAAGAATCTCTGCTAGCTTGCCAGCGGGCTTAGAAACTCGAGACTAGAAAAAGCAGAGAAGAAAAAAATAGTATAGATGTTTGAGGAATTCGTTAGTTACCTACTGGGCAAGCTAGCAGAGATTCTTTGCCTTTCCGAGCCCGGCTATGCATCTGGCAGAGATTCTTTAGGAAAGGGAGGCTAGCAGAGATTCTTTGGGACCCACCATGCCCTGAGGGCTTATCGAATACTCCTCGAGTGGCCCGCATAGTTTGGCCATTTCTTTTAGTGGCCCTCGTTTGACGTCAAAAGGTCTGTGTGGTGGGAACCTTCCGCCTGCCACTCCATTGTCTCACACAACTCTACACAAAAAAAGAGAATGGGGGGGATAAAGAAAAGAATGGAAAAGACGTCCCCATGAGAAATGGGGAAATCCCCCAAAGATCGCGGTACTTTTTGTGAGGTACATAGTAGCATAGTGGAGCGGCTAGGGATAGTAGGCCCTTTCCTAAATAATCTCTCCTAGCCTGCCCTTTCCTAAATAATCTCTGCTAGCCTGCCCTTTCCTAAAGAATCTCTGCTAGCCTGCCATTCCCCAAAGAACCCCTGCTAATGTACCCAATCATCGTTCCTCAATGATCTCTGCTAGCTTCCCGGAATCCTAATTTATCTGGAAAAATTCCCGATGGCGAGCTAGCAGAGATCCTTTGAGAAAATTCCCACGGAAAAACTGGCGCCTAATTGTTTACGGGCCAACAGGGCCACCTCGGCTATGTGAAGCGTAGGCGGCCGGCTCCCACAGCTCGCGGATGCAAATTCGCGCTTTGCCGATCTCTCTCTCTCTCTCTCGCTCTCTCGCCTCTATCGGGCCATTCCACTCGTCTGATTCGATTTCCCGGCCCGCCACCTTGAGTGCTTCTCGCCGCACGACGCCTCCTCCTAGCGCCCCTTTTTTGCGCGCCTCGCTTCACGCCGAGGGTATTTTTGCCCCGCGGCGCTGCTATGCCGTTTCGAGTGGAATTTGTAATTCAAATTTTAATTTTAATATCTTGTATTTTTTTCGCCTGTCCCCGCCCTTTAAAAATAACAGTAGCATCGAGAAAAGCTGTAGAAAGAGAGCGAAAGAGAGCGTGAGAGAGAAAGAGAGAGAGAGAGAGAGAGAGAGAGAGAGAGAGAGAGAGAGAGAGAGAATGGGGAGAGAGAGAGAGAGAGAGAGAGAGAGAGAGAGAGAGAGAGAGACAGAGGGAGCCAGAGAGATAAAGAGAAGGGGAGAGAGAGGGTGAGCGAGATAGAGGAAGGGACTGAGAGAGAGAGAGAGAGAGAGAGAGAGAGAGAGAGATGGAGAGAAAGAGATAGATATAGAGAACGGGAGAGAGCGACTTTTTTTATTATTCACCATTTCGAGAAGCGACTGTCTCAAAAAATCCGCAGCAACCTATGCTAGCCTGCCCTCTACGCTAACCAAACTCTTTACGGCCGTTTACCTGCCCCTATGCCCAGTTTTTTTCGGAAACCCGAAATTTGAGCTCGCGACCTGAAGCTCGGGTTGCTCAAGTTTTCGTTGCTCCTCTTTTAGTTTATTGATGTTTCTCCTGTTTTAGCGATTTTTTTCCTGGAATGATTGTTTTTTATATGGTTTCCTATTTTTTAAGGAAATTCCAACATTTCAGAATCCCATTTGGGCCCCCCGCGGCGCATATCACGGCAAGCCAGGGCGGGGCACGGGGCCACAACCCGATTCGTGAATGGCCTTCCGCCGCCGCGTGAGTTTTAAAGGACTAGGACGGGCAGGCTAGCAGGGATTTTTTGAGAAGAGATCATTTAGGAATTACCTGAATCTGCCAATTCATTTTTTTAGGGTAGCGGCGACTCGAACTTCAGCCACCATGGCTCGGAGATGGACCTCGAGGAGTCCAATCGGGAGACGATGCGGAGGGATGCCGAACGGCAGGCCGCACTGCAGCTCGAGAGGGCAAAGGTGGGATTCCTCAGAGATCTTTGCTAGCTTACTGCAAAACCCCCCTTAATCTGTTAATTTTAGTATAAACCGGTCGCGTTTGCCGTGTCGACAAACGTCGAGTACGACGGCTCCCTTGATGACGATAGTCCGGTACATGGGTGCGCCGTCAGCTTCAAGGTCAAGGACTTCTTGCATATCAAGGAGGTTGGTTTCCTAAAGAATCTCTGCTAGCCTGCCCTTTCCTCAAGAATCTCTGCTAGCCTGCCCTTTCCTAAAGAATCTCTGCTAGCCTGCCCTTTCCTAAAGAATCTCTGCTAGCCTGCCCTTTCCTAAAGAATCTCTGCTAGCCTGCCCTTTCCTAAAGAATCTCTGCTAGCCTGCCCTTTCCCAAAGAATCTCTGCTAGCCTGCCCTTTCCTCAAGAATCTCTGCTAGCCTGCCCTTTCCTAAAGAATCTCTGCTTGCCTTCCCCCCTCAAAATACCACTTGAAGGCCTTTGTTTTCACCAACAGCGTCCTAGCCAATTTGCCGCCGGTTCTGTGACACTATCGGGGGGGTAATTTTTCTTATGGATCTAATTTTACTAGTAAACATAGATGAAGTGTTTTGAACTTGTTGTTTCTCGTCTTTTACGTAAAAACTTTACAAATTTTTATTAAAAATACAAAAAAATAGCGAATATTGAAACGGTCTATAAAAGATTTCTGCAAAATTCATAGCAGCATCCCAAGCCTGCTACCGAAGCTTTCGAAGCCTCTGAAGCCCAGAGGCTTGGCGAATGCACATCCCCCGAAAAGGGGTACCCAAAACCCGGGATTGCGGCACAGAATCCGGGAGCCAAAAATTTGATAATTCCGAAAATTCTGAGCATTCCGTGCTTAACGTCGCCCGGCTACTCGGAGATGAACAAGCTTTTGAGGGCCAGTTCAAGATCCATGATATATTGACCGGTCTAGTAGGACACTAGCCAGCCATTTACACACTCTCCTTGTTCACAAGGAAGTGGCAGTGGGCTGTACGTGGCCAACGGGACGGTGGAGGACGTCTCCTGACACCGACAAATTCCAGCGAATTTTTTTGGGCCTATGTGTCCATGGGGTGGTCCAGGTGGGGGGCGAGTGGGGGGGGGGGGGGGAAGGCAGCGCGGTTAGGCAAAGGCATTTTTAGGCAATTTTTGGCCTAATTCCGCTTGCGATTAATTAATAATTAAATTTTAATTTTTTTATTGGAATTTGATTGTCTTCGTTTGCTGATTTAATCGATTTTGACATCTCTTTTTCGGGTTTATTTCTAAAACCTTCTCTTAAAAATCATTGAAAAATACTTTTCTAATTTTTTTTTATTTTTCTTGTTGTTAACCTTTCCCCTTTCGGCGCGTAATTGATAAGGATCACTTTAAGGGGACGGGCAAGGTTTTTAGATGAAAAACCAGGGTTGAAAAGCCGCTTCGCGACTTTTCAACCCTGGCCCCGTCTGACCCCATTTTATCCTTCAGTTTGCATAATTTTCCTGAATTCAGATGACAAAAAATGAAAAACTACCTGTTGAGCCCCTTTATATAGTCGAATCCCCACTTCCGGTCTACGCTAATTGTTCCTAACAAAGAGGTTTTTACAAAAACTTGAATTTAAATTCGAAAATAGGTGATTTTGTTAAATCTGATATGCGTGCAGTCATCTCCAGGCCATTACGCATCTAATGACGTATCATACATACCTTAAAATTGATCTCCTATCGAGATATCTTCCGGACAGACATCCGGAAGTGGATGCAAAGTGGCACACACACAAACACAGACACTATTTTTTTATATATATGAAAAATTACTTAACAAATGGACCGACAGGCTGCAACGGCTGCCTTCCCCCACTGCCCCCCACTCGCCCCCCACCTGGACCACCCCCTGGACAGATAGGCCCCAGGAAATTCGCTGGAATTTGTCGGTGTCAGGAGACGTCCTCCACCGTCCCGTTGGCCACGTACAGCCCACTGCCACTTCCTTGTGAACAAGGAGAGTGTGTAAATGGCTGGCTAGTGTCCTACTAGACCAGTCAATATATCATGGATCTTGAACTCGCCCTCAAAAGCCTGTTCATCTCCGAGTAGCCGGGCGACGTTAAGCACGGAATGCTCAGAATTTTCGGTATTATCAAATTTTTGGCTCCCGGATTCTGTGACGCCATCCCGGGTTTTGGGTACCCCTTTTCGGGGGGATGTGCATTCGCCAAGCCTCTGGGCTTCAGATGCTTCGTTTTCAAGCTCGAGATGTTGCTTACTTCATTTATGTTTACTAGTAAAGCATGAACCATAAGAAAAAATTACCCAAAGGGATATCAACAGGGTGCATTCACGAAGCTCCATGGCTTCAAAAGCTTGGTTCTGAAGCTGGGTTGAGCTTCTGAACTTTTTTTCGGGACTTCAGGGCAGCCACTTTTCTTCTGTACCTTCAAGCCGACGCCCAAGCCCAATCCTAAGCCTAAAGCCAAGCCATGTTCTCTGCTAGCCTACCTTTCAATTCCTTAATGCTCTCTGCCAGCCATCCTCCTCCATTCCCTAAAGATCTCTGCTAGCCCTCCACGTCAATTTCCATCCTTTCAACAAATTTCTCTTGCTCTCGTTCCGTCGGGATGGGCTGGCGACATTCCGCGGTGAGAGCAGGGGCCCAAAATGGGCCCCAATTTGGCCCCTAGCGTCCCGATCTGGCGGTCTCGACGTGTCAAGCCTTTTCACCCCCGCACCGCCAATTTTCTTGGCTTTTCCCCTGGGGGTGGCTTTTCCTGGGGGCCTAATGAGCGCCTGACGCTAGGGAAGGCTTGGAATTTGCGGCTGGAAATGGAGAAAAAATGGGAAATTAGGGAAATTCCTAAAGGATCTCCGCTAGGCTGCCCTTTCCAAGGAATCTCTGCTAGCATGCCCTTTCCTAAAGAATCTCTGCTAGCCTGCCCTTTCCTAAAGACTCTCTGCTAGCCTGCCATTCAATTCCTACGTGATCTCTGCTATCCTGCCCTTTCCCAAAGAATCCCTGCTAGCCTACCCCTGTTCCAGAAATACAACAATGATTGGTGGATCGGCCGTCTCGTCAAGGAGGGTCACGATCTCGGCTTCATCCCCTCGCCCGTCAAGCTGGAGAGCTTAAGGCAACAGCATAATACAAAGGGCACAAAATTGTAAGTTTTTAGGTGTTTGACGAGATTACGGTAGTTTTTGCAGTATTTAGCTCTGCTAGCCTGCCTTTACCTCGTTAGCCTAAGCCTAAGCATACAGTCTAGTCTCCGGAAAACTGTAAGGTATACGATTACGGTATCCATTGCAGTAAACAATCGACATCTACGTCCAATCTCGGAAATCTCGATCAAATGATGCCGAGAAGCGGAAGTAGAGGCAGCACACCGCCGACGCCTGGAGGTACGGTTTAAAATGATCCAAGTTGTCATTAAAGGCGTACTTCAAAACGTTTTGGCAACGTTTTTTTCAGACGATGAAGATCACACTCACAAAAAGTTGAAAGACATCGTCACCACGCCCCCGACGAAGGAGAAGAAGAAGCTGATTTTTAAGAAGGTACCTCATCGGATTTTGTAATTATTCTGGTATTCTGATTTAATTGACTCCATCTTACTGTAATTTATCTTACATCTTTTTTTCAGCAAGAAAACGTGCCGCCGTACGATGTCGTACCCTCAATGCGACCCGTCGTCTTGGTTGGCCCGTCATTAAAGGGGTAAATTACATAAAAATTACTGTATTTTCGTTCTAGAATGGCTATCTAGTTTCTCTAGGGGTTTAAGAGTCCTATAACTTGTTAAAATATACACATTTTAGGTACGAGGTGACGGACATGATGCAAAAGGCTGTTTTTGACTACTTGAAGCATCGATTCGAGGGCAGGTCAGTATTTTTTTCGCTTCGTGGGCTTGGTTTGGGCTTAGGCTTAAGCTTAGGTTAGCTTAGGCTTAGCTTAGGCTTAGCTTCGGCTTAGGCATGGCTTAGCTTAGGCTTCGCTTAGGTTTAGCTTACGCTTAGCCTAGGCTTGGCTTAGGCTTGGGTTTGGCTTAGACTGCGTTTAGGCTTGGCTCAGGCTTAGCTTAGGCTTGGCTTAAGCTTACTTTTCCCATCATTTTGTTCATTTTTAGAATAATCATAACCCGGGTGACCTCGGACATCTCGTTGGCCAAGCGGTCGCTGCTCAACGACCCTCGGAAACGGGCGATTATGGAGCGGGCGAACAGTCGGACGAGCAACAGCCTAGGTAGGTCGAATCGGGGTAAATGGTCTCTGCTAGCTTGCCTTGGAAAAGAAAATTCCTCAAAAGTCTCTGCTAGCAAGCTAGCCTCTTAATTCCGCAAAAATCTCTGCTAGTTTTCCCCTACCGCAATTACTGAGTGTTCTTTGCTAGCCTTCCCCTGCCCTTTAAAATTTTCCAAATTCCTCAAGGTTCTCTGCTAGCCCACCAGTCGTCAAAATTCCTCAAAAATCTCTGCTAGCCTGCCTCAACTTCTCTCTAAATATCGGGCCAATCCCTCAACGTTTTCTGCTAGCTCGCCCGAACCGTCAAAAGTTGCAGTGTGGAATCAGCTGGCCGAGCCGGCGTTCGAAGTCGAAATTGAGCAAGGGTTATTGGGTATTTTCAGGGGAAAATAGGGTGTTTCCAGTACCTTTTACACCTATCGACACTTTGCTTTCAAAACCAATGGATCTGTCTTTCTCTAACAAAAAATATCGGGTTTTCAGGGAGCTTTAAAGCTAAAAACTCTAAAATTCTCTAAAAATCTTCGTTTTAGCGGAGATTCAAACGGAAATCGAGCGAATCTTCGAGCTGGCCCGATCGATGCAGCTGGTTGTATTAGGTGAGGAAACTGAGCATCTTTGCCTTCAATGGTCCTTTAAAGTTTGATGTTTTGCCTTGACTGGTCCTTTAAAGCAGATTCTTACTTTCGCGTTCCTTTAAAAATGGGTTTTTTTACTTCACGGTCCCTTAAAAAGAACAGCGACCTTCAGCGGCCATTTAAAATACTAAAAAGTGCCCTCAATGGCCCATAAACTCTAATTTGCATATCTCAGACTGCGACACGATCAACCACCCATCACAGCTCGCCAAAACCTCCCTCGCCCCAATTCATGTGTACATAAAAATTAGTTCTCCAAAGGTGAGTTGCTCCTCTCTCGCTCTCTCTCTCTCTCACTCTCTCGCTCTCTCTCTCCATCTCTCTCTCTCTGCATCTTTCTTGGTCTCTCTGTCTCTCTCTTGCCCCTCACTCACTCTAAATTTCTGTCTCCACTCTCTCCCTCCCTCTCTCTCTCTCTCTCTCTCTCTCTCTCTCTCTCTCTCTCTCGCTCATCGAATTCAAATTTCCATTTTAAGGTCCTGCAACGATTGATAAAGTCCCGCGGCAAATCCCAAAGCCGAAATATGAATGTACAGATGGTGGCCGCGGAGAAATTGGCACAGTGCCCACCAGTGGGTTGTTGGGTGCTTCAGTAGCGAGATTACTCCACCTTTAGTAGCTACCAAATTGGCTTAGATATTTGTTTGGGTTCACTACGTTTTACAACTCTTACAGTAACCATAGTTGCGTTGCTGTTAATAAATCGCTAACTTCCTTAAAATCCGCCTTTCAGGAGATGTTCGACGTGTTGTTGGACGAGAATCAGCTAGAGGATGCCTGCGAACACTTGGCCGACTATATGGAGTCCTATTGGTACCGTTATTTCCGCATGTTGGACTCTTTTTAAACCGGAAATGGCAAAATTCAGGGTATTTTCGTAAAAACCCGGATAATTCGGTCAAAAAGCGACATGTTTGGGATTTTTAATATAAATTTGTAAAGTTTTCAGCCTTAGTAATAATCTTTACCCCCCTCGCCCCCGGCCCGAGGGTCGCAAAATTTTTGATATTTTCCTTATTTTTTCGGGATATTTTGACGTCATTTGATAGAGCATCAAAAAATATACTAACAGTTTTAATTACAACCCAAAATAATGTAAAACAAATTAGTTATGTCAAAAACAACAAAATCCGAATAACCGCGCAATTGTGTTGATTGTAATATTGATTTTTTTTGGAAATTCCCGGCCAGGGGATAGTTCGCTTCGGCATAAGAAAATTGGATAATTGATCGCAAACTTGGGTAATTGAACCGGGCGCCGCCGTGCCTTCCCACTCGCCCCCCACCTGGCCCACTGACTGGGCAGATAGTCCAACCCTCTCCACCTCAATTCGTCAGTCGGTTCACCCCGACCTTCTGACCCGGTGGCTCCGTCCAGCCAACAAATGGGTGTCAGGGCTCCCCTTAATGCCTGAAAATGGGTGGATGGCTCCCCTTAATGCCTAAGAAAAGCTGCGGCTTGTGAACTGCTTGAAAAGCTTCGGCTTTGCAGTATGAAATACTGGCTTGGCTATGTGTTCTACGTAGTCCAAATGCCTAAGCAACCGGTTGGTAAGGCTGCAGCCACAGGCGCGACACTTACGAAAAAGCCTGGCCCATACACGTGGTGGCCAAAAAAGGCAAATTTCCCTACAATTTTCACATTGTGGCCCCTCCCCCATCCCACAATGCCTAGCCCCCTCCCCCTCCCCCCCCCCCTCTCCCCCCTCTCCCCCCTTCCCCCTCCCCAAAACACCAAACGTGGTGGCCAAAAAAGGCAAATCCCCCTCCAATTTTTCCATTTTGTCCTCCGCTCCCACGATGCTTTTTCCCCGGCCCCGTCCCCCTCCCCCGCCCCCGCCCCCTCCCCCCCCCCCCAAACCCCAACCTCCCAAAGCCCAAAAAACTCTTGCCCTTCCACTACTTATATTTCAAAAATTGGATCCTAAGAAAAATGGTTAGTCTCCCCCCGATAATGCCAAAGAACGAATAGATATTTCTGGTGTCTAGGTGTCACTCTCCCTTTAAACCCTCCCTTCCAGGCGAGCCACCCATCCGCCCGTCCGATCCCCGCCGAGAATAAAGCGGAATCCGATGGAGAACCGGGGTCCCAGCACGCTGTTCACCCCCGCGCAAATGATGCAGGTACGGTGCCGGGTTACGGTAGATGTCAAGGGCTACAAACTACACCTCGCAACAGCCCTAATTTCTGTTAAGCGCAAATTACAATAATATTAATATTACCTTAACCAGACGCCGCAATCACCCGAGCCAGAACAGGTCCGAAATCGCTACCCAAAGCTTATAGGCAAATTACCGCGTTTTCCAAAAAAAACACTGTTGCTTCCTGTGCCGAGTACAGTCACGTACCGTACGTCTAGTGTACTGTAATGGAGCTGCCGAGCTGATTTCCCTGACCCAAAAACATTGTAATTGAACTTTTTATCTGTGTTTTTCAGGGCACGACGCATATGGGGGGATTTGGAATGGGAATGCAGTCACATCCATCTGCCACGTCAATGGGTGAGTTTGGAATTCCTAAGGAATCTCTGCTAGCCTGCCCAATTTCTAAATTTCCTCAAGAAGCTCTGCAGCCTGCCCAATTTCTAAATTTCCTCAAGAATCTATGCTAGCTTGCCCGTGGATCAAGAATCTCGGCTAGCTCAAGAATCTCTGCTAGCTTGCCTGATCGATTATCTACAGATCTCTGCTAGCTTGTCTTTTGACCAGATTCATAATTAATCCCTGTTCGTACGCTCAAATTCATTTCCTAAAGCATCTCCGCTAGCCTGCTCCAAATTTGCATCAAAATTCCACAAGATTCTGTGCTATTTTTCGCTAGCTTACTCAAAATTCCCCAATGACCTCTGCTAGCTCGCCCCACACTCCCCAATAATCTCTGCTCTTCTAGTCGGGATGAACGGCAGCTCGCCCTACCTCCAGCCACCGCAACACGCGCAGCAAAGTGTGCCCAAGCCCGTGCAGCAGCCCATGGGAATGGTAAGGAATTTTTGATGGGTTCTTGCCTTCAATGGCCCTTTAAAAGGATTCAGAATTTTTGTCAAATTCCGTTTCAGTACCAACAACCCCCACAAATGATGGGCGGCCCGCCGATGGGGATGTATCAACCGATGCCCGCTGGGACACCACAGCATATGATGCAGCAGCCGAGGTAGGCTGGCAGAGATCATTTGGGAATTGGCTTAGGCTTAGTTTAGGCTTAGCTAAGACTTAGCTTAGGCTTGGCTTAGACTTAGTTTAGGCCTAGCTGGGGCTTAGCTTAGGATTGGCTTAGGCTTAGTTTAGGCCTAGCTGGGGCTTAGCTTAGGCTTGGCTTAGACTTAGTTTAGGCCTAGCTGGGGCTTAGCTTAGGATTGGCTTAGGCTTAACTGAAACTTAGCTCAGGCTTACTTAGCTTAGCCGTCGCTTAGGATTAAAGAGGCTTAGCTTAGGATTAGCTTAGGCTTGGCTTAGTTTAGGCTAAGCTTACTTTCAAGGCAGGCCAGCAGAGATCATTTCCACTTTTTTCAGATTCACGCAAGTCCCCCAGCAGCCTGATCGCCACGGCTACGACGAGTACGACGACGTGGACATGCAGAGGGGATACGCACCGTACGGAGGAGCACGTTATTGATTTACTGCTGCTGTTACCGTCCATTTCAACAGCCAGTCCTTGGTGTCACTGTCCCTTTAAAAAGAGCTTTTAACCTTCGTAAATTTCGTAAAAAGCGAAATTTCGTCACACCGCCACCCCCATTAATGCGTAAACGGGTATAGAAACCTATTTTTTTTCAGTGCCAGAAATATGTATATTTTTAAGTATATACAAAAATGCCTTGGCGCAACATCACAGCACCCCCACACACGAATCTTTCTTTTTTAAAGGGGTCGGCAAGGCATGGGTACGGATTTTTGGCTGTGGGTTCCTGGATGATAAGCCTGAGCCTAAGCTGAGCCCAAGCTAAGCTTAAGCTAAGCCGAAGCTAAGCCTAAGCTAAGCCTAAGCTGAAGCCGAAGCTAGGCCTAAGCAAAGCCTAAGCTAAGCCGAAGCTAAGCCTAAGCGTAACTAATTCAGCGCGAGTAAAAATCCATAACTCTGCCTTGCCGGTTCCTTTAATCGATCGCCTCCTCCTCCGAATGTTTTTTTTATAATCGCAGTCAACAAATTGCTCATTTTTCTGGCTTACCTTAAAATATACCTTTATGCTATTGTATTTTTCAGGCACTAAATTTGCATACAATACTTTCAAAATTACAATAATTCTAATTGCCAAATGCCTCGGCTCTTTTTAAATGTAAATCTCGGGCGCTTTTGCATTATCGGGGGATCTTTTTTTTGTACTAACTACTACCAAAAAAATCGTAAAATTTTAAAATCCGAAATTTTTTGTCAAAAATCATATTTTTGCATTTTCTTGATAAAAATTTGTAAAGTTTTTACGTTTAGAAATAGTAAAAAATTTTAGAAATCTTTCCTATTTTTATATTAAAATTAATCTCCATTAAAAATACCCCCCCGATAATGCAAAAGCTCCCAATTCCCACTATTAATCCGGCCCACTTGGCAAGTCGGGCGGCTTGGAACTTAATAAAATTTTATCTAATTTAATGCTGAATCGATCGGTTAAAAAATCAGCAAAATTTGCATAAATTCCAAGCCCGCCCCGCCCATTTTCAAGTTATTTTCTGTGCTTTGCATATCAGGTGTCTTCGGTTTTCTTCGATTGTCGTGTGTGTATTTCAATTATTTTTTTGAGTTTTTTTTTGCATAAGATGAAGATGATGAATAAATTTATATATATTTAAAACAGGATTTGATACGATGAAAAATTACAGGAATTATGCAAATTAATCCTAACGACTCTCAAAATCGCGATAATAGCTGCGGGAAATTGGGGTCGGCAAATCGGCAATATTCGTTTTTAGGAATGAATTTTCCCAACCATTTCGGGAATACAGTATGCGGTCCACCTGAAAGGGGGCAAATGGTCTCTGCTAGCCTGCGCTTTCTTAAAGAATCTCTGCTAGCCTGCCCTTTCCTAAAGAATCTCTGCTAGCCTGCCCTTTCCTAAAGAATCTCTGCTAGTCTGTTTAAAATCGCTTCTAACCTGTACGCAGCTTTCATCTGGCTCTCGACTAGCCTGAACGGCTTGCCGTCGTCGCTCCTTTTCCTCGTATTCTCTGGCCCATTTGCATAGCAAGCAAGAGCCCGGGCGGCTGGCTGGGTGTCCTAAATCTAGGCTTAGGTTTGGGCTTAGCTTAGGCTTGTTCTTAGGCTTAAGCTTCGGATCGTACGCACCATGTACATCTCCATCCGGTCTCGTTCTATACCCGTCGCCGTCCGAATCCCACTGGAAGTATTCTCGATCGGAGTGGCGCTTCCGGCGAGTCGGATCCGGAATCCGGATCGGGGATAGCGGCTTGGGAGGGGTGAGCTGTTGGATTGAGCTGAAAACGAGCAGAGATCATTTGGGACTTCGGGCAGGCTAGCAGAGATCCTTTGGGAAAGTTACTAACACCGATCTCGACCTCCGTCCACTCCCCGCCGTCGCCGTATTCCTCGATTTCAACGTCATCCGATCGGCGAATGCGTCTGCTGCACTAAAAACTACAGGAATAGAGTGGGGCAGGCTAGCAGGGATCATTTCGGAATGAAGAAGGCAGGCTGGCAGAGGCAACAAAGAAGAACGCGCCTTTGGCGCTGCTCTTCCCCAGCACGATACCGTTCCCGGGCTCGATCTCGGCGTTGATTTTCTGAAAAATCGAGCTTCAAAACGGATATAGAGGCTAAGCCTAAGCCTAAGCCCAACCTAAGCCTAAGAGAAGCCTAAGTCTAAGCGAAGTCTAGGCCTAAACTAAGCCTGAATCTTCCACCTTCCATCATAGCCAATATAATGCTGCCCTCCTTCTCGTCGTGACCAAAATTTGGCGGTGGAGTCCGTAACACTGGCGGATTTGCTAAAAAGTTCTCAACTTTGCTAGCTAGAATCAGAATCGTGATTTATTATTCAGGACCGGGAATGTTCATCTACCACTTGCCAACACCGGCCCCCGGAGATCATCCTCCGAAAAAGTGATCGACAGTTCGCGGCGACTATTGGCTGACATTTCTATCAAAATAAGGTTAAATCTGTCCGGCCATAGGATTTATGTTTTCAAAAAACCTTCAAAAAAATTTTTCTCAAAAAACAGGAATCCCCGATTTCCCGTCGAATCCCGGATTTTGGCGCGGCGCTCGTTGTCCCTGGCACGTTGCCAGGGCCAGAGAAATTAGAATGACCCGGGGGGTTTCACTTTCGATTTCGAAACCGGGGTCTTAAAGGGATTGTGAAGCTGCACCGTTTTGGGAATTAGTTGGTCCCTAAAATTCTAACTAACTCCCCAGGTATACCCTTCATACGGTTAGAGTAGATGTCACGATTATTATTGAGATTGCGGGATGAAGCGTGTCACAAGTCTCAGCTTCATGTGCCCCGGATGGCATATCTTCAGTACACATCTTGACGCGCCGGATTCCGGGGTCTTTGAGACGCCGGAAGCCACCATATGCTCCGACCGGAAATGGGGTAGCTAGCAGAGAATATTTGGGAAAGGGCAGCCAAGCAGAGGTTGGCAGGTTAACAGCGATTCTTTAGGACAAGGCGGGCAAGCTATCAAAGATTTTTTAGGAGCGCAAACAAGAAAATAGACTGCTGAATTTTTTCAATGTGGCAGGCTAGCAGAGATTTTTTGGGAAGGTGCAGAAGAGGAAGGAAGAGGGGCAGGCTGGCAGAGACATTTTGCGGGGACGAGACAGCATTTTATACCCAGGCAATCGCGCAGAGATTCTTTGCCGAAGCCATCAAAAATTTTAACCGTAAGACCCGACAACCATGTCTCATTTCCTAAAGAATCTCCGCTGGCTTGCCCTTTCCTAAAGAATCTTTGCTAGCCTGCCCTTGCCTAAAGAATCTCTGCCTAAAGTTGACCCGGCTTTATAAAATTTACATTTCAGGTCCCTTGTCTCAATTTTGGCCCCGGGGCCCTAACCGGAAACCCCGTGCAACCATATGCTCATTTTGAGTCTATGGCCCTTCCTGGGCTTTGATGTGTCTTCTCGGCTTTGATGGGGAGAGATGGGATCGCTGCGGGACCCCACGAGAGGCAACGAATGAAATCTGTCGCCCCCAGGAATTGCATAATCTATGCTGTATAATGAGGGCAGCGAGACAGTGGCGGTGTTGCTTTTTGTGGCCCAGGATAATGAATAATTTTTAGGGGTAGGCTAGCAGAGATTGTTTAGGGATCTCAGGGCGCGGAAGCGATGGGCATGCTAGCATGGATCTTTGAGGAAAATTTAAACATGATCCCCGCTAAGCTGCCTCGTCTTCGAAGCGTTAAACTGTCTCTACTTGCTGGAGATATTTTCCTAAATTAATTCTGCTAGCCTGCTCATTCCTAAAGAATCTCTGCTAGCTGCTCTTTCCTAAAAAATCTCTGCTAGCTTGCCCCTTCCTAAAGAATATCTGCTTGCCTGTCGCTTCTCCTCTCAAATGGCCACTGCTAACCAGCACCTAAATTTTCAGTCTCGCTATTCCCAAATGATCGCTGCTAGCCTGCCTCGCCTCCATTCCTAAAAGATCTCTGCAAGCTTCTCTTCAAATTCAAAACCCCAAACATACCTCCCCAGGCTACAGCCAGCCGTTACCCTCCGCCCGCTGGCCCTGGGTGACAATTGGGTGTTGATTTTCTAGCCCCTATGGCTTCGAACGTTCCACGCCGGCTTCCCCGTTACGTCACAGGCCAAACGGTCGCCCAGCTGCCCATGAGAAAGAAGAGAGAGACAGAGAGAGAGAGAGAGGGAGAGAGAGAGAGAGTGAAAGCCAGCTGCCACATGCCTCACCCGGGGGGTACGGTAGTCAACAGCGTGATCTAGGGGTGTTGAACCCTATGGCAAAAGCGGAAGCGAAAATTCTCAAACGGACTCTGCCAGCTAATTGAAAAATCAAGGGCCGTTTGGTTTGCGACAAGCAGCGGCTCATTTCAAAAATTCTGGCAGGCTGGCAGAGATGATTTGATGGCAAAATGGGGACGTTAGCAGAGGTAATTTAGGAATTGAGGGCAGGCTAGCAGAGATTCTTCACGAAGGGGCAGGCTTGAAGGGTTTTCTTCGAAAGACAGTCAGTTCGTTCCCCTAAAAATTCCCTGCTAGCCTGCCCCTTGCATTCATTCCCACGTAATTTCTGCTGGCCTCTCCTTACTTTCCTTAACGATTTACGCTGGTTACCCTGGGCTTCTCTACTAGCCTGTCGCTCGTCCGTAATTCCTAAGGTATCACCTTACCCTCTTCTTCACCCCCCGATACCCAAACTCTGTTGATCTAGTCCGGTAGCCAGGTGTGGATGGTGTTCGGCCGGTAGGAGGAAGATTGTTGCGCAACGGGGCCAACCCGGGTTCAATCTCCCCCAGACTCTAAAGAACATAAAATGGCCCATCTGCCTCGATCTAATTCGCCCCAATTGCCACCCTGTAGCCCGGCCAATCAGTGACCACCATTCTACCGTTGAGCAACGCCAATTTAACCCCCCGGGGTGTTGGGTAATCAGCGTTTACCGTAATTGGGGGCGTATTTTTGGGGGGTGAAGGGTTCCAGAAGGCAAAGAATCTATGCTAGCTTGCCTCGGAAGCACTAGGGGGTTTATAAGGAATCACTACTAGTTTGCCTGAGTTAGGTATGGTAGAATTCAGGGCAGGCTAGCAGAGATCATTTTTGAAGTTAGAGCGGTAGGTTAGCAGAGGTGTTTTGAGAAGATAAGGGAGAGTTGCTAGCAGAGATAATTCAGGAACGGGTCGGGCAGAGTAGCAAAGATCACTGGAGAGTTTGCTCCAAACCGTAGTGGTAATTTCGGCGTGACGTCAACATAAAGGTTCGGCAATCTAGCAAAACGTCTGCTCTCCCTTCCTATCCCCTTAAGAGAATTTTTACTGCATTGTGCTCCAATTTGCAGGTGTTACCTTGTAGGGGTCGAGGGCCATGTTGAGACACGGGCCCTTAGGCTATGATCCTATTCTTCCCTCGGCTGATGGGAAGAAGGAAATTGCGCAACATCCTCACCGATATCCCCCTCCCCGACCCGCGTCTTCAACAAGGAGCGGGACACGTGTTGGGGCCCACTTCAACGTATTCCGTCAATTGTATCGAGGCGTCAGCTGGATGCATGAATGGCGAGGGCTGTACTACGGTAGCCAAAAAATTCTGTCAGAGGTTCTAATTTTTCAGATATAAATAGTGGACGTGTTTCTAAATGGTTTTTACTAATCCTAAACAAAAAAACTTTACAGATTTGTAACAGAAAAAATCAAGAATATAGGTTTTTCGACCGAAAATGGCCGGTTTTTTACGAAATTTTCGGCTTTTTAAAGATTTTTCATAGTTTTCCTAGGCTGGGCTGGGCTGGGCTGGGCATTTCTAGACAGCTACAAACGCCCCCCCGATAATGCGAAAGAACCGTTTTGACCAGCTTCATCGGCTCATTTGGCCCATATCATTGGCCAAAAACGCCGGGGGTCACATGTGACGCAACTGGGGGGGCCTCGACAAATCTGAGGTCGTTTGCCAACCAACACCTGCCCCGTGTCGAGGAGCCCTTTTAAAGGGACTGTGAAGGCACCACGTATCCATTCATACTCTGTGTTGATGGGGGCAAACAGATTGTGTGGACATCTCGGGGGCTTGTTGGCTTGTATTGTAGCTGGAGGGCGTGTTGGTACTTTGGGGTGTGTCATGAGGGGCTGGCTGTAACAATGGGAAGTGTGGGGAAGGTGGGTACAGTACCTCCGGCTCGCGACACAATTCGGGCCGGGGAGAGGCAAGGATTTCTTGGTCATTTCCGGCAGGCTTCGTCTTAGCTTAGCTTGGGTTTAGGCTTACTTAGCTTGGGCTCGGCTTAAGCTTAGGCTAAGCTATGGGCAAGCTTGAAGTTGTAGAGAGACTTTGGGTTAGAGTGCAGTTTACCCCCTCCAGCCGGCACCCAACGTTTGTATCTCGGCTCCCTGTTCATCTACAGGTGTGTAAAGTATACCAAACTGTTTGTCTTGCTCTGGCGAGTATTTTGGTAGGCTTTACACACCTGTAGATGAACAGCGAGCCGATATACGGTAGGTGGGTGCCGGCTGCGGGGGGGGGGGGGGGGGGGGGGGTGGGCTGCACTTAAGCCAGAAGGGTTGGAAGACAAAAAAAAAACATTTTTTAAAACATTTGATTCCCTTGTAGTCTTTGCCAGCTTGCCGTCTCATTCCCAAACGATCTCTGCTAGCTTGCCCCTCGTTTCTAGGCGAAAATAATAATTTTCAGAATCTTCCAGGTTTTGCAACTTGTTGGGATCCGAGGGGCCCCACCGGCAAGTGGTGGGCCCCATTTTCTTGGGCCCTCAAGGGCCAATCTCAAGCTGAACGCCGCGCTACTCGTGACGCCCCCCAACAATGGGATGGCCGCGGAATTTTCGGGGTTTTGCTGAAAAGTTTTTGAGGGGCTTCTGTTGCTCGTCTTCAGCTTACTTTAGATCTGTTTTGCGGCCTTGGTTGCAGTTTCATTTTTGGCCAAAAAGGCAAAATTTTGCAATTTTTAATTTGCCCCCCCCCCGCTAACAGCTCGGCGCCATTTTTCGAACCGATAGTCTGTAGTCTGTAGTAGTGTGTAGTCTTGTCGCCCGGAGCTTGTAGCCTGTAGTCTGTCGTTTTTTATGTGACTTGTAATCTGTAGCTTGTCGTATAAATCTGTAGCCTGTATCTTGTAACCGCTCAGAGCACAAACTACAACATACAAAAACACGCAAACCACCAAACAGCAATGCTTTATTTGAAATCACGAAAAGTTGATTGGCAAGTGGGTTTGACCAGGGTTCAATGTTGGGCGACGAGTTCGACGAGTTCAGGCGGCGTCGCCTTCCTTCTTGGCCTTCTTGGCGTCCTGAGCAGCGACGGCCGTGTCGGATGGGCGCTTCGCGGCGGCGGCGACGGCCGTCTGGGAGGGGCGCTTCGTGGCGGCGGCAGCTGGGAGGGCTTCAGCCTGAAAATTACGGGGTTGTAGCTTATCTGGCGACGTCGAGCTCGGCAAGTACGGTAACTTCCCCTCCCCCCCCGCTAACAGTCCAGTACCGCGTTTCCTTACCTTCTTCGGCTCGACGACCTTCGGCTTCTCGTCGACCTTCTTCGGCTCAGCGGACTTGACGGGCTCGGCGGGCTTGGCCGGCTCGGCCGACTTGCGCTCCTTGCTGACATCGGCCATCTTGGCGACGTCCGGCTTCGGAGGCGTCGCATCCTGGAGAGACGCAATTCACTAAAGGTATACCATGATTTTCTACCGGCTTCTTGCCCTCGTTGGCGACGTCGGCCGTCTTGGACTCGACGAGCTTGGGGGGCTCAGCCGGCTTGCCCTCGTTGGCGACGTCGGTCTTCTGATCTTGACCCTCGTTGGCGACGTCGGCCTTCTTGTCCTTCTCGGTCTTCTCGGATTTCTTGACCTTGGTCTTCGACGTCTTCGGCTTCACCGGCTTGTCCTCCTCGGCCAGCACCTCCTGAAAATGATGATCATCTACTTCTTTTTCTTTCCGCAGAGAAGTCTATTCCACCCACAAAGTTCGGGACGGGCGCCGACTCCGGCAAGGGCAGGTAGTCCCGCCAGCCGTTGTACCGCTTCGCCTTGTCGAGGTGCGTGGTGGCGATTTCAACCTTGAAAAAGAGGCTAATTCAGGTGCCCTGAATAAGTCCGACCAGCTCGTTGACGTCGTCGAGGTCGTGCTGCAGCTGGTGGTTGGCCGCGTAGACGGCGTTGATCTAAAGCATCGAGACGTTCCCAAACGCTCTCTGCCGGCTCGCCTTGTCCCTGATGCTCTTGACGGAGGTCTGCAGCTCCTCGAGGTACTCCATGAACTCGAAGATGTCGCCGAGCAGTCCAAAGTGAGGGCCGCACACGCAATCCTAAGTGGAAATTGGTTAAAGGGCCCTTCAAATGCCTCGGCATGCTGTAGATGAACACCGGTACCTCTTTGCTCACTTTCGGCTTGACCTCCTCGGTCTTGACGGCCCGGTTCTCCTCCACTTTCGACTCCTGCTCGGCCCCAGCGTCCATCCGGTCGTCCTCCTCCTCGTCCTCCTCATCCTTGACCTTCTCCTTCTCCAACTTCTTCAGCAAGTGCGACAGGTCGCCCCCGTACTCCTCGGCGACGAACACGAGGTGGGTGAGCTGGCCGCGGGCCTGGAATTCAGGGGAGATGGGCAAGGCCGTAGATAACCAACCTGGCGGACCTGGAACTCGAGCTCCAATCCCTTGCGAGCAAGATCAGCGCTGTGCTCCACCAGCCGCTTCCACAGCAGATCGCCGGCATCGAGCGCGTCAATGAAGATCGGGTCACCGCAGCGGAGGGCCAGGCTCAGGGAGCGCATGCAGCCGGGAGCGTCGGGCTGAAGATGAGCAAGATTTTCGAGGCGTTCAAGGGTCTATGCTAACCCCTGCCGAGCGCGAGAAAATAAACTCACTGGCAGCGTCAACATGTCGAAGTCGGGCTCGTCGAGCGTTCGAGTAGAACCAAGATATGGCTTGGATCTTGGAGCTCGATCTTTTTTATTGCACGGTTTTCATGCAAAATACCGGAATTTCCGGAATTCAAATCTACCGTATACAATTGAGTTTTCGACTCTCACTCTCTCTCTCTCTCTCTCTCTCTCTCTCTCTTTCTCTCTCGCCCTCTCTCTCTCTCTTTCTCTTTCTCTTTCTCGCTCTCCCTTTCTCAGCTATCTGATCTGGATTTATGATTTTTGCACTTGCGGGCAGGGAGAGCAGAGCAAGAGCGAGAGCGAGAGAGAGAGAGTGAGAAAGAGGGAGAGATCGAGAGCTTGAGACACAGAGAGACAGAGAGTGAGACCCGCCCATCGGCTGCACCTTGTCCAGCCAATGGCCACCCCCGAAGCCACGCCCCTTTTTGGGCCCCAGCTTGGGCCCGGGCCCTAAGGATAAAGGTCATCAGGGTCACATGGCCATTTTTGGACCTGTTACCGTATACCAGAGCTTTGAGGCTTTTTGTGCTTTTGCTCGGTTACTGTAGCCCTTTTTTATGTAATTGCTACGTTGAAATGTACTGTACCGTACTTTCAGATGTTGCCCGCCTCCGGCATCCCGCCGTTGCCAAATTTTCTGGCCGTCGCCCAGCCTCAAGCCATGACGCTGCCCGAACTCCTGGCGATGCAGCTACAGTACCGGCAACTTTTTGGTGGTGGTGCGTTTTAGGATGCTGAATTTGCCTTCACTATCCCTTTAAAATTCGTTAAACCTCGGAAATTCAAATTTCAGGCCTCTCAATGAACCTCCAGCATCTGCAAATGTTACTCCTCAACGCCAGCCTACAAACTCCCTGCTCCGCACCGCAGCCAATTACGCCAGATTTTGTGAAGAAGGATGCGGAGGTTGAGGTATTGTTTTGTTTATTACCCGCGACAGTACGTTACGCTACGCTACGTTCCGTTACTTACTTACGCCAGGTCGGGTACTTAAGTAAAGTTACGTTATGCTACTTTACGGTACTTACATAAGCTAAGTCCCTGCGTATATTCCGCCACGTCGCTAGAGACTAGAGACGCTAGATACTAGACTACGTTTCGTAATGCTAAATTCTTCTACGTTTCTTGAGGTTACGTTACGTTACTATGTGCTAGACGGCGTATGTCACGATACGCTACCTAAGTTGCACTACGCAGCGCTATCGCTATAATTCTCTTACGTTTCTTGAGATTACGTTCCGCCACGTTGTCCGAATCTTGACTACGTTACGCTACTATACGTTACGTACAGTACGATACGCTATGCCGCGTTATGGCTAGAATTTTTAAGACTGAACTTTCGCAAACTTTTCTCTTAAAAGCTAATTTTTTAAATATAAATCGTGGAACTATTTTAAACTGCTTTTTACCATTCCTAAGCGTGAAAATTTTACAAATTTAAAAACATATCAAAAATATGGAATTTCCGGCCAAAATTTTCGACTTTCTTAAAGGTTTTTGGATTGTCTTTCTAGTTGAAACTTCGTTATAGTCACTAAAAACACTATTAAAACATTTTCTCTTAAATTACTAGGCAGTTCCAGATTCATGCAAAAAGTTTGGTCCCCCCGATAATGCAAAAGAGCCAGGGCGCCGATGCAAATTGTGACAAAATAATTGTTGCACGTTGATATGCGCGGGGACGGCCGGCTGTCGGAAATGGCAAAAAAGCCGGGGGCTGATTGGCAGATTGCCAGGAAGTGGGGAGGGGAACGGCCGACTACTTTTGATAGCCCTCGATCTTCGGCTATAGTCACAATATCAAAAAAAAAAGAAAAGTGGAGAAAGGGCATTAAAGGGACACAGAAGTACAGTACCCTTAAAATTATGCAAATTTCAGAAACCATCGCAATTCTCCATTCACACATTGTTGGATTTGAAGGAGGACTCGAGTTTGGAGGATGAGAAACCGGTAAAAACAGTTTTTCTCTCTCGTTCTCTCCCATCCTCGGTCTCTCTCTCGCTCTCGCTCTCGTTATGTCTCTCTCGCTGTCTCTCTCTCTCTATCCCTGAATTGTTCGCTATAGTTGGAGATGCCTGTAGGAATCGCGCCCTCTCACTCTCACTTCTCTCTCGCTCTTTCGCGCTCTCTCTCCCTCACCGTCTCTCTCTGCCTCTCTCTTTCACTCTCTCATTCTCTCTCTCTTCACGATAAATTGTTTTCAGTCCTCCTTCTCCAGCAGCTCGCACTCCCCTGGATCTGACGTGATCGCCTATACACTCGATGCCCTAGGTACGGTAGTTTTTGAATTTTCTAGGCCTTGTTTTTTTAGAATTAAGATTTACTTGAATCGACTTATCTACCTTTTAGAAACAGCCGACGGGAGAACCAAGAAAAGAGATCGCTCTACGCACGAGAAAGAAGAGAAGCCGGGGCGCTGCGTTTGTGAGCATTGCGGGAAGAGCTACGCTACGTCGTAAGTTGTTGTGTATGCGCATTACAATAAGTATTTAAAAATACCTAAGACTCGGTCTTAAACTAGTGGTATTTAAATAGTAAAAAAACATGGTAAAATCTCATTTTTAGAAGTAACCTTTCTCGGCACAAGCAGACCCATCGGGCCCTCGACAGCCCGTACGCTAAACAGTGCCCACATTGTGATCGAGTGTACGTCAGTATGCCGGCGTTAAGGTATGGATTTGTAGAAGCTCTGACTTGCACGCTCCTTTAAAGTATAGATAAGCCCAAAATCTATCGTGGTTCATTTGCATTATCGGGGGGGGCTCAACTTTTTTGTGTTAATCTAGAAATGCCCAGTAATCTCATAGAAAGTGTTTTAATAGTGTTTTTAGTAATATCTAACTATATTTAAACTAGAAAAACTATCTAAAACTTTTTAAAAAGTCGAAATTTTTGTCAAAAATCAGCCATTTTCGGTCGAAAAATCGGTATTTTTGACATTTTTCAATACAAATATGTAAGGTTTTCACGTTTAAGAATAGTAAAAAAAACCATTTAAAAATCTCCCACTATTTATATTTGAAGAATTATATCCTAAGAAAAAAGTATAAAAAATCTAGGTCCAAAAAATTACAGTCATAACCCAGAGTAGCGTACGGTAGTGTACGTAACGTATAGTAGCGTAACGTCGTCTTGACCTGGACAGCGTATCTTTCTTTTCTTCCTGTCACCCTCCCTTTAAAGGTGTTGGTTGGCCGGGGGGCCCGGATTATATTGGCCCTAATTGTGGGGCCAATGGCCGGGCAAGGCCCCAACAAGGTCTCGCCATCCATCCGGATATTACGCAACACGGCCACCTGCCGCTTCCAGCCACCCAAAACCGGGCTGGGGTCTCTCTCTCTCTCTCTTTCTCTCTTTCTCTCTCTCCCTCTCTCTCGCATTAAAAATACCAATAATTCAATTACTATATTTTCTGAATTACAGTATGCACATCCTCACCCACAAGGCCTCCCACGCCTGCGATGTCTGCGGAAAAGTCTTTTCGAGGCTTTGGCTGTTACAAGGTAACTAAAACAATTTCCTAGACGTTTTTCCACCTTTTCTGGGGCAACTAGCACAGAGCATTGGGGAAATTAAACTAATTCATTTTCAGGTCATATGCGATCTCACACCGGGCTGAAGCCGTTCGGCTGCGCGCACTGTGGAAAAGCGTTCGCGGATAGAAGCAATTTAAGGGCACACATTTTAACGCATACAGGTAAGTTTTTGGATGAGCACCCACTTGGGATCGGCGTTTCTCAAATGATCTCCGTTAGCCTGCCTTTTCCTAAAGAATCTCTGCTAGTCTGCCCTTTCCTAAAGAATCTCTGCTAGTCTGCCCTTTCCTAAAGAATCTCTGCTAGCCTGCCCTTTCCTAAAGAATCTCTGCTAGCCTGCCCTTTCCTAAAGAATCTCTGCTAGCCTGCCCTTTCCTAAAGAATCTCTGCTAGCCTGCCCTTTCCTAAAGAATCTCTGCTAGTCTGCCCTTTCCTAAAGAATCTCTGCTAGCCTGCCCTTTCCTAAAGAATCTCTGCTAGTCTGCCTTTTCCTAAAGAATCTCTGCTAGTCTGCCCTTTCCTAAAGAATCTCTGCTAGTCTGCCTTTTCCTAAAGAATCTCTGCTAGTCTGCCCTTTCCTAAAGAATCTCTGCTAGTCTGCCCTTTCCTAAAGAATCTCTGCTAGCCTGCCCTTTCCTAAAGAATCTCTGCTAGCCTGCCATTTCCTAAAGAATCTCTGCTAGCCTGCCCTTTCCTAAAGAATCTCTGCTAGCCTGCCCTTTCCTAAAGAATCTCTGCTAGCCTGCCCTTTCCTAAAGAATCTCTGCTAGCCTGCCATTTCCTAAAGAATCTCTGCTAGCCTGCCCTTTCCTAAAGAATCTCTGCTAGCCTGCCCTTTCCTAAAGAATCTCTGCTAGTCTGCCCTTTCCTAAAGAACCTCTGCTAGCCTGCCCTTTCCTAAAGAATCTCTGCTAGCCTGCCATTTCCTAAAGAACCTCTGCTAGCCTGCCATTTCCTAAAGAACCTCTGCTAGCCTGCCCTTTCCTAAAGAACCTCTGCTAGCCTGCCCTTTCCTAAAGAACCTCTGCTAGCCTGCCCTTTCCTAAAGAATCTCTGCTAGCCTGCCCTTTCCTAAAGAATCTCTGCTAGCCTGCCCTTTCCTAAAGAACCTCTGCTAGCCTGCCCTTTCCTAAAGAATCTCTGCTAGCCTGCCCTTTCCATTCCCAAATGATCGCTGCTAGTCCCCCGATTTTCCACTACTATCTCGTACTCCTTTTTTTGTTCGCAAACTTGTAGGTGGGGAGGGAGAGGGGTGTATGCTCGCTTGGGTTAAGACCCATAATCCCGCAAAGGCTGGCAACAGAATTTTGGGGGTGTAGGGGGGAAGGGAGGGGAGGATGAGATGAGTGATGGCAACAAGCATTTCCACAATAAGCCTCCTCCTCGAGAAGTCCGATGCTACACGTCGCTCCTAACGACGGAGGGGGCCGGTCAGCATATTTTGTTTAGGAAAGGGCAGGTTAGCAGAGATTCTTTAGGAAAGGGCAGGCTAGCAGAGATAATTTAGGAAAGGGCAGGCTAGCAGAGATAATTTAGGAAAGGGCAGGCTAGCCGAGATTCCTAGACCTACTGAATATCTTTTTTTTCAGGCGATAAACGTTACAACTGCTCCACGTGTGGAAAGCGCTTTGCCCTGCGCAGCTACTTGAATCGTCACATGGAGCAGTCGTGCGGGAAGCTGAAGTCGGCCACCGTATCCCTGGAGCGGGGAGAGACCGGCGGGACGTCTTCAAGGAGTTCGCATTGCTCTCCAACACCGCCAATGTTTTTGGGGAGCTTTTTGGGGCACTAACGGCTTTCTGAGTTTCCTAAATCATCTTTGCTAGCCTACTCCTTTTTTTAAAGAATCTCTGCTAGCCTTCTCTTTCCTAAAGAATATCTGCTAGCCTGCCCTTTCCTAAAGAATCTCTGCTAGCTACCGATTATCGTAACCCCTAAAATCGATTTCTGAGCCTTTTTCTGCAGCGATTTTTAACCTATCATTAGTGCGTTGTTCGGCTTTCATTGAGATCTGACACGTCTGGCTCCAATTTTTGTAGTTTGTAGCCATTCCTTAACTTGTAATCTGTGCCTAGATTCGCCATTCCACCCTGATACTTTCAACGCATACACATAGTTGTCATTTTTGCGAATGTGCAGTCCCTTTATGAACTAGTCGTACTGTAATAAAGTGAATTTTAATTTTTTACTATTTTATGAGATCCATTTATCAAAGTAGTCAGCTGAGAATCGAACGCGAAAGACACAACATACAAAGGCAAAAATGGCAAATCCTAAAATCACACGCCTCTCATCGCAAAGATACGACATAATCCAAATTACGCATAAAATACATAGTAAAAATAGAAAAATGACAATGAATTGCGTTTAAAATGACAATCGTGTTCGCTTGGGTCCCGCAGCGATCGGGCGCACAGGGAAGATTTCCTCATCTTCGGCGTCGTTGGCATTTTCGAGGCTCTCGTAGTAGTCGACAACCTGGAAAACTGGGATTAGAGAGAGACAGAGAGAGAGAGAGCGAGAGAGAGAGAGAGTGAGACAGAGAGAGAGAGTGAGACAGAGAGAGAGAGCAAAATTTACCTTTTTACTCGCCCTCACGCATTCGCCGTCAAATCCGGTGACCTTCAGGGCCGGAAGAGATCGAGCTCGAGATAAGGCGACGTAGGCTTGGCCCTCGGCAAAGACCCTAAAAACGTAGGATAAAATATTTTACGCTAAATTACTGTACCATTAAGGTACCACACAAATATCTCAAGCCTAAAACGTACTTTTGCAAGTCGACCTCCACGGCGTCGAGCGTCAGCCCCTGGCTTTTGTGGATGGAGATGGCCCAGGCGAGTTGGAGGGGCAGCTGGCGGCGGATGGCTAAAAACTGGATAAGCTACCGTAACCAGCGATACCTGGTAGATCGGCGTTGTTGGAAGAGCGGAGCTGGAAGCGGACGGGACGTATCTACAATACAGGGGTTTTTTAAATAAGAAATATAATCTAATCATTTAATGAAATAGCTTATAAGGCATAAAATGTCATATATAAATCGATTTAATAGCAAAATAAAAATCAGGTATAAAATGAAAAAAACTATCAAAATCACTATAACTATAACCTATGAATAAAATTTCCATACCTCGATCGGCTCCCCATCACCAGCCAAAAAGCGCACGAGCGGGAAGCCATTGCCCGCGAATCCGGTGACGACGCCTCGTGCTCCGTTGGACAGGCCGCGCGCGAGGTCGAGGTTTTTCGTGAGCATCACCTAAAATATAACCAAATTGCTAATTCAAGCGCCAGGCTACAACATACACCTATTGACACCAACCTGCGCATTTTGCTTCAAAATCAACCGCTTCGACACGAGCCCCGTCGAGCTCTCCGTGAACTGCTCCGAGTCCTCGGCGTGGAACGTCTTCTCCGGGCCTGAAAGTAGTAGTGTAACGGAATCAAAATAATTAACTAATAAATTTTTGAAAAACCTAACTTAATTTAAAAATCGCAAAAGCTTATTTAGAACTAAATATTAAAAATTTAAATTTTAAAAAGTACCATTCAAATTCTGGAGGCTCGCCCGGTTGATGGCCTCGGCGTCGGCGGAGTGCGTACATAGGCGCGTAGCGGTCACCGTGGCCGGCAGTACGGTTTTTCGGGTCTCGCGCATCGTGTGGGAGACCCAGGCTGGGCATCTAAAAGTAGCAAAATTATTACAATACTAAAAAAACATTAAGAATAATTAAATGTCGCTAATAAAACACTTTAGTGAATAAAAAGCATTAATTCATTCGTTTAAAAATCAATTTAAAAACTATAAAAAACAATCTCACCTGCCGACTCGAATTTCATTCAGGACCCTCACAAATGCCGCATCGTCCTGGCGCCGGACCTGCTTGAGCAGGATTGTCGTTTGTACGGCCACGTTCCAGGCGGGGCTCTGAAAAAAGTTCAATGTAAAATTTAAACAAGTATAGATTAAATAGAATAAATAGTAACGAATAAAACCTTTTAAATTAAGCCACAAAAGGTATGTCGCTAAAGAAATTTAAATCCTTACCTCGAAGCAAAATTTCGGCTCTTGTCCTCTTGGTACCACTGGGGGTAGCTGCAGAAAATCGCCGGTGATCACCAGCTGGATTCCGCCAAACACCAAAGGACGGTCGTTGGGACAGCGTATTTTTCGGGCGACCTGTAAATGATCAAGATAGGTAAATGCGAGAGAGAGAGAGAGAGAGAGAGAGAGAGAGAGAGCGAGAGAGTGAGAGAGGGGGAGAGCGAGAGAAACTTACATATTCCAAGCAGGTGAAGTAGTCGGCGTCTACCATCGAGATCTCGTCGATGACGAGATGCGTGATTTGCTTCCAGGCTTGGAGGGCTTGCTTTTTATCTAAAATCGAGTATACAGTAAATAAAGCGTAAAGTAACGTACTTTCGACAATCCGCAAACAGTCCTCCTTCGGAATGCCGCCCACTCCGAAGCCGGCGAACGAGTGTAGCGTCGTACCGCCGAGTTGGCAAGCTGCTACTCCTGAAAAATTGATCATTAGTTGGTAAGTGGCCTAAACCTAAGCCAAGCCAAGTCTAAGCCAAGTCTAAGCCAAGCCAAAGCACAAACCTGTAGCCGCCGTCACCACGGTCGTCGCAGCCGGCAACATCTCGATAATCCGGCGCAGCACTAGCGACTTTCCGGTTCCGGCGCTTCCGGTGAAAAAGACGGACTTCCGGCCCTCCACGACTTTCCGGACGACCATCTTCTGCTCGGCGGACAGCACGACGCGGTCCAGCGCCGCGGCCGGGTTCACTGCCTAAAAATTTATTTATCAAATAGTTTTAAATTCTAATCATTAAATCTTCCAGGTAAAAAAAAATTAAAAAAAAACATACCGCGATTTTCGGTCTTGACGGCGTCGCTCCCTCCGATCGACGAAATCTGGGAGACGAGCGGCTCGGCGCTAGGGATGGTCGTTTGGGCGTACGGCTCGGAGTCGTGGCCGAATCAGAGGGCGCTGGTCGCTTCCGTGCCAATGGCGACTCGATCCCGCGCATGCTAAAAATATTATATTTTTCAAATTTGAAGGATGTGTTCACCTCCTAACTTTTCGTATCTCTCCCACCGTCAACGGGCTCAACTTGGTGAAGATGTCGGGCAGCCCGCCGGTCAATAGGCGTTGCCTGGAATTACATCAAAAATAACCAAAACAGCACGCTACGCACCTATGCACGGCGATCGGCGTCGTCGGTCCCTGTCGCTCGGCGGCCATCAGCTGGATCTTGGCGGCCAGCGACTTCAGGAACACGTTCAGCTTCCGGGGGGCGCAGTTGCTCAGGTGTATCGAGAGGTGCCTAAAATATTATGATTATTAAATTCGTATAAAAACAGCTTTAAAACTATATTAAAAGCCCTAAAAATACCTGGCCGGGATTTCGATGCCGCCTTTGCCTTGGGCAACCGTCTTCTCGTGTACCACGCAGTCCTTCAGCTCGTAGCTGGACACGGCCGGCGCCCCGCGCGCATTCGCCCGGATCTCGATTTGCAGGACAATTTTTCTAAAGTTAAAGATCATCCATGGACCGTATTTAGTTTCAAAACACGTTTTCGAAGCTTTCAAACTTTTGCCCACCTCTCTGCATTCCTTCCAACCGTCACAATAGCACTCTTCGACTGCACAGCTCCTCGTCGAAGGCCGGAAGAGGTCGATTCGATTCGCACGGCGCATTCGAGGCTGTAGCAGTAGTTTCGGTTCGACGGGGATGGCTCCGGGGCCTCGTTTTCTTGCTGGCGCTCGTCTTCGGAGTCGCTCATCGTCTGTAAAAGTTAGGTATAATAAGGTTAAATATAATTTTTAATTTTTTGAGCTTTAAATTTTGAATTCAAAGTATTTTAGCAGAATCAAGCGCTAAAGCTGCTTGGCCCAAGCCTCTAATTACGACACTCTAATGCCCGCGCCGGCAGCGGTGTCCTTTGTACACTCGCGTAGCCCCGGTCTAAATTCCGCCAAAGCACCGTAATCTTTGTTTTGTAACGCAATAAAATGCTTTTTCTATGTTTTTCAAGCCTGCATAGACTTTAATTGATTTGGACTGTATGTATTTGTATGGAATTGACCTTTCAATGTCTACATTTCGAACCTTTAGCGCGCAAAAGCCATTTTTTATTCTCAAAACTTTATCGACATCACAAATTCACCCGGAACAAAATTAAATTAAAGTCCTAAAATATCTCAAGTGTTTAATCACAACGGAACGAGTAATTCTCGAATAGTTCCGGCTAAAAAATGTGTTGTAAGGGTTGTGGTGAGGACGAAGAGGGCTGGGACGACGGCCGTGAGGGTTGGATGGAGGGCTAAAAACATAAATTGTCACGTTTAGAAGCTTTCCTTACCTCTACAAATCTGATAATGCGATAGAAACAAAAAGAGGTGCATCAGGATGCGATACGACGACTCGGAGTACAGTCGAAAAATGATCGACAAAACGACGCAGACGCGACCTAAAAAATGTACTTTATTAGTTACAATAATTTACAATTACCGTAAAATCCAGCGACTGTCGATTTGGCCACAAAATCGGTCCGTTTCAGCGAGCCGTTCATGCAGTACTCCAGGCACAAAGCGAGGAGCACGAATCCCAGCATCTCCAGCCCGCTTTCGATCAGACATAGGTAAAATCTAAATATTTTTTAATAGAATTTAAAGCTATACAAACCTCCACTCTAGATCGAAAATCTGAAGCTGATCCGTCCGATTCTCGATCCACTTTTCGTAGGCGCCGCAGAAGAGCAGGATTGTCAAGAGCCGGGGGAAATGCTGAAAAAAATAATAAAGGTAACCAGATGATCACAGCCGCTTCGCGACTGTAATCGGCTGGCCTCTGGGCTACCGTCCATGTCCTACATCACCACATTACCTGGCTCACTATGTCCAAAATCACCCCAACCTCCGTCCCCCACCCCTTTTACTAAGGAAAAAACTTTCATAGTTAATTTTAATAATTTAAACTAAAACCTTTTCGTTATTTTTTTTATTAGTTTGGGGGTTTCTCACTACGCTCTATCCGAATCCGAAGAGATCTAAGCTCTAGCTCCTTTCCCCTTCGAGTTGAATTCGGGACATGACGGACGGACAGACAGACAGACACCACTACTTTTTTATTATAGTTGATAATTAGTAAAAAAACCCACACTAATCCCTTTGTTGTATAAAATATGGCGATAGGCACTTGGGTATTGCAGCGCCAGGTCGATGACGACGAGCACGTTGTCGCACTCCACGTAGCTGTCCACGGGCCGCTTGCACAGTTCCTGAAATAAAAGAGTAGGTATTAAAAGCAAAAATACACTAACGCATTCGGTCATCCGGATGAAGCTCGAGTAGGTCTTGTACAGCGTTTCCGTCGGCTTCTGGCAATGGACGCAGACGCGGGAAGTTGACGGCTTCTCCGCCATACCTAAAAAACTAAGCTTTAAGACCTTGCTGAATGGCCTAAAACCAATTAATTCAAAGGAAAAGCATAGAAAACATCGAGTTTTTCATTATTGATTCCTTTAGAAATAATTAACTTTTATCAACCCATTACGACGTGTAATTTGGCTAAATTCGGTCCCGATCAGTACGTTGTGCTACTAACGCCGTCATTTCGTAATTTGGTGTATTGTGTACTCTCCGGATTTTTATGGCGTTATCAATTTTTTCAATGTTTTCATATTTTGTTTTTAGTAATTTCTGCACGATTGAAACGATTGGATGTAGTTCGACGAATGCTAGATGTTTTGCCGTGGAGTACGATCAAGATTGTCGCTCTGGATTCAGGATCAAAGTGATAAAGAGGGAGGTGTCACTTTTTAAAGTTTTAATGTAAGATTTTTGGGGGTAATCGTTGGCCCTTTGCTTCCCTAGGTTCGAATCGCCGGCCGCCGCCTTTCGGCTACAAAGTACACGCCATTTGGGGGTTCTCCGTATCGAGGCAAAGCTTTATTCGTAGGCTCAGATAGCTCCATATTTCTACCAATCGAGCACCGATTTCACTTGGCCCGTCACCGTTCCATCCGGCAGTAATCGGGGACTATTCTGGCTGTAGAATTGGGCGTACCTAAATTCAGATTTTTTCCTATTTCGAAAATCAAATTCCGACCATCGCCGATGTTTTTGAACCGGGCCGTCACTTCGGCAAAGCAATGGGCTTTTCACGTAGCGCTTGTTCGACCAAATGTAGACGTCTCTTTCGAACTTTAAAATTGATTTTTGAACGTTTTTTAGAATCATTTACCTGCAGCGCTTCTGATTTTATGAAAAACCGCGCAAAGAGCGGATTAATATTTCCGTAGAGTACGAAACGGGCTCTCTAAATCGTTTTTCATGCTTTTGAATAGTTAACGTGCATTTTCTAACAATTTTAGACAATTTAACCTACTTGAAAAAGCGGTTCCTCGGGCGTTACGTGATGAAAAACAATTCCCCGGCCCCAGAAACCAAAATCGAAGTGCATGTAGACGATTCCGGGCCCGATCTGATAGTTTTTTCAGGCTTGTAGATCTCTATTTTTACCTGATGTGCCTTTAGAAGACTGGCAGTCAGCGGGATGGCTTTATCCCCAATTTTCATGACCTAAAAAACGGGAAATGTAGTTTTTAAGGCTTACCTGCTGTAGCGTCATGATAGAAATGTGTTTCTCGTCTTCCCCGTTCTTTACCTCCCAGCCCCCATCCCAGAAGTGATGTAGGATGGGGTCTGTTTTGTTCAGTTTCAACTCCATAACGTTATTTCCTAAACAAATTGGATTTTTCGCGGTAATTCGACCCTGACCTGCCTGTGGAATTTGTAGGTGTAGATAGTTTAGATGGGCCAAATCGGCGCCGTTTTCCGGGATTTCTTGGCAATGGCATAGCAGCTGAATTAGTTTTTTAAGATTGATTTTAAATGCAAAACGCGTTTTTGCTTTTTTATCAGAGCATTTTTAGAAGAGGAAATTGTGTTTTTTTTGGTTTTAGGCTTTTGAGGAATTTTCAGGATTTAGAAGTAATCAGATCGTATTTTATTTTATACTTTAAGCCGTTAGCAAAATTCTTGTGATTTTAAAGTTTCTAAAACAGTTTTTTTTTAACACTTACTTGTAGGCGAAATTATGACGTTTTTAGGATTGTAGGTTTTATACTTTTTAGCCTAACAACTTGAATTTTCAGGTTTTAAACATCTTTAGAAGCCTGAATTGTGTATTTTTGTACCTCGTGCTCAGTCCGTCCCCTATATGGCCAGCTCCCACTCTCCACCTCGTCAATATCCGGGATTTCCCAATGTGGCATCTCCCCATCGCAGTGATACCACACGTAAATGTGCCGATTCTTTTCCACTACTGGCCAGGTCGAGATCTAAATTTTACTTAATCTAAAGCTACTTTAAAACGCCAAAATGCCGACGTAGAAAATACTATTTTCGTTAGTTTTCTCATATTGGTTATGATTTTCGTGATTTTGGAGATTTGGGGTTTTAAATTTCGTCTATTTGGTTGTCAGGTTCTTATTTTAATGTCGGCATTTCAGCTAGAAATCCTTGTTACAGACTTCATCCTCACTTTAGCCTGCTCCGGGATCGAGCCCTTCTCATAGGGGATGCGCACGCATTTCCCGGAATCCGCCGAAAATACCCAACCGTGAAAGGGGCATTGTACGCAGTTGTTGTCGACGACCTAAATTTTGATGTATAACTTATTTTTTTTAATTTTTGATCTTACTTTTCCACCGACAGTTAGATTAGCGCCTAAATGCGGGCAATAGGATTCCATTAAATAGACTTGGCCATCTTCTGCGCGGATTAGGCTCAGCTGCTCGCCTAGAAGTTTTAGTAATTGGTAGGATAGCAAAGGTTCTTTAGGAAAGGCAGGCTAGCAGATATTCTTTAGGAAAGGGCAAGCTCACAGAGGAAATTTAGGAATAGCAGAGAAATTTGAAAATTTCAATTTTGCAGAAAAACTCGGAAAGTGGCATGCTAGCAAAGTTTTTTTAGGAAATGCCAAAGATTCTTTAGGAAAGGCCAGGCTAACAGGGACAATTTGAGAATTTCCTATTCTCTTCCGCCAACCTTGTTATTTTAGACTCACCAAAAACGATGACAGCCTTTATTTCCTTGGCCTTCACTTCCCCCGACTCGGCGATACAAAACCATCTAAAAAATAGCGTTTTCTTAGTTTTTGAAGCGGATTTAATGTCTAAAAACGGCAATGCAAAATTCTTACCCGTTCGGATAGACCGGCGGCAGTTCGCCGACTTTTCGCAAACGTTTCAGCCGCTCGATTTGACGCTCTCGATATGTTCCCGTGGACTAAAAAAAGTAGAATTTTTTATTTGGAAAATCCATTACGTCACTGGGCCCCAAATTAAACCCCAGCTCCCCCATTCGAACCACATAATTGATAGGGCGTGAAAAATATAGGTAAAGAATAGTTAGAATCACGGCGAGAATGGCCAGTCCGATTGATAGAATCATTTTCACCGCCGGCGAGAAATGATGCCCTTGGCCTGGATGCGGCGGGTCGAAAATTGTGCAGAAGCCGCGGCAATGTCTCGCTTATCTATCTTTTTCGCACTCTGTCTTTTCCACGATTTCTTTCTAGGGCCGGCAGAAAATCTTGGGAATGACATGTAGACAAGGCAAAGTTATAAAAACGTGCGGAAAAGACTTAAAATTTATTTTGCCACGTTGAGAATCCTTTTTAAGTTTTGTAGATTATTTAGGTTATTTAAGAATTCTATATTTAGGTTTTATGTTATTGTGCGTAATGAAACCATGCGAAGATTTGTGGAATTACGAAGTTTTTGCAAATCTTCGTGTATTTCTTGTTATTTATCGATCGAATTTATATTTTAGCGAAAGATCTTCAGGTTCTCTCTCTCACTCTCGCTCTATTTCTCTATTTTTACGTCATTTGTAAAACGCTTTTAGGAAATCCCCAATTTTTTAACACCGTTGTGAAATTCTACTTTCATTTTTCGATCGGCGTCTTGATTCAGTCGTTGTACTTTAGTTTTTAAGGTTATCTCTGTCTATCTCTCTCTCTCTCTATCCCTCTGTCTCTCTCTCTCTCTCTCTCTCTCTCTGTCTCTCTCTCGCACTCTCCATCCTATTTTTTCCTCGTTTCAACTTCCAAATGTTGGCTTTCAATGCTTTTCCCTGTTTTCCATGCCTCACTTCCGAAAATTAACTTTTTTCTCGTAATTTTTCGATTTTTTTTCCAGGACCTCTTCCCGCCCATTCTTCGGTCGCCGCCATGGCCGAGATTGACGTGGACGAGATTTTGCGCGGGGCCAGAGAGGTAGATTTTTGAGCACGTTTTTAAATGTTTTTTTGCGTACTTATACATTTTATCAGTTTCCCTTTTCAGCCCGAGAAGAAGAAGATGCGCCTCGAGGCCGAGCCGAACGGGTACGGCGGCATGATGCCGTCGCTGGCCACCGGGGCCAAGCAGGTACATTTCGAAGAAGTTAAAAAGGTTAATTCCAAGTTTAGGCCGACATTCTCGCGGCGCTCGAGTCCGACTCGGCCCTCGCCCAGGACGTCGACGAGGCCCTCGTGAAAAAGTTGACCGCCCAGGTTGGACTTTCAAAAAAATTGTTTTGAAAGCCTATTTTTATCGATTTTTTTTGTTTAAAGATTATTTTCAAAAGATTTGTTTCAACTCTTTACATATTTTCGTTTATTTAGAAAAACTATCCAAAAATCCTACTATATATAAAAAAATAGTGTCTGTGTGTGTGTGTGTGTATGACACTTTGCATGCAACTTCCGTCAGCGTGTCCGGAGGATATCTCGATAGGGGATGAATTGTTAGGTATGTATGATACGTCATTAGGTGCGTAATGGCTCTGGGATGACTGCAAGCTTATCAGATTTTGCAAATTATGCTATTTTCGACATTAAATTTAGGTTTTTGTGAAATTTTCGGGCATCCTCTTTGTTAGGAAACAATTTGCATACGCCGGAAGTGGTGGTGGTCTACAGGGTGCGGCAAAAGTATTGTCGCGAGCTTTTGCTTCATATCTAATTCGCGACAAAAAATCGCAAAGTTTTGTCAACAGGATTGGCTTCAGACAGGTCCAAGGCAGCAACCTGCTTTTGAAAGTTTTTTGGAATCATGATTTTTGAGCGATTTTCATTGCATGATGCACACGACCAAAAATCACGGTGCGCCGCGTCCTCAGTTCGTCAAAATAGGGTTTTAAATTCGGAGACAACGTGGGACCATGACTTTTCATATGTGTTTCTGGTAGCATTTGCTTTGTTCTCCGTCCTCCAAAATGGAAACCTTATAATTTTGTGATTTGAAGGAGTTATGGCCTCAGCCATGTTTGAGGAAAATGGGCTAACCTGGCCGGTTTCGCGAGAAGCTTGGGTTTTTCGGATTTTTAGTTTTTTAAGGGGCTCTCAGGGGATAACGTAACATTATACTAATAAGCCGCCTGTTTGCTTATTTTAATGTGCATGATGCGCTAAATCGTGATAGCTATCCACCTCTGGTTTGAAAAAATTTATTATGCATTTGCAAGCAGTCATGTAAGCTTGTGTTTTCGAACCAGGTCAGGATTACTGGGCTCAAACTTCGGGAATATATAAAAAGTAGCATTGATCAACCAGAGAAAAATTAGCAAGGCTATCATTGTTTTGCAGACGACACAATCTCGCTTTTTGCATACGAGGCGGCCATGGGCGGCGCACTGGGTTTGCCTCTTCTTTGAATAGGGTTCCTTCAAAAAAAGAGCCGCAACATTCTTTGGTTGATGGTTTCGCAGGCAGAGTTTTACATGCTCTTTCAAATTAAATAAGAAGCTTGGCGTAGATACCATTCCTTGGCCACCTAGAGAGCGTCTAAAAAGCCGTTTTTAGGCTTGAATTTGCCGGGTTTTTGGAAAAAGTTGTCCTAGCGACAAAACAAAGCAAAAATTCTGGCAGTAAATCTTATCATCGGATAAAGCATTAAAAACTGCATAAAATAAATTTTTGGCTAGAATATCTGTCAAATTTCCTCGCAGATACAGTCGGCGGAAGGTTGCGACAATACTTTTGCCGCACCCTGTATATTAAGGGGCAGAGGGAGCGTTTTTCATTATTTTTTCATCGCAGCCCGGGCGAATTATGCAAAGTGAAGAATATCATGGGCCCAAACGGGGCCAGGGTTGAAAAGTCGCGTAGCGGCTTTTCAACCCTGGTGTTTCATTAATTAAATTCATTTTTAAATTTTAAATTTTTTTTGCAAAATTCGAGGTTTCGAGAGAAACGGTCCTTTTTCTTGGATTTTTTTACTAATAATTTGAACTTTTATACGGTTAGGAATAATAAAAAACATATGGAAATGCTTTCACGATTTATATTTAAATTTTTTTTCAGCTGGAGAAGCGCGTGCAGCGGAACCGCGAGATGCGCATCAAGCACGGCGACGACCCGCAAAAGTTCATGGACTCGGAGATTGAGCTCGACACCGGCATTCAGGTATCATTTTGCGGCTGTCTGCTGTAGCGTAGCGTAATGTACTCAATCGATTTTCGCTTCGATTTTGTGGTTTGTAGCCTGGGAAGCTGTAGTTTGGAGCGTAGTGGATTTTGTAGACAATGGCAATCTTATTTGTGGCGCGGTGCTAGCCATTTTTGTAGTTTGTAGTTTATAACCCGGAGTTTGCAAGTCGTAGTGTTTTGTATTTTGGCTCATTAAATTGTATTTTGTATTGTATCCTTTTGCGCTTTTGTAGCCTGTAGCCTTCGTCAGCTTTTTGTAGTGTAGTTCAACACGACCCAAATCAGGACACGCATCTTTATTTGCGTTTGACAGTTACACAAAAGGCCACAAGAGGACGAGGCTATAAATGGCCGGCGGTAGTTGATCAACGGGGGCACAGAGTTCGATGGATGGAGGGGGAGGGGAAGGGGTGTCGAGGTGGTAGATGATGTCCGCTCAGTCGAACTTGCAGCCGGGCTTGCACTTGCGGCACAGCACGATGGTCGTGTGCACGGCGGGGCCCTGGATCAGCTGTTCCTTGCCGCCCTGGCCGTATGAGCAGCGCTCGTTCTTGATGTCGACCTGGAAATGGGGTGTGTGTGCGACGAGTTCGAGCCGTTCAGGGGCGCACTAGAATTTTTCGCACGCCTGCGCCTCGAAAAATGGATTCGCGTCAAGTTCGAACGGGTCACGGTGATGGACAAAGCATTGCTGCTAGCCTGCCCATCGATCGAAAAGCGCGGCGAGAATTTGAAGCCGTTCAGTTGAACCCGCGTTTCCTGCTAGCCTACCCCCAAAATAACAACATTCTCAAGCAGTCCACCCAATCCCCCTCACCTTGCCGAGGATCTGCTTGCCGCCGACGGTGATCACACCAGGCGAGATGTCGCCCTTGTAGTGGTTCACGTGCACCGGGTGCCACTCCTTGTCGCCGAACTTGGCCGCCTCCGGGTACGGGATCCAGCCGTAGTCGAAACCGCGCACGTGCTCCGACAGCTCGTACAGGATCTGCAGATCAGCGCCATATTATAGTAGCAGATCAAGTGACAAACCTGCAGGGATCCGATGTTGTTCTTGTACTCGTTGCCGCCCCACGAGAAGTTGGCCGCAATCTTGCCGCCCTCGTTCCAGACGCGGCCCATGACCGGCTCGCCCTGCTGGTACCACAGCGCCACGTACTGGTCGGGGTTCTCGCCGGGCAGCGTGTCCAGCGACTTGCCGAGGGCCTGAAGATAAACATTGTGACGGTGGCGGCCAGGTCGTGGCTGCTCACCTTAACCGGCGCCTTGGCCGGCCACGGGTCCCCGGCACGCAGATCGGCCCACTCGTTGAGCATGACGCGGATCGTGGGCGGCATCGGCTTCGGCGGCTCCTTGGCGCACGCCTTGCACTCGCAGCCGGGCGGGGCGCCCTTCAGCTCGCGGAAGATGACCAGCATGTCGTTCAGCTCGCCGCCGACCTTCTTGATGACCTGGAAAAGGGGTGGTGAAACTGGGGGACGTCAGTGAGCAGTTCGGGGAGCCCAAAATTCGAGGTCTAGCCAATTTTTGAACCCTGCTCGTCAGCAAGCAGTTCAAAAACACGACAATTCCGAGGTTAGGCGCCAATTTTTCAGCCCTGAGCGTCAGCAAGCAGTTCGGAATGGCCAAAATTTAGAGGTTAAGCCGAAATTTCACTTGGGTCCGGGCACGTTATCAAGCCGTTCCACCCCTCGCCGCACCTTCTTGTTGATGGAGAACCATCCGATCTCGGTCTTGTTGTCGATGTAGCCGAGCAGGCCACCGTCCGGCGAGTTCGGCCAGTAGATGGGGATCGAGTCGCCGCACTTGAGCAGCTCGGCGTCGTTCTTGTCGAAGCGGCTGCTGTACTTCACCCAGCTGTACCAGTAGCCGAGCGTCGTGTGGTCGCCCTTGTACTGGAGCACCTGCAAGGAGATGATCATCAGAGCGTCCGGCCGGAAGCAGCACCTGGATCTGACCGCCCAGATCCTTGGCGCCGGTCAACTCCGCGTCCTTGTAGGCGAACGAGCACTCGACGACGCCTCCGTTGTTCCACGAACGACCGTGGATCGGCTTGCCGTGCTTGTACCACAACGCCACGTACATGTTCTGCTCGCCCTTGACCTGAAAAAGCAGGGAAATTGCTGCAGCAGCAGGAGTGAATGCCTCGAAGACGTGCGACACCATTTACGCCGGGGCGTAAACGTGGGCTGGACGCCTCGACGCACCTTGACGGGGTTGTCGGGGAACGGCGATCCGATCGGCTGGAAAGCCCAGGTGTCCTCCTTGGCGGCCGGCATCTTCGGGGTGTTCGGTTGAAGGGGGGTGGTCTGCAGAAGAAACTGAAGATAACTAGTCCAAAACCGGCCTCATTTTATACGAGGATTCGCACCCAAAATTCGGCTTTCTTCCGGCTTTTCGTATGTTGATTGCCGGAAATTTATGCAGATTTTGGTGGCGTAACTAGTTTGCAGGATTTAAAAATTCCGTTTTCGGGAGTTTTTTGACCAAGAATAATAAAAATATTATTTAGAATTAAATTAGAGTAATTTTCGATTTTTAATTACAAAATTTATGAAAATTTTCAAAGCGTAAGGGGTTTTACAGGATTTAAAAATTCCGTATTCGCGCGTTTTTTGACCAGGAATAATAAAAAATTTATATTCATTTTAGAAAATGCCACTAAAATCCCGATTTTTAGGAGATGCACGTGCTCGCCACCAACCCCGAGCTGTACGGCACACTCATCGAAGCCCAGGCCATCCCGCTGTTCATCACCCTCCTCAGCCACGAGAACAGCGACATCGTCGGCGCCACGTTGAATTTGTTACAGGTAAAAAGTTTTTCTATCTATCTATCTATTTTTCTGAATTTTTAGTACTTTAGTTTATTTATAAAATTGTAGAGCTTGAAATTTTCTATATATTTTCAGGAGCTCACCGACGTCGACATCCTCAACGAGAGCGTGGAGGGCGCTGAACAGCTCGTCCGCGCCCTGCTTGACGCCCGCATCGTGGAGTGTATTGTGAGTTTTGATTTCTATGGCTTTTCAAATTATTTAGCTTTAATGTTTAAATTAATTAACTTTAATTTAGAGAATTCTTAAAATTTAGCTCTGTTTCAAGTTCAAACCGCGTCAAAAAAAGGCTAGAGAACCGCTTGAAAAACGTAGAAATTTTGTTCCGAACCGATGATTTTAGGCAAAAAAGCTCTGCAGTTTTCGTAAAATAAAATTGTGTGAGATTTTTATGTTTTTGAAGCTGGAAGAAATAAAGAAATTGCTCGGTTATATTATAAAAAAAAAACCCTGGCAACCCCCGGAAGAGGCTCGACCCCCCCTGATAATGCTCAAGAACCCCTCTTTTTTCAGGTCGCCTCCTTCGCCACGCTGAACGAAACGGTCAAAGACGACGCGGACGCGCTGCACAACGGGCTGACGGTTTTTGAAAATGTGAGTAAAAATTGGTAGATGATCATTTTTTTTTTTTTAGATCCTCGACTTCCACCCGGCCTTTTCACAGGATTGCGTCCAGCATGGCCTCTTCCAGTGGCTCCTCAAGAGGTATTTTTGTTTCAATGTTTAAGTTTTACGTTTTTAGGGCCACGCAGCGCGGCACGTTCGACGGGAACAAGATGTACGCGAGCGAGATGCTGGCGCTGCTGCTGCAGACTAGCGACGCGGCCCGGGAGCAGCTGACGGCGAAGGTGGACGGGATGGAGCTGTTGCTCAGGGTGGGTTTGGATGTTTAAATATCTCTGCTAGCCTGCCATTTCCTAAAGAAACTCCGCTTGCTTCTGCTTTCCCAAATAATCTCTGCTAGCCTGCCTTTTGCTAAAGAGCCTCTGCTAGCTACTCTGACTTTTCCTAAAGAATCTCAGCTAGCCAGCCCCTGCCGAAATAATGTCTGCTAGCATGTGACCTCTCCTAAAGAATTTCTGCTAGCCTGCCTTTCCCAAAGATTCTCTGCTAGCGGCCCTTGCCGAAGATATCTGATCCTTATCCCTCTTTTTAGGCCCTGGCCTCCTACAAACGACACGACCCGACGAGTCTCGACGAGCGCGAGCATATGGAGAATCTCTTCGACGGCCTCTGCTCCTCCCTCCTCCACCCGCCCAACCGCAAGAAGTTCCTCGACGGCGAGGGCCTGCAGCTGATGAACCTGATGCTGCGCGAGCGGAAGCAGAGTCGCGAGAGCGCGTTGAAGGTGCGGAATTTTTGGTCTGGCGAGTTAGCCGAGGTTTTTCCGGAATTTTTCTGGGTTTTTCGCATTATTTTGACAGCGCGAAAATTTCTCCTTCGAGTCCAGATATGCTTAGTAATGTAATGGCAATAAATAGTGGAAATTCCTAAACGTGAAAACTATACAAAATGTTACGAAAAATGCCCAAATATTCATTTTCGACCGAAAATGGCCGTTTTTCGACTTTTGCAAAGCGTTTTAGATAGTTTTCTAGTTGAGTTATAGCTTTGTTTTACTAAAAAAAGAATTAAAGCAGTTGCTATGAAGTTACTAGACAGTTGTAGACGTATACAAAAAAGTTCCCTCCCCCCATTAATGAAAAAAGTACCATTTTCTGGAGATTTAGGTCCATTTTCAGGTGCTCGACCACGCCACCACCGGCCCCGAGGGCAAGGAGAATTGCGCAAAGTTTGTCGAGATCTTGGGTAAGGAAATTCCTGTAAAATTTTCAAACATTTTTGGGCCTCCGCACGCTGTTCCCCCTGTTCATGCGCACGCCGGCGAAGGTGAAGCGGAAGGACACAACCCCCGATGAGCACGAGGAGCACGTGGTGGCCGTGCTGGCGGCCCTTCTTCGCTCTTGCGACGAGGAGTCCCGGCAGCGAATCATGCAAAAGTTTGCCGAGCACGAGCACGAGAAGGTCGACAGGGCGGTCGAGCTGTTTTTGAAGTATCGGTAAGGTTTTGGTATTAGCTACTAGCAGAATTTCTTGGAGAAATTAGAGCCTTCTAGAACTTTAGGATCTTTCGTATTATCGGGGGGGGGTCTGAACTTTTTTATAGAGGTCTGGAATTGCCTAGTAACTTCATAGAAAGTGCTTTAATAGCGTTTTTAGTAATCTACAACTATATTTCATCTAGAAAAATTAGCTAATTACTTTTATAAAATCGATCAACTATAATAAAAAGGTAGGGGTGTCTGTCCGTCCGTCTGTCATGTCCCGGATTCATCTCGAAGGGGGAAGGAGCTAGAGCTTAGCTCTCTTCGGATTCGGATAGAGCATGGCCAGAAACCCCCAAACTGATAAAAAAAATTATTAAAAAGTTTTAATTTAAATTATTAAAATTAACTTTGAAAGTTTTTCCCTTAGTAAAAGGGGTCGGGGACGGAGGTTGGGGTGATTTTGGGCATAGTGAGCCAGGTCGCGCGCGTTTCGTGGATGAAAATTTTCACGGGGAATTTCATTTCTTTTTTCCCTCAATCCATCCGGTCGGTCGTTATTTTTGTTTTTGAAGGGGATTTCGGCTAGGGGAGGTATCTGAAGCCACAGGAAGGTATTTAGGTAGTTTTTGAAGGGATTTCAGCCATGGGGGTATCTGAAGCCATCAGGAAGGTATTTAGGTAGTTTTTGAAGGGGATTTCAGCCATGGGGTATCTGAGCCATCAGGAAGGTATTTAGGTAGTTTTGAAGGGATTTCAGCCATGGGGGTATCTGAAGCCATCAGGAAGGTATTTAGGTAGTTTTTGAAGGGATTTCAGCCATGGGGGTATCTGAAGCCATCAGGAAGGTATTTAGGTAGTTTTGAACGGGATTTGGCTATCGGGGGTATTGATGGAAGTGGGAAAGGATGTGGTGGAGTGTGACATGTAGGTTTCGGCTAGGGGAAGTATCTAAAGCCATCAGAAAGGTATCGACGTAGTTTTTTAAGGGATTTCGGCTAGGGAAGTATCTAAAGCCATCAGACAGGTATTTAGGTAGTTTTTGAAGGGGATCTCGGCTAGGAAAGGTATCTGAAGCCATCAGGAAGGTATTTAGGTAGTTTTTAAACGGGATTTCGGCTATCGGGGGGTATGGGAAGCCATCCGGAAGGTGTGGTAGTTTAGGTAGCTAAGTTTTTGCAGGGGTTTGGCCATAGAAGGTATCTGAAGCGAGCAGCGTGGCTATTGATGAAGGTAGAGGTGTAATGTGGTGGTGTATAACATCGAGGGTAGCCCGAAGGCCAGTCGATTACAGTCGCGAAGCGACTGTAATCGGCTGGTATTTGGATAATTTTTAATACAAATTTGTAAAGTTTTCACGTTTAGGAAAAGTAAAAAAACCATTGTGCAGCACTTCCACTATTTATATCTGAAAAATTAGATCCTAAGCAAGAAAGTTGCCCCCCCCCCGATAATGCTAAAAAACCCGCAATTTAATTTTTTTTCAGCGGCAAGGTCGACAAGTTCATCCAGCGCCAAAACAAGGAGAACACCACGCCGGCGGACAAGGGCGACGGCGACAAGATGCGCGAGTACCTCGACCGGCTCGACGGCGGCCTCTACACCCTCCAGAACGTCACGCTCCTACTGGTCAGTAGATGATCATCATCGCCTAAAATATTGTGCGTTTCTTTCAGTCGGACATTTGCGTGCAGCTGAATTCGGCTCGGCAACGGGCCATCAAGCTGTTCTCGATGAAGGTGCGCCAGGAGAAGCTCAGCGCCCATTTTATCCCGGTCAGTTTTTCGGACGTTAAAAATACCCACAGCCAAAATACCGTCATGCCAAAATGCCGACATTCGAAATTTCGACAAGCGAGGAGTCGAAAGCCAAATTCCGACACAAAAACGCTTGAAATTGAGATGTTCTTTTAGGTAATTTAGCTTTCTGGATGTCGGTGTTTTGATGTGTCGGCATTTTGGCGTGTCTTTTGGAGTATCGATACTTTGGCTGTCGGCATTTCGGTGCTTTTCCCGCTGTTGTCGGTATTTTGGCAATCAGAATTTCGACTTTCGGTCGCGCTGCTCCTCGGCATTTCGTCATAGCAGAATTTTGCATGTCGGCATTTTGGCTGTCAGAATTTTCTTTCGTTTTTTTTCGCTTGGATGTCGTCATTATGGCACAAAAATTCGATTTTGCGCCAAATTTAGTTTGATAGGAAACAAGGGTAAAAAACTTCCAGTAAATTGACAATAATTGATTGTTTTTAAAATAGAGCAGCGTCAATTAACTTTGCTTTTTCGGCAGCTTCAGCTAATTTTTTTTATTCCAGATCCTCTCCGAATACGCGGAAAACCTCGGCGAGACCGCGGACGAGGAGCGCCGTCGCATCGACACGTTCATCGCCCGGCTCAACGCCGCCGAGAAGGCCGAACGAAAGCAATAAAATATCGCTTAAATTAGCCATTTAAATTTTCACATTACTTTTTGCAACGTTTGCCCTGATTTTGGCTTGTGATCACCCCTTTTCGTCCATTTGAAAAGTGTCGTTCTTGTTATGTTAAATGTTTACCCCCGGCTTTTCCCCCCTTGATCGTTGTTGTTGGCTACCGGTACTTTGGGTCTCTACTATTACTGCGCGTTCGCCCTGTGTGTTTCGAATAAACTTTTGAATTCGGTTTCTTGGGGTTTTTCCTATTGTGAAATTGCGAACATCGTGTGGAAATACAGACAGATGCGTTTGGCAGAGATTCACAGGTTTATTAATGATGTGATTATAGGTATAACTTCGGTGAAGGTTCCTCAAGGATCTCTGCAAGCATGCCCTGGCTTCTGGCGACTACATCAAAGCGCGCAAAAGCGCGAAGTTGGGATCGAAAAGTTGGTTTTTTAGCTATTTTGGTATAGTTTTGGCGCTTCCAAAATGGCCTCTGCTAGCCTGCCCGTTTCCCCCATTCCTAAACGACCGCTGCTAACCTACCCCCATTTCCTTAAAGGTCTAATGCTAGATTCCTCAATTTATAGGCGTTTTGTGTTTCATTGGGCTGATTCCTCATAGTACCACTGCTTGCTTGCCCTCTTTCTCTCGCTCTCTCTTTCTCTCGCTCTCGCTCTCTCTCTCACTCTCTCTCTCTCTCTCTCTCTCTCTCTCTCTCGATCCCCCCTATTTTCGTAAAATAATCTGCAAGCTTGCCCTAATTTTCGAGGCATTTCAGAATTTTGCATATTTTCTAAAGTGTTTTTAGGATTCCCAGCCCTTTAGAATATTTATACGATCGATTCTAAATACCTTTTTTCCTTTGAACTGCTGACAGTACGCTCCGCTACTCTATTCAATTTTGTTAGTATCCTTGGTATTTAAGCTAGCAAATCAATTTGAAAAGTTAAAAAATTTAGTAGTCGAATTTTTTTCGCAAAAATTTGCTTTTTTTCATGAAAGACCCGATTTTCTTGGTATGTTTTGATTTCTCACTTAATTTTAGTTTTTTTAATTATAACTTAATGAAGTTTAACGTTTAGGAATAGTAAAAACCGTTTAGAAACACTTCCGCTAGTTTTTATTGGAAAACCGGATTCGACGAAAGAAGTTATCTCCCCCCGATAATGCCAAAGATCCTCAATTCCCAACCCCTTTAAAATCCCATTTAAAGTCCAAATTCCCGGCTTCGCGAACTACGATTTTTCCCGGGCCGTTTCTTCCTGTGAATGCACTCTTGTGAATGGGCTAAATTGGGCAAATCACGGCGCGGCGCGAGAACGGCTGGGAAAATGTTTGCTAGATCGAGCATCAGCTTCTCCTGCTCCTCCTGCTCCTCCCCCGGCTTCTCCTCCCTCTGTATTTGGAGATAGACTGGGGTGGTGGAGGGCGAACTGTTGAGCATTCCAGTTTTTTGCTGCTGCTCCCTTTTCAACAGGGTGGCCGGCGGGAGAGCAGCTACTTTCCCCGGCTCCCGGTCGAGAATCCAAGCGATTTGGCCCCGATTTGGTGATCATAGCCCGGAAAAACAATCCGACCGCCGTACTTGGCGCCTTCCCAAATGGCCCCTGCTAGCCTGCCTTTCCCTCAATGTTTCCTAAATGATCTCTGCTAGCCTGCCTTGCCGACGATTTTTGGTTCTTTCGCATTATCGGGGGGGACCTTTTTTGTATAAGTCTAGAAACGCCTAGTAATTTAATAGAAATTGTTTTAATAGTGTTTTTAGCAAGATATAACAATATTTCAACTAGAAAAACTATCTAAATACTTAAAAAAAATTTTTTTGGCTAAAAATCGGTCATTTTCGGTCGAAAAATCTATTTTTTTTGGCATTTTTAGAGCAAATTTGTACGGTTTTCACGTTTAGGAATAGTAAAAACTATTTAGAATCACATCCACGATTTATATTTAAAAATTAGTGTCTAAGAAAAAAGTTACTGCCCCCGATAACGCGAAAGAACCCGATTTTCCCTAAGTGAATTCTGCTAGCCTGCCCGCGCCTTTAATGTTGCTAAATGGCTCTGCTAACCAGCGTTGCCCTTAATTTTTCCTAAATGATTCTGTTGCACTCTTCTTTTCCTAAATGGTATCTGCTGGTCTGCCAAGGGTTATTTCTTCGAATATCCGGATTTTCCTAGGTATTCTCTGCTAGCCTACCCTTTTTTGGCCGAGGCTCGTTCCCAAAATATTTCTGCTCTCCTGTATCGTTGCTAAAGGATCTCTGCTAGTTCGCCTAGACTTTATTTGTTGGTTAAGGCATTTTCCGCAAGTATCTCTTCTATTCTCTCTCTCTCTCGCTCTCTCTCTCTCTCTCTCTCTCTCTCTCTCTCTCTCCCTCGCTCTCACTCTTTCTTCTTCCTTCGCTCTCTGTCTCTCGCACTCTCTCCCTCTCTCTCTCACGCTCTCTCCCTCCTCAAGAATAGCTCTCCTGAACGTCCACTGCTAGTTTCCCTTTATTCCCAAACGATCTCTGCTAGCCTGCCCTCCACCCTCTATCTGTTTTTGATTATCGATATGGCTGTGTGTGAATGGGGGGTGGATGGATGAAGCGCTGTGTGTTAGGCCCGTTTTTCCCGTTTTCCCCTGCGGCCGCTGGCAACCGGATCATTGCGTGGTGATTAGCTAGGGCGGCGAGAGAGCGCGATGGAAAGCGAGAGAGAGAGAGAGAGAGAGAGAGTGAGTGATATCTGTAGCTGCTAGAGATAAGGTAGATTAAGAGAATCCTGATGATGGGGGCGGAAATTGTCGTTGCCACTGGCAGCCAGCTCGCCACCTGGCGCTAGCGCTGATTTACGCCAATTTTTCTCGGATCAGTTACGCTAATTGTTGACGTCGATTTTTCTGGGGTGTACTGTAGTTTGGAGCTAATGGGGATTTTTGATAAGACTACCAGATTTCCTTAAGGATCTCCGCTAGCCTGCCTTTTCCTAAAACGTGACTGCTAGCATGTCGATTCCTGAAAGAATTAACATAATTTCGAGGATGTTAACCGTAATTGCGCGTTTTATAGCAAGGATCTACTTTTTAGGACATTGGAATATCATGGTTTTTGTTTAAAGGTACTCGGAAGTCAGGCAGGCAAGGTCTCCTCTCTCTTTCTCTCTCTCGCTCTTTCACTCTCTCTCTCTCTCTCGCTAACTGTCTCTCTCCCTCTCTCTCTCTCTCTCTCTCGGTAACTGTCTCTCTCCTACTCTCTCGCTCTCTCTCTCTCTGTTTCTGTCTCTCTCCTTACAGAACTTTGCTAAGCTTCCAGACGCCTCCAAGGATTCCAGAAATATTTTCTAGGCAAAAAATTATTGAAGTTCGATTCCAAAAAGTTTCGTGGGGCTAGATTCCCTATTAGATACCGTATATCCTGCCACCTGCTGTCATAACAAATCGACGGCTCGGCCGGAAATATCTAGATGAGAGAGAGAGAGAGAGAGAGAGAGAAGGGAGAGAGAGAGCGTGAGAGAGATAGTTCTGGCTTTACCACCCTGGGGGCATTCAGGGTCGGTGTCTAGCTTTTTCCACCCCGATCCGTATCTTTTGCCATAGTGGGGGGAGGGGGGGGGTGGCAGCAGCCACCTCCTCCTCCTCCCCTTCCTCCCGCCAATTCTTTTCCACAATTTATCATCCATGCCTGGCTACGACTACGCGCCATTCCCACGAACGGTCCCCCCTTTCACGCGAATTATCAGCCTACCAGCGTTCCAAGCCCGGCATTTCCGGTGTGTTAGCAGGTTTCCCTGCCCGGAACGCTTGCCGCTGGCGATCGGCTCGCTGTCCTGCCATTTTTGCCACCTAGGAGCCGCTAATTTTTGGGATTTTTGGAGGGTGCAGTCTGTTGAAAGAATTTCTGCTAGCCTGCCCTTTCCTGAGGCATTTCTGCTCCTGCCTTTTCCTAAAAAACCTCTGCTAACCTGCCCCTTTAACAGACCTAAAAACTTGCGCTTCTTTTGCTTAAGCCGTATCTGCAAAAAAGCTTGTGGATTCTTGTACGTTTTTCGTAGCTCCAAAAGCACGTTCCCAGATAGTAGACACGACACGACGATACGGGCTCGTAAATGGCAGATCAGCGGGAGATCGACTGGGGGAAGCGGCTTGTGCTTTTTGAAAATACCGATGCTTGGAATGCCTGTCACTAATTCTCTGGCTCTCTGGCTCTCTCTCTCTCTCGCTCTCCCTCTCTCACTCTCTCTCTCTTCTCTCTCTATAAAAAAGAACACCCCCTCCTGTGACAATGCGATTTTCAGTCCAATCCTCCTTGAAGATCCCGGCTGATTGCTTGATCGATTATCATCGTCTAGGCTCCCCCTCGGGGCTTTTTACCTTCTAGCATTTTTGTCACACCAGTGACAATAATTTGCGCACTCGATAGCCTGGGAGAGCAAAAGACGGGGATCTTTTGGGACGATTTATTCAAGGGTCCCGGTGGGGTACCCTTTTATGAATACACAGCAAAAAACGGGGAACGGGGATTGGGGCAAAGGCGACGAAGGCGATGGCGAAGAAGGCGAGCACGAGGACGGCGATGAAGGCGAAGGGACGGCCGGAGAGTAGACGAGCCTCGCGGTGGTGACCGGCTGACTAGACCCGGGAAGACGCTGATGTCGACTTGATGAGAGGAAGAAGGCGGGCGTTTATATAGTCGGGAACGCAGGGAATACAGGGTCGCCTTCCGGATGCCGCGGAACCGCATGCAAAGTGGACATGCGAACGTCGGTGGACGAGGGCTTGTACTTGAACACGATGTTGTGGCCCTGGATCGCGGAGACGCCCATAGAGAAGAGACGGGGAACACGGTCAATCAGCACGGCTCTGCGGGCTTCGGAGGATTGCCGGCAAGAAGGAGAAGGCTGCTCGTAGCAGCGTATTGTATTGAGTTATAGTTATTTGGGGAAGTTGTAAGGTTAGGTAACCGTGAACGTCACGGGGACGTGACATCTCTAGTAGCTTTTATTTTATTTTTAAAGCGGATTTTTCAACTTGTCTGTCCCTCAAATCCTTTAAAAAATCGTCGCCATGACGTCGATTTTCTTAGGGGGCGTTTCTCGCATATTGTGTGACGTATTTTCCGACTTTCCGGTCCCATTGGCGTGTAAAAAAAACTTTTATCGAAACTTTACTCGTTTAACGATCGCTAAAGCACGTCGGCGAAAGTTTTTTTTAATTCTAGCATTACCCTGAATTTTGGCAGCTACTGTAGAGTTTTCCCTTCCAGGTCTCTTTAAAGCCTACAAGATTGGAGGGATACTGTAGATTTTATTTAAGGGCATCGATTAACTTTTCCGATTTCGATCCTTTGGAATTTGGATGGAAAAAAATGGGAAAACGCAAGAATCCCGAACGCCAAAATACCGACATATCAAAATACCGACATATGGTTGACGCGAGTTTGAGCTCCATTTCTTTTAACCAGCAATCTTGTCGGGATTTTTACATGTCGGTATTTTTGCTGTCGGTATTTTGTTTATTCAGGCCGTATGGTGGTCTCCTCTTCATCTCTGTGCTTCTTAGAAATTTTTTATGTCGCCTTTTAAATTCCGTTTTTGCTATGTTGAGAAATATAGTCGACTTCCCGCTCCCTTTAAACGTAAAAAGCGTCCGGATACGGTGGATTGAATTTTAGCATATTTTCCGCTTTTTTTCAGTGCGATTTTTGACTTCCCGATCCCTTAAAAAGCGAGCCCCCTCCCTAATTAATGCCCTTTTACGCTAAAGCGTGACCGTTCGCCGAGGCTGGGAAAAACGTAGAGACATATAATTTGTCCTTGAGCGCCGATTTTAGCTGCTGCCAGCCGCCACCCCCAGGAATTCAATGACGTAACCGATTTTCTCGAAAAGGGGCGGACAAGAGAGGGAGAGAGAGAGAGAGAGAGAGAGAGAGAGAGAGAGAGGATGAGAGACATGGGATAGCTTTTGCAAGATGCTAATCTAAACGTCTAAAACCCCGCAAAACCCGCCCCATCCGCCTGTGGCAGCCGTGTTTTCCTTGTTGGTATTTCACTTGGAGTTTTCGAAATTCCGAAATGATCACTGCTAGCGTGCCCTTTCCTAAGGAATCTCTGCTAGTCTGCCCTTTCCTGAATAATCGCTGCTAGCCTGCCTTTTCCTAAAGAATCTCTGCTAGCCCGCCCCCATTTTCGGGTTTAAATTGAATAAATAAATCATTTTCAGCCCCGCCCCGGCCATTTTCCAATGTTGAGATGAAAGAACGGGAAACACCACCTACTCCAACACTGCTCTTCATATTTTTCTGCCTATTCGCTACAGTACTTTGGTGAGTTTTAGCGGTCTGGATTTTTTTTTTTTGCTTAAAGGAACGTGCAAGGCAGATGGCTATCAATTTTGTCGACTTGGCTTCCCTGTCCCTTTAATACGATATTTTTCAGTAATTCCACTCCCCGCGAAGTGTTCCGGTTATACCGAGCCGTTCCGCATTCCACCACCGGACTGCGGGCCCTTCACGATTTGCAGAAAAATGACCATCTATTCAATGTGAGTTTGTGGATTTTTTATATTTTCGGATTTCCGAATTTTTGGGCTTACCCTAGATCCAGGATTATTTGAATTTTTGCAAATGTTGGAGTTATTTGCTTTATAATCAGGCAATTTAGGAGTGTTTAGACTTAAATATTGCAAAAATCCAGGCTTGCGGAGTTTTGAGCGGATTACTGTAGATTTACAGTTATTAGGTTTACTCTATAACGTCATTTTAGGTCGACTTCTGGAAGGAGCCGCGTGCGATTGAGGACACGGCCGACGTGATGGTGCCCGAATCTGTGTGGGGACTCGTCGAGGAATATCTTCAAAATAGCAACTGCACATACAGGGTTTCGGTGCCGGATGTGGAGAAGTGAGTCTCTCTCTCTCTCTCTCTCTCTCTCTCTCTCTCTCTCTCTCTCTCTCTCTGTTTCTCTCTCTCTCTTTCTCTCCCTTTCTCTCTTTCTCTTCCTCTCTCTTTCGCCCGCTTACTACAGCTTTAAAGGGAAAGTTCCCTATGAGACCGACAAAATTTGAATAACTCTGCCCCGGGCAAGCTAGCAGAGGGCATTTGGGAACCTCAAGAAATCCTCCGTTTTTCCAGGCTGATCCTCTACAACGAGGGCTCAAAACGGGCGCGGCCCGGCTTTGGCAAGCGGTTAAATGATGACCCGATTTTGGATAGTGAACGTAAGTTTAAGTTCTGTAAATTTTATTGTTTAATTCTTCTTTTAGCCGACGACGATTGGACGAACGTCGGCAAGCTGAAGAAGGCGAAATATCCATTTGGGGATTACGCGCCCTACGCCGACATGATGAAGTATATGAGGTAAAAGTTTAAAGGGATAAAACTATCTCACTATCTCTCGCGCTCTCTCCCTCCCTCTCTCCCTCCCTCTCTCTCTTTCTCTCTCTCTCTCTCTCGCTCTCTCGCTCTCTCTTTCTTTCTCCATATCTCTCTCCCTCTATCTCTCGCTCTTTCTGTCTTTCTCTCTCTCTCTCTCTCTCTCTCTCGCTCTCTCTTTCTTTCTTTCTCCATAGCTCTCTCGCTTCGATTTCTTAACAAATTTTTTTGCAGAACAATCGAGTTCTACTACCCGGGTTTCACCAAAATCGTCCGGATCGGAACTTCCCATGAAGGAAAACCTATTGAGGGACTCAAGGTATAGCTTTTAAAGGGGTGATGATAGCTAGTATATTTTTTAGATCGGGTTCCCCATCGAAAATACCTCAAAGCGCGCCGTTTGGATTGATGGGAATATACACGCTAGGGAATGGGCCAGCAGTCATACAGCGTTGTATATTATTAATCAGGTATTTATCTATCTATCGCTCTGGCTCTCTCTCACGTCCTTCCTCTCTCTCCCTCTCTCTCTCTCTCTCTCTCTCTCTCTCTCTCTCACTTTCTCCTTTTCTTTCTCTCGCTCTGGTTTTTTGCAAGGCATAATATCTACTTTTAGCTAGTCTCCGGCTACGGCAAAGACGACAACACGACGTTCTACGTCAACAACCTGAACTTCTACATCGTGCCGTGTCTGAATCCGGATGGCTACGAGTACACGCGGAGTAGCCCGCAGCCATTGGTGCGTTGAAATCTATTTTCGAAAAATGTTTGATCCGATTCTATGGATTTTTGCCTTCAGTGGCCCTTTAAATACACGGTCCTCGGAAAAATGGCCTAGTTTTGACTTGCTTTCTTCCTCTTTGTCCCTCTCCCTCGTTTTATCTGGCTAGGAAGGTCTGAAAATTGCCTTTTTTACTTTAATGACCATTTAAAAGGCTTGAAATAGCAAATTAAAAATAATTCTTTCTCAGGCTCACAATTTCTTTCTCTGTCTCTCTCTCACTCGCTCTCTATCTCTCTCTCGCCTTCGCACTCTCTTTCTCACGCTCCCCTCTCGTTCTCTCTCCCGATGTCTCGCTCTCTCTCAATCCCTCTCCTGCTTTCTCTCGCCCTTGCGATCTGTCTCTCTTTATTCAATCGGATTCGATTTTCACAAAATTCTCTGCTAGATATCTTCCCTTTTCTAAATTTCTAAACTTTTCGTTTTTATGTGCGCCTATGGCGGAAGAACCGTTCGCCGGAAGTGTGCACGGCGTCGATGTGGGGCGGCGATAAGTGCTGCCGGGGGGTCGACCTCAACCGGAATTTCGACCATCATTGGGCCGGTGAGTTTTGTTTTGTGTTTTAATCTTTGGCTCCGCAGGCCCTTTAAATGCTAATTTGTGGGTTTACAGAGACCGGGTCCAGCTACGAGCCCTGCTCCAACCTGTACCACGGCGACTACGTGTTCAGCGAACCGGAGGCATCGTGAGTGATGTTTTTTGTTTTTCTCCGCACTCTCTCTCTCTCTCTCTATGTCTATCTCCCGCGCTCTCTCTCTCTCTCTCTCTCTCTCTCGCTCTCTCTATGTCTATATCTCGCTCTCTCTGTCTATCTATCGCTCTCTGTCTCTCTCACGTTTTGGCTCTCTGTCTCTCTCACTCATTCGCTCTCTCTCTCTCTTTCTCACTCTCTCCCTCTCTGTCTCTCTCAATTTTTTCAATTTCCAGCTCCGTCCGAAAATTCCTGGAAACGGAAGAGATGTGGGGCAAAACGGACGCCTTCCTGACGCTGCACACCTATGCACAATTGTGGATCTACCCCTTCAGTCATCAAGAAGTCACATACCCGAAGGATATTGACGAATTGGTGGGTTTTTGGGACGTTACGATAGCCGTGCTTTAGTACTGTCCCGTAGTATCGCGTAGTGCGGGTACTGTAGCGTCGCGTACGTATGCAGTGGTGTTTTTTTCGGTAATACCGTGCCGCCACGTAACGTTGTGTAGCTTCACGTAAGGCCGTAGCGTATTGTACTCTGACGTAGCTTACTGTAAGGTGCGTCACCTTAACATACTGTGACGTATAGCAACCTTCCGTACTGTAACGTGGCATATCGTAACGTTTCATCTCCGATGCAGCGTATCGTAGCGTACTGTCAAAGGGCGTAACTTGTAGCGTGTAGCAAACGTGTAGCTTAGCGTATTGTAAAGTGTCGTAGCGTACTGTAGCTGTAGTAGGTACTGTGAAGTGGCGTACGGTATCTTATCGTAGCGTGCCGCATCGTAACGTAACACAGGCTACTGTAGGGATTGGTGACGCAACGCATCGTAGTGCATTGTAGTGGAGCATAACGTACCGTACCGTAGCCTCGCGTACACTCCAAGGTATCCTAAATTCCGTTTCAGAAAAGAACAGCTCGAAAAGCGGTGTCCCGGCTAGAAAACGTGTACGGTACCGTCTACAGGATGGGAACGGGAGCGGATACCTTAGGTATTTACAAATCTTACTGTAAATTCGCCTTAAGCTCCCGCATCCGGCGGCTCCGACGACTGGGCCAAGTCGAAGATGCACGTCAAATTCGTGTACTTGATCGAGTTGAGGCCCGAAGAACATCGTGAGTTTTTTGCAAAATACGTAGAGAGAGAGCGAGAGAGAGCGAACGAGAGAGAGAGGGAGAAAGATGAGGCAGAGAGCTATATCCAATTTTCCAGTCTCCCACGGCTTCATCCTCCACAAGAAGGAGCTGATCCCGACCGGCATCGAGACGCTGGAAGGCCTTAAAGAGGTAAATCAATAAATTTTTGCTAAAATTTGATTTTGATTTGATTGATTGATTTGATTTTATTGATTTGATAAAATTTTGTTTTGCTAAATTTTTGTTTGCGCGTTTTTTTGCCTTCACTGGTCCTTGAAAATCGTTTTCTTCAGGTATTCGAATCGGTACTCGCCTCCAACAACATCAAGCGCGACCCGTTCGCCAAGATATCGCCGGCGATGCGCAGGAAACAGGATTGTGAGTTTAAGAATTGTTTCAATGAGGTTCCTACAGAATCTCTGCCAGCCTGCCCATTCCTAAAGAATTTCTGCTAGCTTGCCTTTTCCTAAAAAGTTTTTCAGCTGCTGAAGCGGAAACTACGGGTAATATAAAATTTGTGTAGTTCTTTTAGAAAAATTAGCAAAAGCACGATTTTATTAACTATACCTTTAGTTCTCGCATGTTCGCTCTATTATTTTATTTTAGTTAAATTTAACCTCCATTTTTTTATTTAAATGTTACTAAATTAGTATTTTTTTAGTGCGCCGTCGCGTGTTCTTGCAACAAACGGAAGCGCCGACAAGTCCAGCAACTACCACAGTCACAACCAGGTAATTTAAAGAATCTCTGCTAGCCTGCCCTGTCCTAAAGAATCTCTGCTAGCCTGCTCGATCCTAAAGAATCTGTGCTAGCCTGCCCTTTCCCAAATTAACTCTGCTAGCCTGCCCTTTCCTAAAGAATCTCTGCTAGCCTGCCCTTTCCTAAAGAATCTCTGCTAGCCTGCCCTTTCCTAAAGAATCTCTGCTAGCCTGCCCTTTCCCAAATTAACTCTGCTAGCCTGCCCTTCTTTTCTGAATTATCTCTGCCAGCCTGCTTAATTCCCCATTTTCAGCCTAACCCCAACTACCGTAACCACATCTACAGTACCCAGCACCACCTCCATCACCACCACCGACGCGACGACGCGTAGCACCAACTTCCGCCCCACCGCGCCGATGGCGCCGCCCACTTTTGGAGGCGTCACCACCACAGAAAAGGTACCTGAACCAGATTTGCAATTTCGTAATGTCGTAATCCGTAATGTCGAATTTCATAAGGCCTAGATACAGAATATCGACATTTTTTGCATAGGCTTCGGGGGTTTTTCCGAGAAAATTAGTTACTGGAAATTTCGACATTCTGAAAATTGGACAGTCTGAAATTGGACGTTCTGAAATTTCGACATTATGAATTTCGACGTTATAAATGTCGAAATTATGATTTTCGAATTTTTGAAAGAAACCGCTTTAACGCGAATTCTATATTTTTTTTGTTTAGCCAAAAGCGAAATCCCCGGAAGAAATCGAGAAGCTACGCCGCGAGCAGGTCGCCAAGAAACGCGAATTGGAAGCTCGGAAAAGAGAGGTAGAAATTTTGATGATAGGTAGCGCGTTTGGAAGAGCACGAAAAGGGCTACAACGTTGAAGCAAAGACTGCACTAATCCTAAGCTAAGCTTTCGAAGCCGAAACCGAAGCCTAAGCAAAATTTGAAGCCGGCGAATCTCTTCACGTTAATGTGCTACAGCAATCAGAGATAGCGCGTTTGAAAGCGTACGAAAAGGGCTACAAGGAAACGAAATAAGCTTAAGCTAAGCGTCCGAAGCCGAAGCCGAGCCTTAGCAAATTTTGGAGCTGACTTATCTTTGTGCAGGAATCTGCTACAGCAATGAGAGATAGCGCGTTTGAAAGAGCATGAAAAGGGCTACAAAGCTGAAGCAAAAACGAAAATAAGCATAAGCTAAGCTTCCGAAGCCTAAACGAAGCCGCAGCAAAATTTGAAGTCGACTTAGCTCATTACAGGAATGTGTTACAGCAACGAGATATAGCGCGTTTGAAAGAGCACGAAAAGGGCTACAAAGTTGAAGCAAAAACTGCACTAATCCTAAGCTAAGCTTTCGAAGCCGAAGCCGAAGCCTAAGCACGAAACAGGCTACTAGGCCTACTAAAAAACCGAAGCTACTAAGCGCCCTCAGCCAGTTCAATTCCTATTCATTTAGCCGCTCGTTGTCGAGTACGCGATTACCGTAAGATATCGGGTGAGCCGTGGCGGGCATGTGGCTATCCTGTATGCTAAAAACTTTCTTATTTTTGGTTGAAATTATGTTTTTTGCATGCAGCCCTCTATTTTAAGTTTCTAAAATATTGATTCGTTTAAGTTAAGTTTTGTAACGCCGCCTGAAAATTTTATTGTTTTAAAAATTAACTGTTTAAAATGAAACTTCATTCTAGATCGAAGAAACGAGACGACGGGTTAAAGAATTGGAGCGAAGAAGAGCCGTGGAAAAAGAGGAAGACGAGAGACGGGCAGAAGAGAGAACGAGAGAGGATGAAAGACGCAGAGAAAGAGAGCGAAGGTTGGAGGAGGAGAAGGAGCAGGAGATGAGGAGGAGGATGAATATACAGCAGAGGCAGCAGGATCAGTGGAGGAGGTGAGTAAATTTGTTTAAATTATCTCTGCTAGCCTGCTTGATTTCCTAAAGAATCGCTGCTAACCTTCCCCGTTCCTCATAATCACTTACTCGCTCTCTCTCCCTCTCTCCCTCCCTCACTCTCGCTGTCGCTCTCTCTGGCTATCTCTCGCCCTCGCTCTTACACTCTCGCTATCTCTCTCGCTCTCTCGCTCTCTCTCTCACTCTCGCTCTCGCTCTCTGTCGCTTTCTCTGGCTCTCTCCCTCTCTCCCTTACCCTCTCTCTTTGTATCTCTTGCTCTCGCTTTCTATGGCTCTCTCTCGCCCTCTCTCTCTCTATTCACTCGTTTCCGCAACGAATCCCTGCTAATTTCTACTTTCTGGCTCATTTCTTCCAGATTCCCTGCTGGCTTGCCTTCATAAAATTCCTTTTTTTCAGGGACAACGAGCGTCGCCTCGAACAAATCCGACTCCGCGAGGCCGAGGATCGACGTAAAGAGGAGCAACGCGTAGCCGAGGAGGAGCGACAGAAAGAAGTGGCCAAACTGGCTGAGCTCGAGAAGAAAAAGGCGGAGGAGGAGCTCGAGAAGGAGGTGAGGCTCATTTTATATTTGGAGCCGATCATTCGGGAATTCAGAGACATGCTAGCAGAAACCATTTGAGAATGTATTGTTTTAGAAGATCAAAGCCATCGAGCCGATCGTGCGCGTCGCCCGCAAGCTGGTCGACGGCCGCATCGAGGAGAAGGAGGTCGAGGTGTTGGAGGTAAAAATTTTTTCTGCTTCTCGTTTGTTGGCAAGCGTAATGTTCTAATTTTCGTTTTTTAGGCCCAATCCGACACCGGCCGCTCAGACGCTTCATTGGTTACGGTAGCCGAAATGGAGCTTCCACCGAAGTCGAGCACTGCCGCCTACACGACCTACTCTCCGCTGCGCATCCCACCAAATGCCGTCACGCAGAGTTATACGAGGTACGTAGGCTTGGCTGAGGCTTGGCTTAGACTTCGCTTAGACTTCGCTTAGGCTTGGTAGAGGCTTGACTTCGGCTTGGCTTGGCTTGGCTTGGCTTGGCTTGGCTTGGCTTGGCTTGGCTTGGCTTGGCCGGCAGCCGAGCGGCAGCAACAGCAGCTTGGCACGGCAAAGCAGCACCAGCTTAGCAATCGGCTTGGCACAGCCAGCAGCGGCACTTGGCTTGGCAGCCGCAGCGGCAGCAAGCGGCAGCGGCTTACACCAGCAGCAGCAACCAGCAGCGCAGCTTGGCAAGCGGCACACGGCTGGCAACAGCAGCAGCTTGGCTAGGCTGGCAGCGGCAGCTTGCAGCTTGGCCCGGCAGCGGCTTGCAGCAGCTTGGCTGGCTTGGCTTTGGCTTGGCTTGGGCTTGGCTTGGGCTTGGCTTAGGCTTGGCTTCGGCTTGGTTTAGGCTTGGGCTTGGCTTGGCTTAGGCTTCATTCGGCTTGGCTTAGGCTTCGCTTCGGCTTGGTTTAGGCTTGTGCTTGGCTTGGCTTAGGCTTGGCTTAGGCTTCGTTCGGCTTGGCTTAGACTTGACTTAGGCGTGGCTTAGGCTTCCCTTAGGCTTTTTTCTTTTTTTATTGATTTAAATTTACTCAAATTTTCCAGTAGCCGCGATCAGCCGTTCCCCGATATGACGGAGGTCCGAATTATCCCTGGCCAACTACCAGCGCACACAAAATCGACGTATCCACCACCTCGGATCACTCAAAGAACCGACGACCGCTACACGACTACGGTAGCTTTTGTGGATTATTTTTCTGTTTTTATTGCTTTTATTTTTTGTTCGATTATGGAAAATAAGGTACTTTTTCCAGGTCCCCATCGCGTTCCGGGACCCGTCCTGCCGAGATCTCCGGTATTCGTGCTCGTTCTGGCTGAAGAACTCGCCGGAGGTGTGCGTGACACAGGTATCTTTTCCTCATGGGTCACTGATAGCTAGCCCGGGTGTTTGATTTCCCTAGGATTTCTGCTAGCTTGCCCTGAATTCTGGGTTGTTTAACGCATTTCCTAAAGAATCTCTGCTAGCGTGCCTTTTCCTAAAGAATCTCTGCTAGGTTGCCTGCCATTTTTATCATAAAGTTAGCCCTTCAAAGAAGTTAAATAATTTAATTGAAATTGAAAATTTAATTAAATTCAAGCGACTTAAAACATAAATATAATTACGAAGCGAATTAAGATAAATAAATTGTATCCAAAAATACAAAATAATTATCTAATTCTTAACACCTAAATCGTAAAATGTTTAGCGTTCTTTCATGCGCGCCCAGTGCGCCTACACGTGCCGCTTTTGCCAGCCGGCCGGCGAGGCGATCATGGTCGCCGGCCCGTTTTTGGAGCAATAAAACGGATTTTTTACGTTTATTTTTTGGTTTTATATAATTTATTTGATATTAACACAGCAGTTAAATGATTTTTAATTATTTTTGCTAACCCATTTTAAAGAAATTGTCAAGTGAAACGATTTTCGATAGATTTTCCACTTGCCAAACCCTTTAAAATTTGAAAGGGGTTGTGAAGTATTTAAACTTAGCAATTTCCTATGGATTTCCCGCTTCACAAGTCCTTTAAAATTAAATTAACAAACTTAAAAACTACAAAAAAAATTATAAAAATCATTTATCAAAATTTTTCTACAAATTGCCAATTGAATTTACGGGTTCTCTCCTTCTCCCTTTGACTTCTCGATAGTCCGCGCTAGGCACTGTGGCTGGCTTTAGAAGTTTTCATTCTATTTATTTTTCTTTCAAATTAAATTAACTTTATCTATTTATTTTACGTGCTAACCCTAGGATTCGAAATTGTCATTTTTATTCGTGTTTTTGTGTGCTAAAATAATGCATAAAATAATGTTGAAAACTCATATATAAAAAAGCACCTCAGGAAAAACATTTAATACACGTTATAAAAAAACAATAACATTTTTAAATGGTTTCTGCTAGCCTGCCCTCTCCTAAAAAATATCTGCTAGCCTACCATTTCCTAAAGAATCTCTGCTCGCCTGCTCATTCCTAAAGAATCTCTGCTAGCCTGCCCGTTCCTAAAGAATCTCTGCTAGCCTGCCTCTCCTAAAGAATCTCTGCTAGACTGCCCTTTCCTAAAGAATTTCTGCTAGCCCGCCACCGATTTCTCAACCTTGCTCGATCACCCGATTTCTGACTGTCCAACAGCCTGGCGCTGATGCTCAGTTTTCCCGCTCTCTTTTCCCGGCGTTGAGCACAAAAATTAGCATAATCCCCGCCAGTTAAACAACCGCAGGCCAGAGGGACGGGGAGGTCGATAGGGTCGGTCTCGCGTCACGTGTTTCCTTCGCAAAACCCACAGTTTTTAGCTTTTAAAATTTCAATGGGCCGTTTCAAGGGAACTTTTGCATTATCGGGGGAGGGGGTTTGAATTTTTGTAGATCGCATTTGCGCGTCACGATTATTTTATATTATTTTCATCTGGTTTTTAGTAAAATTTAGCTGTATTTAACGCCAAAAACCCGCAAAAATTTTTAGATATTTTTAAAATTCGAACTTTTGATCGAAAAACGCTATATTTTTTCTCAAAATTTGTAGTTTTTACGTTAAGGAACAGAACAAACAATTTAGAAACATTTCCTCTACTTATGTTGGCAAAATAGGATCCTAAGTTGGTCCTCCCCCACCCGATAATGCAAAAGCACCGAATTCCCTTTAAAGTTTAAACTTTAAACTTTAAACGATTTTTATACATTTTTGTCATGTTTTTCGATGCTTAGTTTTAGACGCCCCTTTCCTGTCGCCAGGAAGCTATAGGAAATTTTTGAAAATCCACAGTTACACCAGAAAATTAACATAATTTACGTCAAGTAATGGATGAGGATCTTGAAGGTGATTTTATTAGTAGTTTTCTGGCAAAAACTTTTATTTTTAGGAGTACTAATCGTGCTCGGCATCCTCGGCATCGGCATTATTGGAGCGATTGTGCTTTTGATATTGGTGAGATTTTCAAATTTGAGTTTGGCAAGCTAGCAGAGATTCCTTAGAAAACGGCAGGCTAGCAGAGACTCTTTAGGAAAGGGCAGGCTAGCAGAGATTCTTTGCGAAACGGCAGGCTAGCAGGGGTTCTTTAGGAAAAGGGCAGGCTAGCGGAGATTTTTGAGGAAAGGACAGGCTAGCAGAGATTCTTTAGGAAAGGGCAGGCTTGCAGAGATTCTTTAGGAAAGGGCAGGCTAGCAGAGATTTTTGAGGAAAGGGCAGGCTAGCAGAGATTCTTTGGGAAAAGGTAGGATGTACGATAGCAGAGATTCTTTAAGCAAGGGCAGACGAGCGAAGATTTTTTAGGAAAGTGCAGGCTAGCAGAGGTTCTTTAGGAATTGCAAAACTCGTTGATTTGGCCTTTTTTCAGTACGCCGAGCCAGTGCGTCGCCTGCTGCGGCTTCATCGGGACAAAGAAGACGAGGAGGACATCGAGACGGGCGGCACGCCGAAGAACTCGAAAAAGAAGTCGATGAAGCGGACGCATATCGTGGTGGCGCAGGGGAAGAATGTCTTCGAGATAGGTACGAGAGTTTCTTAAGCTCAGGCTCAGGCTTGACTTAGGCTTAGGCTTGGCTTAGGCTTACAAGCTGTTTTGCCGGTCAACTAACTCACCCCATTTTTCTCTTTTCAGACGAAGAAGCCAGGTCGATTCGAAAAGTTTCCAAGCCAAGCCGCCAACTCACCGTAGCCGTCCACCCTGCCCCGAGTACGCCACGCTCCCTTCCGGCTACACCACTCGGAAATCAGGCGCCAGTTTCGTTTGACGACGTCCCAAGGGGAAAAATTGCGAAGTGAGTGGATTTTCTGGGTTTCGAGCGCCTTTAAAATGGCTGTAAGTGACTGGCGTTTTCCCAAATGGTCTTTGCTAGCATGCCTTTGCGTTTTCAGTTCGGATTTTCCCAACCATCACTGCTAGCTTGCCCAATTCTCGAAGCAAACCTGAAAATTTTATCATTCCTTCATTCCAATTTTATCATTTTATCATTTATATCATTTCCGCTGCTTTGCCCAAAAATTGTTGGGGGATTTCCGCAAAGAAACTTTGCTAGTTCGCCCTAGGCCCTATTTTTAATTAACAAATATAAATAAAGATTTTTAAAACGCGTTTTCCTAGAAATTTCACATTTTTCCAAAATTCTCTCTGCTAGCTAGCCTTTTTTGAGCTCTCACGGTTTCAGTAAATGTAGATTTTTGCCTTGCGGGTACCTTTAAAATGAATAGCATACCTGCGCGTTCCTAAACGTTCTCTGCCGGTTTGCCCCAATCGAATTTCAAATTTTTTTTGCTCGAAAAATCGATAATTTTTATACGTATTTTGTAGCTTTGCGCTTAGTAATATAAAAATCTGTTTGGAACCTCTAGGTAATTTGAAATAACGGGCTTCCCCCCCCCCGGATAATGCCAAAGTACCAAGTTTTATTTCCAGAACGAACTCGGCTCCGTTCGATCACCTTGAAGCGGCGAGTTCCGTGTCGGGATCCGGGCCGGAAGGAATTCGCAGTATTCTCCGACGTCCCCTCGTCCCCGCGTCACTTAATGGAACGACGTCAACGTCATCTGAGAAGAAGAACACCGTACTCATCATACACGAGGGAAATCGTTTTCGGGTAAGTCAAATTTATCGTAAAGGGCGACCTAGCAAAGATTATTTAGGAAGCCGGGCAAGCTAGGCTGGTTCTTTTGCATTATCGGGGGCCAACTTTTTTTGCATAAGTCTAGAAAGCCCTAGTAACAATAAGAAGTGTTTTTATAGTGTTTTTAATTATATAACTATATAACTAGAAAAACTATCTGAAAATTTTTAAGAAAGTCAAACTTTTGGCCAAAACACGGCGATTTTTGATCGAAAAATCGATGTTTTTGATATTTTAGTGTAAATTTGTCTATTTTTCACGTTTAGGAACCATAACAAACCATTTAGAAACACTTTCACGATTTATATTTGATAAACTAGATCCTAAACTAGCATAGAACCTTTGGGGAAATCACCTAAAAATCCCAGAAAATCGTCCCCTCCGAAGTCTCCTCCTTGCCGACGTCGCCGGAACAGGAGACAAACTATTTGCCGGGCTACCGGGCGCTGAGCGCTCGGCGCAGCTCGTGCTCCTAAAAAACGTGTATTTTTGTGTAAATTGTAGCCTTTAGTTTGGCTTTAGAGGGACTTGGCAAAGAATATCTTTAAAAGTTTCTTTAATGTTTAAAAATACCTTGAAAAATTGGGATTAAATCGATTTAATATTCCTGCTATTAAAAGCTTCCCAGTCCCTTTAAAAACAACAAAATTCCATTAAACTTCAATGTACTAACACGGCTTCTCCACCGCTTTAATTTTAACCCCTTTCAACTAACCAGCGACTAACGAAAAATTGCGCAAATTTGCATTGAATTACGCGACATAATTATGGTTATTTATTTGATACAGTATTCCCTTAAATTTATGTGATAAAATACGATAATAAAAGCTAAAATAAAATACAAAAATTCCCGAATATTTACGCACAAAATTTGTCGTGCCAATGGCTGATGGCGGGCGGGTTTGCGGGCTCACCACTCATCAGCCTCTCCCCACCTCCCCCTTCCATCCGGGGGTATAGCTCAGTGGTAGAGCGCTCGCTTAGCATGCGAGAGGTCTGGGGTTCAATTCCCCATACCTCCAGAAAGTTTTTGCTTTTTGAGAATACAGGTTGTTTTTAGTTTCCGGTTACTGTAATCACTTTAAAAATCAGGGCAGGCTGGCAGGGATCGTTTAGGAAGCTCGATAACCTGGGGGTCGATGTTCAGGCCTACACGTGAAATTTGCTGTCATTTGGAGCTTGCGGAGATGAAGCTAGCTGAAAGGCTCGGTAGGACCTCAGCTGGCGATGGTAAACTAGCAGAGATCCTTGCGGAACACCTAAGCAAAGCAGAGAAAGTCGAAAACGAAAGCTTAAACATGCACTCCCGAAAACTAACCTCAAACTTGGGTAATTAAACCGGCGATCGCTGTCATTTTCCAACTTTCTCACTCGCCCCCCACCTGGCCCACTGTCAGGACAGATAGACCAGCCCTCTCCACCTCAAGTCGTCAGTCGGTTCACCCCGACCTTCTGATCCGGTGGCTCCGTACAGCCAACAAATGGGTGTCAGGGCTCCCCTTAATGCCTGAAAATGGGTGGATGGCTCCCCTTAATGCCAAGAGAAAAGCTACGGCTTGTGAACTGCTTGAAAAGCTTCGGCTTTGCAGTCAAATACTGGCTTGGCTACGTGTTCTACGTAGTCCAAATGCCTAAGCAACCGGTTGGTAAGGCTGCAGCCTCAGGCGCGGCACTTACGAAAAAGCCTGGCCCATACACGTGGTGGCCAAAACAGGCAAATTTCCCTCCAATTTTTGCATTGTGCCCCCCCCGTCCTAATGCTTTTCCCCCGTCCCCCCCCCCCCAAAAAAACCCCAAACCCCCAAAAACTCTTGCCCTTCCACTACTTATATTTCAAAACTTGGATCCTAAGAAGTAAGTTGGTCTCCCCCGATAATGCGAAAGAACCAATAGAAACGAAAGCTTAAAAATGCTATCCAGAATACTAACCTCAAACTTGGGTAATTAAACCGGCTATCGCTGTCATTTGTCACTTTCTCACTCGCCACCCACCTGGCCCACTGTCTGGACAGATAGGCCAGCCCCTGCTAGCCCTAATCGTCGGTCGGCTCTCGCCGGTCCTTGCGACATGGTGGCTCCGTAAAGCCAACAAATGGCGGTCAGGCTCCCCTTAATGCCTGTGATCAGGAAAGGCTTCGGCTTCTTCCGAACTGTTAGTTTTCTGCTAGTTTTCTATTAGACCACTCGTCTAAGGTTGGACCGGTTATTAAGACTGGCTTCGGCTTTCCCGGCGCTGCTCCCCTGAACTGCTCGAAGACTTCACGGCAAGCTGCCATGGCTAGTATTTTACTATGCCAAAAGTGAGGGAGGCCATTAATGCGCCATACCTCACGACAGATCCTTGGCGAACGTATCACGAACCTTCCTTCAACCGAGGGGCTGCCCTTATGCCCTGACAGTGGGCCAGATGGGGGGCGAGTAGGGCTGGTCTTTGTGCGTTCTTCGCATGCTCTCTGGCCCACCGCCCCACTCGTCCCCCATCTGGCCCACTGTCAGGGCATAAGGGCAGCCCCGCGGCCGAGTCATCGGAGGTGTTGCCTAAGGTAGCTGATGTTGCCGCAGGTTGCCCTCCCCCGCCTAGCTGAAGCTTTTGAACCTCTGATCCTCAGAGTCACGACACCAATTTTGATTTCCGTCCGAGGATTTGCGAAGTACTTTAATCAAACTAAACCTTGTTGCGGCCAGTGTCATTTGAGTGTACTTTGATCACCACCGACTCGCCACCCTTCTGGACCCCGGTGAAACTATACCTCGGAAAAAATCCCAGGGTTGGTGGTCGGGGAGGACGGTGGGCTTACTATTCAATTATTTTCAGATAGTATGTGAATAGTAGTATACTATAGTATTATTAGAATAGGATTAAAGATACTCCCCTTCTATTATTGATAGTCTTCAAGAGACTATATTATCCAAAATTGAGAATTTACTAAATTCTAAACTTCACTTCTGAATTTAGAATTCAGAGGAAAGTTAGAAAGTAGCAATTCAGGATTAACCCGAAACTCTAATCTGGTAGTCCCGTTTCTCCGAAGAGAATTGGTGACCTGACTCTATGGATCAGAGGTTCAAAAGCTTCCGCTCCGCAAACGAGCAGAGCTTCAGCTAAGCAAGGATCCGTGGGGCTGCCCTTATGCCCTGACAGTGGGCCAGATGGGGGACGAGTGGGGCGGGGGTCAGAGAGCATGCGAAGAACGCACAAAAACCAGCCCTACGAGTGCTCGATGCATGCTTTCTGACCGCCACCCACTCGCCACCGGTCTGGCCCACTGTCAGGGCATAAGGGCAGCCCCTCGGTTGATTTGGTGGAGGTTCAGCCCACGGCACCTTTTGTTGCCGCAGGTTGTCCTCCCCGCTAGGCGGAACCTTGCCTATCTGAAGCTCTGCTCGTTTGCGGAGCGGAAGCTTGGGCAATTCGAAGCCTTTGAACCTCTGAATTAACAAAAATTAACGTTGTTGCGGCCAGTGTCGTTTGAGTGTACTTTGATCACCACCGACTCGCCACCCTTCTGGTACACGGTGAAACTATACCTCGGAAAAAAACCTAGGGTTGGGGGTCGGGGAGGTGGGTGGACTTACTATCCTTTTAATTTCAATTAGAGACTTTTAGAGATAGTATTATTATCAGGAATTATCATACTGATATTAAAATAGTATGATAATAGTTATGCTACTATCTACAAGATAGTTCTTCAAAAATTGCAACAGCTTCCACACTTCGTGGCGAAGCTTGGACTTGGTATTTTCAACAAAGATGTGAAAATAGCAAGTCTCGAAATGAAAATGCAACCAAAAAAGGCTGACTTCAAATCCGCAAGCTTGGCAAAGCACAAATCATGGGTTAGCTAGCTTCACTTTGCCCAAGCTTCCGCTCCGCAAACGAGCAGAGCTTCAGCCAGGCAAGGATCCGCTTAGCGGGGGAGGACAACCTGCGGCAACAGAGTCACCTGTGGCTGAACCTCCAAAAACTTAACCGAGGGGGCTGCCCTTATGCCCTGACAGTGGGCCAGACGGGTGGCGAGTGGGTGACGGTCAGAAAGCATGCATCGAGCACTCGTACGTTAGCATTTTTCTGTATTTTTTCGGATTTTCGTAGGGTGCATTTCGTGTCATCATGATCCAGTGCATTCACTCACATAATTTTTCAAACTTTTATAGAACGTCTCTAAGTGTCAAGGGTGTATCGTGTGAATAAGACTTGGCCGCGGACTGGGGGGAAAATCAAATAGAATACATCGTAAAGTCAAATTTTAAATTTCAAAACTAGCCAGAACGGGGGAGGGTTTTTAAGTTACCAAATCAGCAATAAGGGGGTGTTTTTTGTTTTTGGAATCTGCATCACAACGCTCGCCACGCCGCACGGCGCGGGGGGAAATTAAATTGACTATACAATTGGGGAGGTACAAATGACATAACGGGGGGGGGGCTAGGGGGGACAGCGTGGAATAGAGTACACGAATTTCCGAAATATACCGTACACACCCGCATCGGCACAGCAGCAGCAATGAAAGGAAAAACAAACGAAAATAGAGACAAAAACCGACGGATTTGAATTCCAAAAATACCCAAAATTGTGCAAAATTTTGCCGTTTTGAATTTGTTAAATCTTGGGGGACAACGTTACGCACCGGTTTCCGCGGTAAAAAGGTACAAAAATAGGCCCGAAAAATCGGAATTTCCGCTTTAATTTTTAACAAAGTTTTGAGCTGAGTTGGTGGGGGTTTCGCGGGGGCTACCGTAACCCTGGAATTGTCATTTTTGGCTTAAAAATGCTAGGTAAACAAGGATTACTGTAGCCCGGGCAGAACATGGAAAATACAATAAATATCAAAAACAAATATAGGGAATAGAAATGGAACCGCGAGAATTTTGTTGGCAACAAGGCGGGACGGACTGAGTTTTTCACGGGTAAAATTCGAAATGTTAAATTTAAATTAGGTGCATGCGCATTATCGGGGGGGGGGCAAGTTCGAAACTACAAAAATCTTCGAAAAATTTTTAAGGTGAAATTTTCCTCGAAAATTGGCAATTTTTGTCGAAAACTCTTTTTTTGTATGTAAATAAAAATCTGTAAAGTTGTAACGTTTCGGAATAGTAAAAATCAGTTCAGAAACACGTCGTCTATTTATATTCTAGAAATTGGACCCATAGAAAAAGTTGCGCCCCCCCCCCGATAATGCCAAAGGTCCCTAATTTTTAAGCTTTCAAATTCACCCAAACACAAAATTTGAATCGGCTTTACGGTATACTTGAGGCACTAACACGCATTTCTCGAGGAGTAGGTAGTTCGGCGGGGGGACTGACCAAAGTGAGGGAAATAAAAAATTACCGAAAAATTAGCATAAGCGTGTTGTTGAGGAGTCGAATTGGGCAAGTTGGACCCGGAAAATGTTGCGGAAGTTGTGAAGATGCAGCACGTAGTCGTGGTAGTCGTAACAGCAGAAGATCACCGGAAGTCGGGCCCGAAATCGGGGATGTCGATCTCTTTGTAGCCCTGGAAAAAGGAACTTTAAATTTTATAGCAATCAATAAGTTAATTAATAAATACTAAAACAGTAATAATGTTTAAATTAGTTTAAATCTTAGAGAAATTTAGTTTAAGCCAGGATAAATCAAAGAATCCCTGCTAGTTCGCCCCCGCAAGCTACTAAAAAATTGAGCTCTATCCTCAAAGTTCTCTGCTAGTTTGCCTCTAAGGAACCAGCTGCAGGGGCCCTAAGAATCTCTGCTAGCTCACCTGGAAAATTTTCAACAATCCCAAAAGATCGCTGCAAGATCGCCTAACAATTGGGTGCCCTATTTCCCTAAGAATCTCTGCTAGCTATCCCCGAAAAGCAAGAAAAAATGCGAATTTCCTAAAAAAACGCTGCTAGATTGCATAGAAGCAAGCTTTAAATTTCCCTAAAGGTTTCTAGCTCGCCCGTAGACACTAAAAACCAGCATCTCCGAATTCCGCAAGGGTCACTGCTAGCCTGCTCGCATAAAGAATATTAAAAAAGTCCCGACTTGCCCACAGTTTCCTCAATAATCTCAGCTAGCCTGCCCCGTTTCCTCAAGAATCTCCGCTAGATTGCCCTCAATTTCCTCAAAAATCTCCGCTAGCTTGCCCCCAATTTCATCAGAAAAATACCCGTTAGCCTGCCCCAGTTTCCCCAATAATCACTGCTAGCCTGCCAAAAAATCTCAAAAACTTAAAACTAAACTAAAAAAAACTAAACAAAACAAAACAAAACTAAACTAAACTTAAATCCAAAAAATACGAACCTTGAGCCAATACGTCGTCTGTAGCCCCTTGCCCTTCATCTCGACCTCGCCACGCAGGTCGAGCCGGAACTCGCTGGGGTCGAGCATGTTCTTCGCCTCGCTGGAGACGTGGATGCGGAGGGCTGGAAAAGAGGGGATATACATTAAAAAGCACAGGAATCCATTGTAGATGACCATTTTTTATGCTAAAAACTCACGAAAGCCGTTGCTCTCCATCCGGCTGGCGGTGTTGACCGTGTCGCCGAAGAGGCAGTAGCGCGGCATCTTCGAGCCGACCACACCCGCAACGACGGAACCTGGAAAAGAAGGGTAAGTGGGCCAGAGAGAGCGAGAGAGAGCGAGAAATAGAGAGCGAGCGAGAGAAAGAGAGAGAATGTGCGAGAGAGAGAGAGCGAGAGACAAAACTAGAGAGAGTCATAAAGTTTTCTGAAAAAACTAACCAGAATGCATCCCAATCCTCAACTTCAGCTGCTCGTTGGGCCGATGCCTGATGACGAAGTTCTTGACCTTGTGGAGGAGGGCGATGCTCATCTGGGCGATCTGCGACGCGTGATCATCGCGACGTTCGGGCAGCCCGGAGACGACCATGTACGCGTCGCCGATGGTTTCGACCTAAAACAAGAAAAATATTTTTAGGCCTCAGCAAGTCGTGCTCACCTTGTACACCTTGAAGTTGTCGACGACGCCGTCAAAGGCGAGGTAGAGGTCGTTGAGCAGGGTGACGACTTGCATGGGGGTGGACATGCTGGAGAGGCTGGTGAAGCCGACAATGTCCGAGAAGTAGATGGTCACGCTCTCGTACGTCTCGGCCTGGACGGCCCGGCCGCCGATCAGCTGAAACAAAGATTTTCGTCAAGTAAATAAAATCATAAATGGCCTCTGCTAGCAGCCCGGGCGCTAGCTTTCCTCAAAAGGTTTCTGCTAGTACCCCCATCATCAAAATTTTCTCAAACGCTCTCTGCTAGCTGCCCTGGAATTCGAAAGCCAGTAAAAATTGAAAAAATCCATCTACTATATTTTCCTAAATTATCTATACCTAAAAGTTTCTCCAATGATCCCTGCTAGCCTGCCCTCACTTTCTCACTTCCTCAAAGTTCTCTGCTAGCTAGCCCAGCCCTGAAATTCCCAAAGAATCTTTGCTAGCCTGCCACCAAAATCCTCTTTTTTTCCACAAAAATCTCTGCAATGCTGTCTTTTGCAAAGTTTCCTCAAAAATCCCTGCTAGCCCCTCGAAGCCAAAATTTCCCCAAAAATCTTTGCTAATTTGCCGTAATTTCCGAAAAAAACCTTATCCAAATTTAAAAAAAGAGAACGAACCTGATCAGCAACGGATGGGGGCAAGAGTTGGTGGAGCAGCTCCTCGACCTTCTTCTTCTCGGCGAGGTATTCTTGCGTCCGCTCCTCCACCAGCCCTTCCAGGTTGTTCGCGTACTGCTCCATCCGCTTCAGCAGGTTGTCGACCAGGTTCGAGGTCTCGTTTTCTCTAAAAAAAATCAAGTAAATAGTAAAAGATTTAAATTTTTATTTTCTTTTCGCAATTTTAACAAAAACTTGAAAAATACCTGTTTAAACTTCTGACGACCTTGCGGATCGTGGAAAAGTCGGGGCGATCGTGCGGGTTCTCCTGCCAGCACGTCATCATTAGGTCCATCAGCGTCGGCTCGTACGGCTCTTCGCCTGTAAAAGAAAAGTAGAAAGGTATTCTTAAAGTTAAGAATTAAATTTAGAGAAAATTCGGAGTTTCCAGCAAAATCTCTGCTAGCCTGCCTCATATTCCAAAATTATCACTGCTAGCATACCCTCAATTCTCCAATGGTCTTTGCTAGCATGCCAGCAATTTCTCTATATTCGCTGCGAGCCCAGCCAATAAATTCCCAAATAATCCCTGCTAGCCTGCCCACTCTAATTCCAAAGACTCTCTGCTAGCCTACCCCTGCTATTCCCAAATAATCGCTGCTAGCCTGCCCAGTTTCTCTAAAAATTTCCCACCTTCCAACGGCTCGGCGACGTACGGCCTGAAGACGTCCTCGTCAGTCATCGGCGGCTTCATCACCCGTTCGAGGATTTCTAAAGAAGAAAACAAAGTTTAATTAATTTTAATGTCCTACCAGATGGGGTCATCTCGACGTCTTCGCCAAGGTCAAAGACGCCCCGTCGCCACAGCATCTCGTGGAGGATGATGGCGAACGAGTAGACGTCTCCCTTTTGCGTGCCACCCACCGGGCGACTGTTGCCGACGCGAAGCAGTTCGGGGGATGTCCAGAGTTTTTCTGAAAAAAAAACGGAATTTAGAGACGTTGAAAACGCTAATGTTTTAGTTAAAGACAAGCCGGTAGAGATCTCTTGGGAATAAAGGAGCAAGCTAGCGGGGATCATTTGCCAATAGGGCAAGCTAGCCAAGATCATTTAAGACTTTTCGAATCAAAATAAAACCCACTCTTCGCGAGGGCGTGCTCGCCGAGGTCTGGAGGGTCATCTTCGAGCGCGTGCAGCTTGTGCAGCCCAAAGTCGGTCACCTGAAATAATAAAATAAGATTATTAAAATCTTGCGTAAATTTCACATTTAAAAAATTAAAAAACGATCGATACCTTGAGGACAAATCTGCTGTCGACGACGCAGTTGGTGGATTTCAAGCGGCCGTGTGTGCGCAGCTCGGAGTTGTGCAGGAAGTACATGCCCTGGAAAATGAAAAATCAGTAATATTAAATACTGTAATACAGCCGGTCGCCGAATTTTATTTTTCCTAAAAGATCTCTGCTAGCCTGCCTTTCTGAAGCCGAATTGAAATTTCCTCAAAAACCTCTGCTAGCCTGTTAAATTACTAAAAATATGTCTAAACTGCAAATAACTGCATTTTAGGCTCCCAAATAATCTCTGCTAGCCTGCCCGGATTCCCAAATTTCCCCCGCTAGCCAGCCCTCCCCAAAAATCTCTGCCAGCTGACCTTGACGAGATCGTGGAGCAGCGAGTACTTCATCATCTTGTCGAGTTCGATCTTCTCATTCTCGAGGATATCTTCGAGGGATCCCTTCGGGCAGTATTCCGTCACGATACAGTAGTGAGGACAGTCGACACATGCACCCGTAAACCGCGTGATGTGATCGTGCTGAAAAAATTATTCTGATTGGTCATCTACAGCTTCGAATTTCAAATCTATAAAATTTCCTTACGCGGTCACTTAGAAAAAATGCGTAGAAAAAGATCAACTACAGCCTCCTGGCACGGTCCCTTTAAAACAGCAGAAAAGATCATCTACAGCATTGACGGCTCAAATTAAAAATCAACATTTTCGATGTTCTTAGCTTTAAATTTGTACACTAAATTCAATCCCAGAAGTGCGAGGGAAAACGCAAAAATTGATCATCTACAGCTTGGAATTTTACACCAAACCCGACAGAATTTTCGTCAAAGAATCTCCGCTAGCTTGCCCGTTTTAACAAAGCGCTTAAAAAATAAAAATTGCACACCTGCAGATCTTTCATCTTCTTGAACTCGAGCAGCATGGCCCTGTTGATGTCCAACTTGGGGAACTTCTTGGTGTCGATGGAGAGGGGCTTGATGGCCACCATGGCCCCCTTGTAGACGGCCGTCTTCGTGTAGATTTGCGCGTTGTTCTGCATTTGGATCGTCTCCACCGAGCCACCGCTCTGAAAATGGCATGGTTTTTTGGACTCGGAATTTTGCAAAAATCATTGCTAGCCTGCCCTTAGTTTGGAAACGGTTTCCACAAAGTTCTCTGCTAGTTTTCCGATTGACAAAAAATTCCACCAAGCTCTCTGCTAGTTTTCCCGGTATGAAAAAAATAGGTTTCCCCCAAGGATCACCGCTAGTTTGCCTAGTTTCGGAAAACCTAATTTCCTCAAATATCACTGCTCGTTTGCCCGTCCACTAAAAATTTCCGGTTTTCCGCAAAGAGCCCTGCTGGCTTGCCTTTTTTGGGGAATCCTATTTCCTCAAAGGTCCCTGCTAGCTGGCTTGCTTAGAAAAGCCCAGTTCCCCAAACGGTCATAGCTAGCTTGCCTTCGACTCCAACAAAGCAAATTTCCCCAAAGATCCCTGCTAGCTTGCCTGCTATAAAAACCCCGAATTTCCACAAAAATTACTGGTAGATTGCCTTCGGCCTCCGCAAAACCGATTCCACAAAGTTCTCTGCTCGTTTACCACCGTCCCAAAAAACCAACCTTAAACGACAGCCCGCCAAAGGACAGCTTCCGCCCTCGCAGACTGACCGAGCCCTTCTTATTCGAGATCGACTCCTCGTTGCTGTTCTTCTTGCGGTAGTCGGAATTCGACGACACCGGCGAGGACACCTGAAAAAAATTAATAACTTCGAAAATTTCAAATTCTATGCCTTGTGCGCCACCACGAAACTATATAAAAACTTAAACTTAAAAGCAACTAGACTTTAAAACGGCAAAATAAAATCGTGGAATTTTTAAAAATCTAAACCTTTAAAAAGTCAAATAAACTACGAAAATTCGTCATATCGAATAAACTACGGTAATAGTAAAATTTAGATCTAAAATTGCATAAAAAATACCATTAAATTACATATAACAATTAAACTAAGGTGTTCCTTTAAATTTGTAAATTTAAACTTTGCTAAAAAAAAAAATTTCAACTGATTAGGCTATGTTATTCAACGGAATACCAGCTACAGTATGCATTTTCAGAGAAAAATCGATTTAGGAAAAAGGACAGAATTGTTTCGAGTTTTTACTACAAAAATACAGTTTTTGAGTCGATTACGGTAAACGAGCTACCGTAATCCCCAGTTTTCGTTAGTACGGAATTACGCGGAATTTTTGGTGGGTACTGTAGGCGTGTAAAGGAGTAAAAGGTGCAGTAGGAAAAATGGTGCAAACGGTGAGAAATTGGGCCCAAAGATTCGTGTTTTCTAAAGGGTGCCCTAGGCGGACCGAAGTACCGTACCCTGCGGTCGTTGAAGCGGACTTCTTGGTGATTGTTGAGGGGCGACGTCTCGCCATCCTGAAAGAAGCCGGGTGAGGAATGGTTTTTGGGTTATTTTAAGCGGACAACGGCAACCAGAAAAATCCCCATGCTACGGTAGGCAGGCGGGGCGGGCTAGCGGGGGAAATTTGGGGAAATAGAGGGGCGGCTACAAGGGGAAATTTGCGGAAAACCAGGTAGGCTAGCGGGGAAATTTAGGGAAAACGGGTTGGGCAAGCAGCCTAATTAGAGAAATTTAGGTAATAGGGGGCGGGATTTAGTAGAAAAATTGAGGAATTTTTATTAGGCTAGAATTCGAAATTTTTTTAATACCGGGCAAGCTAGCAGGGAAGATTTGGAGAAAACAGGCAAGCTAGCAGGGGAATCTTGAGGAATAGGACTAGCAGAGGCAATTTGTGGAAAACGGGCCAGCTAGCAGAGAATTTTGTAGCACGAGGCAGGCTAGCAGAGATCTTTGGGGAGGTGGGGCAGGATAGCAGGGTAAATTTGCGGAATAGCGCGTAAGGCAAGCGGAGAAATTCAGGGAAATGGCGCGGCTAGCAGGGCAATTTGCGGAAAATGTGTAGCCTAGCAGACCAAATTTATGGCAAATCGGGCAGGCTAGCAGGGCAAATTCGGTCTAATCAGAGAAATAAGTTATTCCGGGTTAAACGACAAGAGGTTAGCTGAAGCGAAGCGAGCGGATAGCCCAAGGATGGGGAGAGGAGAAGCCAAGACAAAGCGGAAAGAGTCTCGATAGAGTGATGGGGTGCTTACACTGTCTACCTCCTTGAGCGAGTGAATCGTGTTCGTGTGGCCACCCAGGATACCCGGCCGGTCGAGCGACGTCGAGAAGGCGTTCGCCTGAAAAAAAGCGGAATTAATTAGAATTGCGGTTCGAAAAAGACCAGGACCAAAGCTTCCAAAAATCGCTGCTAGCCTGCCATTTCCTAAAGAATCTCTGCTAGCCTGCCCTTTCCTAAAGAATCTCTGCTAGCCTGCCCTTTCCTAAAGAATCTCTGCTAGCCTGCCCTTTCCTAAAGCATCTCTGCTAGCCTGCCCTTTCCTCAAGAATCTCTGCTAGCCTGCCCTTTCCTAAAGAATCTCTGCTAGCCTGCCCCTTCCTAAAGAATCTCTGCTAGCCTGCCCCTTCCTAAAGAATCTCTGCTAGCCTGCCCTTTCCTAAAGAATCTCTGCTAGCCTGCCCCTTCCTAAAGAATCTCTGCTAGCCTGCCCTTGCTTAAAGAATATCTGCTAGCCAGCCCTTTCCTAAAGAATCTCTGCTAGCCTGCCCTTTCCTAAAGCATCTCTGCTAGCCTGCCCCTTCCTCAAGAATCCCTGTTAGCCTGCCCTTTTCTAAAAAAATCTCTGCTAGCATGCCCTTTCCTTGAGAATCTCTGCTAGCTTTCCCTCCTGAACGGTTTTTTTCACGAATCTCTGCCAGTTTCCCCAATGTTCTCTGCTAGCCAGCCATTCAAAACGATTTCCAAGTATTTTTAAAAAGCAAAAACCAAACACCACCTTACAAACAAATCAAAAAGCACATTTTTTACAATTACATTAAAGCAGTAGGTTTAGCGCCCGCAGGAACGTAATTAGCATATTATTTGAGCTTACAAAAATTCCTCAAAAAAAAAACCCTTACGCTACAGTATAGCTACAAAATGCGCTTACAAAGCGTATAAGTCGATGCGGGATCTCGCAGGCCTTAAGGAGAAATATACTTCATGAATTTACTTAATTCCCGTCAAAGTTGGTACTGGGCTCTTAGCGGGGGTCCCCTTTTTTCAACTTTTTGATGAGATTTTGGCTAAATAAAAACTGCATAAAAAGCTTTAAAGATATTCTAAATTTCGTTATAGGGCATTAGCGGTTTACTGAAAAAAAAGGGAAAATTCTCCACCCCCGTTAATAACGCAGTACCTTATAAAAAATTATGTATGCAAATTATAGCCAGAAAACGTACGCCAGGTCCGCCGTTCTTCTCGGCGTTCGGCGACGACTTTTTCCGGGTGAAGATGGAGAACTTTCGGTCGATCATCGCCGAAATTTTGCGCGTGGCCCCGGAGCTCGAGCTTCGCTGAAAAATTGGAATTTAATTTGATTTTAAACACTGAATCGGGAACTCCCAAAAATGCGCTTCACGATTCTGCACAAAAGCTGTTTAAAATAGCATTAAAAACCCTTTTATATGCAATTTTAAGTAAATTTTTCTAAAAAAATCATATCACTTTCTAAAAAACGAATGATGATCAGGTGCTTATTTAAGTTACAGTATCGTTTTTCTGCTTTTTAAGAGTTTTTTTAATATGATTTTAGCTGTAAATGTTGAATTAAATTAAGAAAATAAAAATGAAAATTCCATACAAAATTTAGAATCGCGTTTTAATGGTTCTAAAAGCTATTTCAAAAATATTTAATTAGCTAGGAACTCTCGTCAAATTCTAAAATAATAATTTTTTCTCGTTTTACGAATTACATTATTTATTTTATTCAAATTAAAAGAATTTTTTGTATCTCGATACCTAAAAATCCGTAAAATTCATTTAAAATACCTAAACTACCGTGACCTAAATCTTGCGCATTTTCCGGATTCCCAATTTTAGTCGACGATGAGGAAGGAAGGAGCACGATACGCACGAGATCGAGTGTGCAAATCAATGCGGTGGGTGAGTGGGTGTGGCAGTGGGGGCATACTAGCAGAGGTTCTTTGAGCGGGTGAGTTGAAGAGAAAAATAGGGGAAACGATTACGGTAGGAGTCGTGAGGGGTACTGTACGGTACTGTAGGTTTACGGTATTGGCTCCGTGCCAAAAAAAGGAAATTTCGCAAGCAAACTGAAGAAGAGAAATGAGGAGCAGGGGAAAAGACATTCACACATGCACTGGGCATTTTTAAAGTATATTTTTATGCAGAAAATTAAGCTATAAATTTTTTTCAAATTTGTGAAATTTGCCTAAATTTAAACCTTTCTCCTTAAACTTACACTAAAAAAAATCAAAAATTACGAAGAAAAAAAAATCGTAATTTTACTATTTTACAAAAATCGTTCCATTATAGCTGATAAACGATTTTCACATTCTTTAAATGATTTTAAGCCAAATTCTACTATGCAAATTCAACTGCAACTATAAAAAAAATACGAATTAGCCAATTACCGTAATTTTAATATCTAAAATCATTTTAATTACATTTTTCAGGGCATTTTTAACTTTTGTAAGCAATTTAAGCAATTTCGCTATGCAAAAAATAGTTCGAACTAAAAAAACCGTCGTAATTTCTATACTAATAAAAAAAAACCAATTAAAATTTATAGACCATTTTTAACTTTTTTTAAAACACTTTTAAGCCAAATTTCCTTATGCAAATCCAACTGCAAACTACAAAAAATTCCACACTGCAATCCCATTCCGTTCCATTGCATTCCGTTGCACACTACATGCCGCTGTAGCCAACTATCAAAATTATAAGCTACAAAACCAGGGGAAGGAGACGGGTCAGGTATATGCAAATTTTCATCTAAACTACGAAACTGTGCCGAAAACTAGAGTATATGATATGCAAATTGCGTGGCGAAAGTAGGGAGAAGTGGCACACGCAAAAACTAGTAGAGAAAAAACGGGCAAGAAAATCAATCGAAAGCCAGCTCGCGCCCCTATCGAAACATACCAGGCGCATTCGCACAAGCCCAATCGCGTCCTCGTCGAACTGAAAAATCGGGAACCCCTAATTTGCATAAAATTTCGGAAAAGGGGGAAGGTAGCTGATTAGGTTTTTAAAGGGACCGGCAAGCCATGGCTATGGATTCGCTAGGAATTTTGTTGCACACGCGCCGCTTTGGTGCGAGAAAAGCGCGTAATCGATTACGCAATGTAAGAGCGGACACCTGCGTTTCGTGACTGCGATAAATCCATAGAAATCTATGTAAAAAATCCATATCCATAACTTGCGCGGCCCTTTAAAGGGGCTGAGAAGCGACAGAATTAACCCTAAATTCAAAGTCTATACCCAGCCGCGCGAGGGGGTCGATTCTCGCACGCTTTCCAGCCCCCTTAAAGCCTCGCAACTGGGGATGGAATGACACTCGATTAAATGAAAGTTGGAGTATAAATCGATCAATTCTCCCCCGAAAATTTTCCCAATTAATTACCAATCATATGCTACAGACAGTTATTTATAAAAAAAAAAACAGAAAATCAAATTGAAATTAATAATTAAAAATACGCTATTCCAAAAACAAATAGACAGCAACTACCGTAACTCTCAAAAGCTATTGAAAAACCTGGCAGAAATTTTTGACAGAAACTAATCGACAGTAGTAGTGTGCAACCCATGCAATTGTGGAAATTCGGGAATTAAAAATATCGTAGCTAGGAGTTACCGTATCCAAAAAACAGTATTTTTGTAAACGAAAAACAACGAAAATTTTTTGATTTTCACGTTGCGTTATCCCAAAAAAATAGCTTTTAAAGCCTATCGTATTAAAACAAACCTATTTTAAATGTATTGAGTGTGCTAATTGAGAATTTTTAAAAATACTGAAAACCTTACTTTGAAGTTTTAGAAAATAAACCCTATTAAAATCAACCAGGACAACACAGAGAGCGCAAAACGTAAAAGAAATAATAAAAAGTGGGACGACCAGACGCACGAAAATTGTTATAAAAACTAAATTTAAAATTTAAAATTAAATTTAAAAACACTATTTAGGGGTTTGTACGCAGCGGGTTAAAAAAGGAGGACGATACACCATGGCGCGCGCCGCTATTTAGCCAAAATAAAATCGGCCCGACAAAAAAAATTAGGGGAAGGGGAAAGATGCAAAGAAAAATGGAAATAAATCAATAAAGGGGTGGTACGGCGACGCGGCACTACTATATCAACGGCCCGAATGGAAATATGCAAATTTTTGCCGGCGGGGGCGCATTGCCTTACCGAGACGACGGCCGTCGAGACGGTTGGAGAGGCGGATTTTCGATTTTTCTAGGCGGATTTTGAGAAACGGTATAAAAAGAGGGTTACTATAAAAATCGTCTAAAAATCTAGAACTGGAAAAAACTGGGTATTTTTGTATTCCATCCATTTTCTAGGTGGATTGTGAGGGACGATAAAAAAAGATTTCTATAAAAATGCTTGAAAATCTAGGCCTACAACTGTTATAATACGTTAGAAGAATCAACATTGGGACCGAAATCTATTAGGTTGGAAAAAATTTTGGGGAATTGGAATTTTTAAATTTTTTTTTTTTATATTTGTGTGGTTTGTTTGTTTTTTTTTTTTTTTTTTTTTTTTTTTTGGTTTTTGGGTTTTGGGGGAAAAAAATTTTGTTTTTTTTTTTGGGTTTTTTTTATAATTTTTTTTTTGTTTTGGGGGTGTTTCAAAATTTTGGCCCGAAATTTTTTGAAGCCCCAAAAAAAAAAAAAGGGAAAAGGATAACAATATAAAAAAAAAAATATAAATTATTAGTTGTGTTTTGGGAAGGGGGAAAAAATTGGGTTTTTAATTTTGGGGGGGGGGGGGGGGAGGATTTTTTTTTTTTTTTTTCTTTATTAAAAAAAAATAAAAAATGTGAGAGAGGGGTTTTTTTTCCAAAAAAAAAAAGGGAAGTTAGAAGAAAGGAAGGTTGAAAAAAAAAATTTTTTTTTTTTTCGTTTTTTTTTGGGGGGGAAAAAAAAAAGAAAAAAAAAGAGGGGGGGGGGTTTTAATAAAATATGTACAGAAAAATCCTACGATTTTTCTGACGAAAAAGCGAGCCGAAATTTGATCGAAAACCTTCTAAAAACGTCAAGATGAAAAAAAAATGGATCCAAAACTATTAAAACATGAATTAATCTGAAATACCCTTTGACAAATGAGAGAAATTACCTTACAACGACCGATATTTTAAGTCAATAAAATCAAAATCAAATTTTGCACCTTAAAAAATGAAGTACATAACTTAAATAATTTTAAATACCGTTAAAATCGAGCTTAAAATGAACGCTTTTTTATTCCCCTATTTTATTATTTTATAATAATTAATATAATTAATAATAATTTTATAATATTTATTCCCCCTTAATAAATTCCCAATTCCCTTAATTTAACAGATAGTTAAAATATTAATTTTAGACATTTAGAAACATTTAGTGAGATCAGGGGTGAATTTGAACAGGGGAAGGGAGAGCGGTTTTGTGAGTAGTGAACGAGAGGTTTTAAGAGATTTTAAGAAATTAATTTTCACAGGAGGGCATAGAGGAATTTAGTGGTTTATAGGAATTAGATTCCAACGTGGAAAAGCTCTAAAAAATACCTTGTCGGAGTTGAGGCTGCCGCGGCTCGACGACCGCAGCAAGGCTTCGCCCTCGTAGTCGTAATTGTTGTGTTTTCGTTTCCGCTTTTTCTTCTCCTTTTTTGTGCTCTCCTCGCCGTCGAGTTCCTGCAAAAAAACAGAATTAAAAGGTTCTGTATGTAAAGAATCGCTGCTAGCCGGTCCCGCAGCTTCTCAAAGCACCGCTGCTACATCGCCAACGCCTCAAAAAAATCACATACCTCCCATCGAATCTTCCAGCTCATCGCCGCCAACTCCTGCTCGAGCCGGTAGCGTCTGAAAATGGAAATTTAAGGGTTTGAAGTAAAATCTTTATCTCTCTCTCTCTCTCTCTCTCGCTCTCTCTCGCGGTAAAAAGCGCTCTCTCACCTGTAGAAACAGCCGAACACCAAAAACATGACGAGGATGAAGACGCCGGCGGCAACGAGTAGATACACGTGCAGGGGGTAGCCCTGAAAGACCAACAATTTTATCTACGATCTCAAACTACAAACAATACCTTTGGACATTTGCTCTTGTCATATCCGCAGATTGGCTGGTCCTTGGGTGGCTTGCCGCCGATCCAGTGCAACGGGCCGACCGACTCGAGCTTGTTCGCCGCCCCGGAGTAGTAGGCGACTTCCTGAAAATGAAAAATTATATCGACAGCATACCGACAAATTTTAAAATTCATTAAAAAAAGTTCTACATACATTTTAATAGCACAACCAAAAACTCCGTTTTCGCCTCCGAATTTCCTGATATAAATTACGTTCAAAATTTCATATAAACTAGCTTTTAGTGCATAGAATTTGCCTTAAAATTCAATAAATAAAAACTAAGATTAAATCAAGCAAAACGTACGACAAATCGATCCTTATCGGGGTCGAGGTCGAAGAGTGAGTAGTCCGAGTACCGGTCGCCGTTCTTGTCGATCGACACGTTGCCGGTGATGCCTGAAAAAGTTAGATAAACTCTGCATCATGAAATCATGACCATATAGTGAAAATACTGACAACCAACATCCACAAAATGCCGACAACCGAAAGCGCTACGGCGCTAAAATATACGCAATAACGTTACTTTGTTTGCAAACAATTTTTTTGGCTTTTTTGGCTGTCGGCATTTTTTATAGCGGAATTCCGCATCGGCCTTTAGTGGGATTCGAAAAGTTTCACTTTAGGTTAAAAATGCCGACATCAGCAACGCTAATTTTTTGGAAATCGAAAAAATCGTAATTTAGCGATTTGGATGTCGGCATTTTACCGTCGGTATTGTCGCAGTATCGCAGTACTTACCGGCAAAAGTGCGGCCCCACATCTTGCTGGTGATGTTGTGCCCGTTGCGCGGGTCCAGTCCCTCCTTCAGCGTCTCGTTGAGCGCGATCGCGTACAGCAGCACCGCGTCGTAGAACGCCGAGATGAAGTTGTTCATCTGGAAATGGGTGATTTAACGGGGTTATTGATGTTTAACCTCTGCAAAAAGGGAACAAAAAGCAAATTTTGAGATCAAAATGACAAAAATAACACTCTTTTCGCCCTAGACAAGAGTTTAAAACAAAGTTTTCTATACAAAAAGCTCTATTAAACGAAAAACTCGATTTCAAGACCCAAAAACACACCTCGTACTCCTTGTGCATCTTCTCCTTGTAGTGGTACTTCTTGTTGGCCCGTTCGACGACCCGTTTCTCGAACTCCTTGTACTCCTGCTGGTCGCTGCGCCGCAGGGAGATGGTTTTCAGGGCCTAAAAAGGTTAGATATTAATAGGAAAATTTTAAAAGGCCTGGAACAGACAAATAAAGAAAATGCCACTTACTTTATAAGCCTCCTTGGCCTTGAGGTTCTCGGGGCTCTTCCGGTCGGTGTCGTTGGTGCGCAGCCATGGCTGTTCGGCGTGGGAGCTGAAAGGAAACGGATTAACAAAAGCCGAAACATTTTGCTTAGGCCGCCATTTTTCAAATATAAATAGTGGAAGTGTTTCTAAATGGTTTTTCACCATTCCCAAACGTGAACCCGTAACGAATTTTTATTAAAAAAATACAAAAAACATCGATTTTTCGACCAAAAAAGGCTGGTTTTTGACAAAAATGTGCTTTTTCAACATGTTGACCGTTTTTAGATATTTTTCTAGTTGAAATATGTTTATATATTGCGATAAACACTATTAACACACTTTCTATTAACCTACTAGGCATTTCTAGACTTATACAAAAAATAATAGTCAATCATTTAAAGGGGTTTTATCCATTTTAAAACCTCTTAAATATGTTAGAAAAATTGACTAAAACGGTGATATTTTTCATTAATGAAATTAATAATATTTATTAGTCGAAAAAATACCCTGTGGAGACGTCAATGTTGATGAAGACGTAGTCGCCCGAAGTGGCCATGCCGAGGTCGTGGGCGGCGAGCATGATCTCGCGTACAGTTTCCGGCGAAGCGCATAGGATGATGACTGAAAAAATGGAATATAATTTTTTTAAATCACTAATTTATATTTTCAATCTCTATAATTTCTTTTCCACTTTCCACACGCTCTAAACTACACTTCTTTTGGTCCAAAACTTCCCAAAAAGCGGCAAAACCCCCTAGAATTCCCGGGTTTTTCTAGTTTCCACCAATTTTGCAGGGTTCCCCTGTTTGCCCACGGTTTCCGGTCAAAAGCCTGGGGCCCATTTTGAGTGCGGGCCCTTTTTCAGGTCTTTTCAGGGCCCATTGCATGTTGCACGAAATCCAAACACTGCTCGCTCGGCCGGCCTTCTAAAACTCGAGGCAAAGAATCTCCGCAAGCTTGCCCTGGCCCTCAAAAGGGTTTGAAGCCTGTCAAAAATCTCTGCTAGCTTGCCAAACGCCCTAAATTCTCGAAATCCCCCCTGAAGTCCACGTTAGCTTTCCTCAAGAATCTCCGCTAGTTCGCCTTAAACCCCGAAAAGCTCGGACTTTTCAAAGAACTCTGCTAGTTCGCCAATCTGCTGAAGGAGAGAGAAACCCCGGTTTTTTTTCGAAAACGCCGTCGGCTCATCCGGCAACTTCCGGTGTTTTTTCGGGGCATGGTCTTGGACCAAGACTCCTGGTGCAGAATTTGGAATGTGAAGAGCAGTGATGTGCCTCTTCCTCGGCTTCTAGACAAGAAGAAGCCGAGGAAAAAAACGACGCCAATAAATAATCCAGCAAAGACCCTCTAGCCGACCCCGGCTTCTGCATCGCCCCGTCAAGAACATAGAGATAGTGATGGTGTGAACGGGGTGCTCCTAGTTTTTAATGCTTTAAAGGTACCAGGAAGGCAAAATAGCTTCAAAAGATGTGAAGTCAGTCCATTTTTTTTGTTATCATGCCCCTAAAATTTCTCGTGCTCCTTTCAGTCCCGAATTTTGCATTTTGGCGCGTCTCCAAAAAACCAGGGTGGCGCTCGCCGGGGTGAATCGGATTTGCACGCGATTTGCAGCAAGGAGAGAGAGGGGGTCGGCTTTTAGCTTTTAGCTATGCGCCCCCTGGGGTTGAGTTGTGCTTTAGAAAAGAGGATAGAGGAGACGAGAGCGTCATCTGGAGTGCAGTGTAGCCTGAGCGTCGTTCTCTCTCACTCTCTCTCTGTCTCTCTCTCTCTCTCTATCTCTCTATCTCTCTATCTCTCTCTTCAAATTCGGAACTATTGTAATATTTTTAGAGGCCATTAAAGATATTTTCATTACCCCCAAAACAACAATAAATGCCGTGTGTTACAAGGCGGACCCGCGTGGAGACACGCTTCACTAAAAATTGCCCGTTCGCCCGTGGTTCCGCCGGAATTTTTGTGGCATTTTTGGCGAGAGACCAGCGAGAGGCTTGAGGCGAAAAGTTGCCATTTTGGCTCAAAAAATGTAAAAAAATCAAGGTTGGACCCTTTTCGAGCCCTTGGCAAGCTAGCAAAGATCCTTTGGGAACCGCTGAAAACCCCAAAGGGCGGGCTAGCGGAGATTATTTGAGAATTTACCGGAATGGATAAAGCAAGGCAAGCTAGCAAAGAGTCTTGAGCAATCAGGGCAAGCTAGCCGAGATTATTTAGGAAATTCTGGGAGCTAACAACGCGCGGGGGAGCTAGCAAAGATTCTTTCGGAAGCGTCGGGCAGGCTAGCAGAGATTTTTGAGGAATCCACTGAATTTTTGCCACTTTAACCTTCCTTTAAACTCCTCCACTGACTTTGAAAAAGCCCCCGGGTGCAGGTTTTCGGGCAGTTTTGTCTCTCGCTAACTCCCCCCGTGCCGTTGGTGGCCGTCAGGGTGGATGGAATGTAATCCATTTTCGGGGCGCCCCCCTTCGGGCTCCCCGAGTGCTTCGAGGGAGAGGGAGCACGAGAAAGCGAGAGAACGCGAGATGGAGAGACGGCGAGAGATAGCAAGACCCGAAAAGAAGTTCTATTAGCCCCCGGAGGGGGAGAAGGGCCCCTTCTACAACCCTTTTTGTCGAAAAATGGCTCAAGCTGCCCTGCCGGCATTTTTGGGGGGTGCAAAAGGGAGTGGAGCATGTCGAATATTTTGAGGTTTTTTGAGGCAGAGAGAGAGAGAGAGAGAGCGAGAGCGCGAGAGAGCAGCGAGAGAAAGATAGCGTGGGAATTCCTGAATGTTCTCGGCTAGTTGACCCCAAAAAAACTTGAAAATCCCAAAAAAGCTCTGCTAGTTTGCCTAGAAAATCTTGAAAAGTCTATCAGCTGAAAGCTATTAGCTAATCGAGCGGCAAATTCTTAAAAAATCTCTGCTAGCTTGCTCTAAAAAAATCCAGCAATTCTCAAAGGATTTCTGCTAGTTTGCCACGACCTTTTCAACTCGCAGAGTTTCCCAAAGAATCTCTGCTACAGTGTGTGTCAAAACGATAGAGCCACTTCTTTGAACGCTATTATCTCGGCTCTCGTTGAGTTTGACGCCAAGCTAACTAGCAGGTCTTATAGCGCTCGAAAAGGCGAATTTTTCTATCTACTTGAATTTTTTCAAAAATAGAGCACGCGATTTTTATAAGGCAAAGAACAAATAGAGCCAAAAAACCGAAGTGTCAAAACGATAGAGCCACACTTTACATATCATTAGCATCAGGTTTCAGCTTGCAAATTACATTCTAATGAACATTCAAAGTAGCTTTCCATTTCTGGCTTCCGGATTTTTCAGGGTGATGTCAATCTGCATAGATTTGAACTTCGTATTAGCAATTAGCATGTAATTTGCAAGCTGAAACCTGATGCTAATGATATGTAAAGTGTGGCTCTATCGTTTTGACACTTCGGTTTTTTGGCTCTATTTGTTCTTTGCCTTATAAAAATCGCGTGCTCTATTTTTGAAAAAATTCAAGTAGATAGAAAAATGCGCCTTTTCGAGCGCTATAAGACCTGCTAGTTAGCTTGGCGTCAAACTCAACGAGGGCCGAGATAATAGCGTTCAAATAGATGGCTCTATAGTTTTGACACACACTGTAGCTCGCCGGCTCTCAAAAACAAAATTTTGAAATTTCCCAAAGGATCTCCGCTAGCCTCCCGGCTACCGTAGGCCGATTTTCTTTACGTTCGCTAAAAATTCCAATAAATTTTATGCGACCGGCTGGTTGACTTCAAAGCCCCGTTTCTTGGGTAAAGAAGAAGAAGAAACTTTTCCCGTTCTGCATGCCATCCCATAAATTCCTCAAAAGTTGCCCAACGCACCCCAAAAAATGGGCCCCAGGGGCCCTGCCCAGCCGAAAATTTTGCGGGGGTTTTGGTGGGTTTATTTTCAGGGGTTCTGCTTGAAAGGGGTGAAAAACAGAGAGCCGGATTGATGGATTTTGTTGCGAGGAGGGCAGGGTTGTGCACGGACGGGCTCGGACGGACGCGGGCCCGGACCCGTCCGCGTCCGAATAATTTGCTCCGGGAGAGCGGACGGGCTGGGACGGGTCCGGGACGGGCCGGACGGGCTCGGACGCAGGAAGTAGCTGAGCCCGCTATGCAAAGCGTGGGTAGCCAAAACTTGCATGATAATTGATGAAATGACAGTTTTTCGCGTTCATTCCGAAGTAAAGCAGTTATGTAAATTAAGGAAAGGCAACAATCGAGCTAAGATGTTAATTTGCTTGCAATGATTTTGCATGTGCTTCCGGTCATTTGCATTGCGGACGCGCGGACGCCCCAGCCCGCACTGCGTCCGTCCGGCCCGTCCGGGACCCGTCCCAGCCCGTCCGCATTTTTTTATGCAAATTGCGCGGACGGGACGGGTCCGCGTCCCGGACCGGACGGACGCGGACCGGACCCAAAATGAACAACCCTGGAGGAGGGTAAAGATTTTTGGAGCTGTAAAGGGACTGGGAAGTCCAATTCCTGCGGGTACTGTAGTCGAAAAACTATGAAAAAGTTCCCAAAGTTCCCTTTAAAGGTCCCCACAAGCCAAGAATTCCCTAAATTCCACTGCTCACACGCAAAAAAAGGAAAAAGTTCCTGTCGCCATCCCTTTAAAATCAATTTTAAAAGCTCCAGAAAGGAGAGTGTTTCTCAAATGTCCTCTGCTAGCTCCGAAAATTTTCTAAAGGCACCAGCAAGCCGAAAATCCGCAAATTAGAATCTGCTAGCTTTCAGAAGTTTTCCTGCTGTCCCTACCCCTTTAAAGTCGATTTTAACGGCATCAGGAAGTCACGGTTTCCTCAAAATTCTCTGCTAGGCCCCGAACGTCCATTTCCAGCTGCCTTAAAGGTCCCAGCAAGTCATAAATCCACAAATTACCTCCCTAGCTCAAAAACAAACGTTTTGACTGCCTTTTAAAAGCTGCAGCAACCCGAAAAGTCCTCAATTTTCTCTGCTAGCTGCCTCCGAATAGTTTTATTCCATTTTTGAGGCCCAAATCCTACAAATTCCCCAAGTTCCTCTGCTAGACACCAAGAAAACAAGAAAAACGTCGACGTCCCCAATTTCTTCTGCTAGCCCCCCCCGCCAAGAAAACTCAACAGCGTTTTCGGGTTGCGGCAAACCCCCTTGAGGGGTGTGGGCCAATTTCCGCGAGCCTAGAGGCCTAGAGGCAGTGGCTTCTTCTTTTTTTCTTCTTCCTACCCGTCGAGCCGGGCGCATAACATTTTTATGGCTTTCCTTGGGGCTCTGCATCACTGGGGTCTCTCTCTTTTTGGGTGATCTCTAGCCCGGGGGGTCCCCGAAAATACGTCAAAACAGGAGGGGGGAGCTTCAGTGGCCCTAGGGGGGAGGATTTCGACAGATTGGATGTATGCGAATGTCCTCGGCTAATTTAATTGGGTATTTTTAAGGCGGGTTTGGCGGGGATTTATGCTAATTTCTACGGATTTTCAGCTATTTTAAGGAGAGCGAGAGCGCGAGAGAGATAGAGAGATAGAGAGAGAGGGACAGAGAGATAAACAGAACGACACACGCAGAAACCAAGTTTTAAGATCCAGCGGAGAAAACATAATTCGAATTTTTCGACTTTTGAACCCAATTTGCATCTTCTTTTTTTTTCCAGCACCCGGCCCCCGAAAATCGGCGCTAACCAACTTGGGCCCTTGGCCCTTTGGCCGCACCGGGCGGTCAGAATAATTCATTTCTCCCTTCCCAGTTCTCTCGCGGTAATCGACTGGGCCCTAACATCGGTCCGGTGGGCCCTAAGGGGGTAGATTTACGAGGAAGTACGCGAGAACACTACATGGTAGCGGAGGCAGGCTGGCAGAGTTTACTTGGGAAAGATATCGAAAGGTAAGCTAGCAGAGATCACTGAGGAATCAAAAGACAGGCTAGCAGAAATCACGTAGGAACGAAAGGGCATGCTAGCAGTGTTTCTTTGAGCCCAACCTGTCCTTTGCGTATTTTTGAATATTTAGCACTTTTACTAGAGCTCAAAAACCTATCTCCAAACTTCACAATCCCTTTAAAACCCCCGCATTCCCACGCTCACCCCGGAATTTGTTTATAATTCCTGGAATTCAGCGGCGCCCGCCGAAATTCCGGATCTCCCCCTCGCCGACAAAAGCCAGTGAAATGGAAAAGTGTAGCGAGAGAGAGAGAGAGAGAGAGAGAGAGAGAGCGGCAGAGAAATAAAGAGCAATTGAAAAAGTCCAACCGCCCGCCCGCCCGCCCGGCCGGTGGTCACCTAAACAAAATGGCGGGGGATTGGAATTTTTAATTGATTTTCCGGGTGCCGGCGCGCAAAATGGCATCACCCCATTTTTTCCGGGGGGAATCCGGGCGTGTGCGGCCAAGGGAACGTCCGGAGGGGAGTGTTGCGTAGCTATGAACACCCAAGAAATTGAGGGTGGAATTAGTGAAATGGCCGAGGGACAACAAGTACGCATAGGAAAAGGAGGGTGTAAAGTGTATTTCTTCCTGTCCAGCTCCCTTGAAACCAATTCCCCCCAGGTCATTTGCTAGTCTGCCCAAAAAAAGATAGGTAGTACCCAACTTTCCCGGGCATACATCACAGCCGGGGGTATTTTTTTTACACACAAACGTGTGCGCGGGGCCATTTTTCCGCGTGCCGATCTAAGATCTGACGAAAGGGGGTGGGCAGGCAAGTTAATTAACCAGGTGGAGTAGAGAGAGAGAGAGAGAGAGAGAGAGAGAGAGAGAGAGAGCGACACAGACAGACAAGCCACGTGCTCGCTCTATCTATGTAACGAGCGGCCAGAATTCGTCAACGAAAGTAACAAAAAACCGTATATGAGAACAGCTCGAAGAGAGAGAGAGAGAGAGAGAGAGAGAGAGAGAGAGCGAGCGAGAGAGAGTGAGAGAGAGCGAGAGAGAAGAGAGAGAGTGAGAGTGTCGACCTCCTGAACTCCTTCGTCAAGTGTAAAAAACGGAATATGAGAGAACGGCTGGAATAGTAGAGCAGTCATATCCGTTCAAACCACAGAAGCCCCCCAAAAAAGCCGGCTTCTCACCCGGCCGGTGGGTAATTGCCATGGGAAAATTGTTGATATAGGGGTTCCGGGAATATGATGGGTATCTCACCCGGAAAATAGGACGTAATTTTATATCGATTAAGAGCGGAAAATATAGTCTGAATACAGGTTAATAAAATTACCTAAAACGTAGTATATTAAATTATAAAAAATTCATAAACAATTATTAAAGGGACCGGCAAGTCAGAAAATCTTGAAAAAAAAACACAAAAAAAGCGTTAAAGGTCCGTAGCAGCCAAATAAGTTTCAAATGCTGATTTTTTTCGACAACCAAAAACCTCAATTGACATTTTCAAGGCACCAGGAAGTCAAAACATAAGCGCTAATAATAGTGATACCCTGAAAATTTCAAAATCCTCCCAGCGAATATAGGGGCTGCAAAATTGGTGCGAAATTGGCGGGGGAGCACCGAAAAATTTAATTGACGGTTTGAAGGGAATCCCTAGGCCAGGGAATCTCGCAAAATTTCATAAACACGGTTCGAAAATATCGATTTGGGGAATTGGGAATGGAGGCCGGCTAGCAGAGATTATCTGAGATCTAGAATTATGTCGCGTAATAGATTGCGGAATCGGGTCTAAAGGGACAGGGAAGTCAAGAGAAATCTTGAGAGAAGAAAGATAGGCCGAGAAAAATCGCAGACGTACTGATACGATGTAGATAGCGTAATCCGTTGGATTATAAAGAAAAATCAAGATATCTAAAAAATCGATAAACGGCAAGATTTAAATACCGTAATCAGTTGGCAATACCCCAATAACGTAACGATTTTAAAGGCTAGTGAAGTATCCATGAAAATTAGTGATTTTACCCGCTTTTAATCGCGTAATCGGTTGGGAACCAGCGTTACTAATATGACTTTTAAAGGGAAAGTGAAAGAACGAAAAAAATCCAGGATTTAAACACTTTTAAATCTCATAATCGGTTATTTTTTAATGTTTAAAGCCAATTACCATTAGCCTTATCGCTGGCGTCCTTCAACAGCTTGGTGGTGTACGCCTTTCTGGCCGGGGAGGCCATATTCTCCGAAAACGTGTCCACCGCCCATTTCGTCTGATTATGGAGCGTGGTCTTAATTGTGTTGAGCGCAAAATAGCATTCTGATTTGCCGCTCTTCTTCTCTTGCTGGAGGACATGGTCGTGGAATAGGAAGAAGATGTGCTGCCAGGTGTACTTGGCGATCAGGCCGTTCACCAGCTGGCCCATCGTCTTGTAGTTGCCGACGAGGCGGGTGAGGAGGGGAAAGTCTTCTTTGTTTGACAGTTCTTCGGTCATCGCCGTTGTGGTGAAGACGGGCACACCGCCGTGCCAGAATGTCGACACTCTAATTATGTAAATTAGTTGATTATTTCATGGTTTTTATTTTGAATGATTTTTTAAGTTATAATGAGTAAAAACCGCCATTAAAAGGGATATAAATAGCATCAAAAATTTTTGTGTAAACGTTTAAAAATAGATAAAATTAAAACTAAAAATCGGAAATTTCAAAAAATATGCAGATTAAGCTAACTTTCAAACATTTTGTAGTTCAATTTGGTCAAAAATTGCCTATTTAACACCATGAAATAATCAAGAAACCAAAATTATGCAAATTACCGCTTTCTACAGTATTAAAGGACCGCGTAACCCTAACAAAATCGCACCTGGCGATCGGGGCCAACGCGAAGACGTACGGCAGCCCCATCACCGCGTCAACGGTCCCGTTCACGTAGTGCTCGATGATTTTCTGGGGCCCAACCGCGTCGGACTGCTTCGTGTCCTCGAACACGACATTAAAAGCGCCGGGAGGGAGCAGTTCCCTGCGGTAGTAGATGTCCTCTATGGCCACGTCGAAGACGGGCTTCGCCTTGTCGATGGTCAATTTGAATGGGTTTCTGGCGTATTGGCCCTCTCTGGCCGGCAGCCCAACAATGATCCAGAGCGGGAGGCCGGTTCTGGGGACTTGCCGAGCTTGAGCAGCTCCAAAAAGTTGCGTTAAAATTAGAAATATAGAAAATAGGAAGGACGGACTTCGAAATCTGGGTCTAGCAATTTTTAGACCATCGAAATCTGGCATTTTTCCAGGCGCCAACTGACAGGGATTCTTTGGGAATTCAGAGAATTCAGAATTCCCATCATTTCCGACAGCATCAACTTCAAGCTCAAGCCCAGGCTCCTTTCTCCGCCGCTTTTTCGCCCATCTGGGCGCATTTTCGCGGGGTTCCCCAATTTCCGGGGCGACACCCGAATTTCCGGGCGTCTTGGCGCGCTGCCAGATTTTTCGGGTCCCCCGTTCCGCGGCTGTCCGTTCATCCGTGCCATCTTGGTGTTCATAGGAGCATGACGGAATTGCGGAATATTTATATTTTTCGAATTGATTTTGGGCTATCGAAGCCGGGGGATGCTTTTGGGAGCTCATCCGATCGATGCCATTCGCAAATCGGGAGGTTAAAGGGACAGGGAAGTGACGGGTTATTCGATTACGCAATGGAAATCGATCGAAAAATCCGTTTTGAGGGTGATTACGTCTTCAAAATAGTATCAAAATCACTGGGTGATGCGGGAATTTTAGTTCATAGCAGGAAGAGATAGAATTCAGCCTTTTAAAGGGCCAGTAAAGTCGGGAAATCCCGGCTTAATCGATTACGCCACGAAATTCGAGGCCGGCGATCCGATGACGCCACGCAATTCAGCGAATAAATAGCCGAATCGGGTGGGTTTTAGTGTTTTGGGTGCTGCAGAAGGGAGCAGGGAAAAGCAGGGGGAAAAGCTTTGCCCCCTGTGGCCGGCCGGCATGAGTTGTCCAGAGGAGCCGAGCGGACACCCCATGCGATCCGGAGAAGCCGAGAAAGAGAGAGGGGGAGGCCACGCCCCCTTTTTGCTGGGTCTCACCGGTTTTTTGCTCTTGCTCTCTCTCTCTCTCTCTCTCTCTCTCTCTCGTTCTCTCCAGTCCGCATGCCTTAGCTATGGGCCCTTTGGGTCCCAAGGCCCTACGGGTTGTTGGGCTGAGGAGAAAAAAAGGGGTGGATGGAAGGCAAGGAGGGAGGAATATAAGGGAGCTTTTCGTCGTGTGGCCCTGGGGGCCCAAAGTGGCCTTTGTGTCTGCGTGTGTGGCCAATGTGTTTTTGCTCTTTTTCACTTTCTCTCGCTCTCTCACTTTCTATAGCCTTCCAAGCCGTGAGGGCATTGGCCCCCGGAGGGTCCTAAAAATTCCGAATCGCTCCGCGCGGATCACGAAAAAAGAAGGCAGAGCGATTTTTGAGATTATTTAATATGGCTTCAGCTGACGGGAGCATCTTTTAGAGGGATTATCTATTGTTTCTTATTAATAGTACTTTTCAATGATCATCCACCGATTACGCGAGAAAACGGGCAAGTTCAATACGCCGGAATACCAAAACAATTTTGCGACCGATTACGCGTTGAAAATAAGGCACGGAGAAAGCCAGAGAGAATAAAGATCAAGAGGTAGAAAGAGTGAGAGAGAGAGAGAGAGAGAGAGAGCGACAGAGAGCGAGAGAGCGGGAGACAGAGAAAGATATATTATTTTTTACAATTCGTCAAAAATCTCTGCTAGTTTCACTTCACCGTCCCTTTCAAATCATTGCAAAGGCCATCAGAGCCTTGCAACTCGGTCCCAAATTCCATTGGGTGCACCAAATTTCCGGCGTCGAGGAAATTACAGCCTAGGAGAAGCAGCTCCTCAAAAGTGTGCCCCTAAAAAAGGTCAGCAGGCCCGAGGAAGGAGGCAGGGCGTAATTTAGCCGACCAAAGCATGGAGCGGCCAAAAATCAGGGCGGAAATGGAGGGGGAAAACGAATAGAGAACTTTAGAGGAGCTTAGAAGTTAAAAAAGCTAAAAATTTGAATTCCAAAAATAATAGCTGCTAGTTTACCACCAAGGTATCGTCTTAGCTTCCCAAATGATCTCTGCTAGCTGGCATTTAGTTACCTACGAATCCTCTCAAAAATCCGCAAAGAAGCTCTGCTCGCTGGCCACAATAGCTAAAATAAAGCTACACAGTTTCCTCAAGTATCTCTGCTAGCCTGCCCCTAATATCGAATATCTAGATCCCGGCTCTCTCTCTCTCGCTTTTTCTCTCTCTCTCCCTCTCTCTCTCCCTCTCTCTCTCTCGCCCTGTCTACGTAGGGCACTTGAACCCCGAGGCGATGGGTTTTTTGCGGGGCCCTCCGACGACTTCTTCTGGGTGCCGAGAGGACCTCCTGACTTTTCCTGCCTAACATTTCAGGGGGGACGTCTTCTGCCCGCGGCGGCGAAACCCTATTTCCCGAGTCTGAAATCACGCCTGGGCAAGCATCGGCAAGGGCAGGGGGACGGGAAGGGAAGGGAGAACGACTACGATCAAGAACCCCGACCCGACACGCAATGGTTCCTTTAGATGGGCTTGAACATTTTAGAGGCAGTTAAAATGGACTAATACAATACAGTTCAAGAGAGAGAGAGCGGGCAAGAGAGAGAGAGAGAGAGAGAGAGAGAGAGAGAGAGAGAGAGAGAGAAAGAGAGAAATAGAGAGAGATAGAGAGAGAGATATCTTCTTCTCGAAACTCATCTACTTTAAAGGGCTTTTGAAGGCAAATATCTCCGGCTTTTCGACTGATAAAACGAGAGAAAGAGAGAGAGAGTGAGAGAGTGAGAGAGAGCACGAGATATAGATAAACTAGAATTTACTCAAAATCAATAGAGCAACAAAATTGTAAATACCTTTAATCCGCTTAAATGAACCCCCCAGTCAGTCCACAGAATAAATTTATTTTCCAGGGACCATAGCGGGGGTTAGTCTGGGTGGACAGGATTAGTCTGATGGTCCCGGAAGCCGATTTCCGAGAATCACCTCAATACAATGAACATAAAAATGTTTTCCGGACAAGCGGAATGAGACGGAAAATGTCCTTTAAACGTCAAGATGTTGAAATTACACAAAAAAAAACACCTTAAAAGCTGTTTTAAATTTTTTTTAATGAATTATAATATCCAAGCATTAATGCACGTCCAAAAAGATCTGATTTTAAAGTGGCAGTGCCAGTAAAAATTAACCTTCACTTTTTCATTAAAAATCCTAAACTTTCCAGTCTCTTTAATTTGGTGAATTTCCGGTTCCCGGTCAGGGAAAAGCTCCAAAATTACGTGTCCTTGCTCAATGGCAATTCATCATCCCGCCAATTGACAGGCGAATAGGAAAAGTGGCAGTGTCTGTCCATGTCTGCCCCGAGGCAACACATGTAGTAGACAAAAAATGGGAGCAGGAAGGACATCAAGGGCAAAAAATGTCTAGAAAATATTTTTGAGGCTTCAAAACCATTTCAAAACAAAAAATATCAAGATATCGCAAAAGTACCGTAACCACAGTAATTCTAACCTGAATACCGTAACCGCCGCAGGATAAAAATATGCAAATATCTCGAAACTCCCCACAAAATTCCGCGAAGCTACCGTAGCCCTCGAATTACGTCACCTTAACGCAAATAAATTCGGCACGTATCGTAAAGTTCCTTAAAAAATTCCGCGAAACTACCGTAGCCCTCGAATTTCGCGACTTTAGTACAAAGAAAATATGCAAACATAAGAATCTTCCTTAAAAGTTCCACGAAGCTTCCGTAGCTCTAGAATTTCGTAAACCGCTGAAATAAAATATGCAAATGACACGGAAAATTAGAAAACTACCGTAATCCTGATTACCGTAACCCAGCTCCAAAATTTACAAATTCACCGGAATATCAAAATTACCGTACCTCCGAACGTCGTAACTGTAGCGCGAAAAAGTATGAAAATTTCTCAAAAATTTGTCCAAAAAATGTCGAAAAAATTAGCAGAATCGTCCATACCTTAAAACTAGATTTACAAAAAAAATATTAAAATCTATCCGAAAATTAAACAATAAAACCGCGGCCAAACTGCAGTACTTCCCCGATACCATACTCCCCCAAATAATGCAATTATATCGGGGGAAACCCCTCAAAAAAACGCGTCAAGGAGAAGCTGCTCTTCGGCTTACTCATTCTTATTCATAGCCATCACCCACTTTCCGGTCACGTATTTCTCTTTTCTTTCTGGTTCTTTGCTTTCTAGCTCTAGGCTAGGCCAGGCCACTGGCCGGAGGGAGATCGCAAAAAACAAATGAGCCTAATTTGCATCTCTGGGGCGACGACACGACGAAACACCCCCCCAAGCAGCCCCCCTAATTGCTGTCTACCGCGCAAAAAAAGGGACAAGAATGGGGTTTTTTGGACCCCGGAGAGTGCAACGAGCGCGGGGAAATTCGGTAAATAGTATAAAAAGGAATTGGAAATGTATAGAAATTGAAAAATCTATTAATGCGTAGATGTAAAAATCGAAAAACACCCCAATGGTATCAACTATAATAATTTTCTTGACGCGTCCGTCCGTCCGTCTGTCCGTGTGAAGCCGAATTCAACTCGAAGGGGAAAGGAGCTAGAGCTTAGCCTCTTCGGATTCGATAGGCGCCGTCAGAAACCCCAAACTGATAAAAAAAATTACGAAAAAGTTTTAGTTTAAATTATTAAAATTAACTTTGAAAGTTTTTTCCTTAGTAAAAGGGGGTGGGGACGGAGGTTGGCATGAATTTCGCATAGTGAACCAGGTGGCGCGCGTTTCGTGGATGAAAATTTTCACGGGGATTTCATTTCTTTTTCTCTCATTCCATCCGGTCGGTCGTTATTTTCGTTTTAAAAGGATTTCGGCTAGGGAGGTATTTAAAACTATCAGGAAGGTATTTAGGTAGTTTTTGAAGGGATTCAGCCATGGGGGTATCTGAAGCCACAGGAAGGTATCTAGGTAGTTTTGAAGGGATTTCAGCCATGGGGGGTATCTGAAGCCACAGGAAGGTATCTAGGTAGTTTTTGAACGGGATTTCGGCTATGGGGGGTATTGATGGAGGTGGGAAAGGATGTGGTGGAGTCGGACATGTAGGGTAGCCCGAAGGCCAGATGGTTGCAGTCGCGAAGCGACTGTAACCATCTGGTAATCGTTAATTCACTAGCAACGTTGTTCATCTACCATCAATCGCCAAAGCAATCTTTCTTAATCAGATCGAAACCG